CTGTGAGAAGCTTCTCGAAGCTCCCCCAGCTCCAAGTCAGCTCCACCTCTGCACCAAAACTGAGCCAATCGGCTGCACCTCTGTGATAACGTATTTTAAAAGGGACGTGGTGAGGAGGAGACAGACTTGCAAGGAGGAGTTACTGCAGCTGGGTGAACACCAAGGTCAGTGGAGGAATGGAGGAAGAAAGGAGGGCGGGGGCGGTATGCCGGAGCAGAGAGACCACCCTGTATCCTGTGGTGAGATGGCAGAGCACCCCCCCACCCCGCCACCCATGGGGGCTTACGGTGGAGCAGACACTGATTTATGGCCTGTGTTTTTCACATGGATGATCAAGGTGTCTGTGCCCAAAGAAGGCCGGGGTCTTGTGGGAAAAGGTAAACCCACTGCTGTAATTCAGCACTGGGAGGATTGCAGCATGTGGGGGTGTCCCACACCAGAGCAGCTCGGGAAGGGTCGCAGCTTGTGGGAGGGACTCCAGTTGGAGAAAGTTGGTGTCCCACACTGGAGCAGTGTAAGGGAACGCTGCGGCCCGTGGGAGGGACTCATGTCAGAGAGGGTTTGTGGAGGACTGTCTCCTGTGAGAGGGGGACCACGTTGGGCAGGGGGAACAAGTTCCAGAGGGTCCCCCCACTGAAGATGGAAGAAGCAGCAGCACTGACTGCACCCGCCATTCCCTGCCCCTGCGCTGCTGTGGGGAGGAGGTAGAGATATCGGGAGCAGAGCTGAGCCCGGGAAGAAGGGAGGGGTGGGGGGAAGGTGTTCTCAAGATGTGGTAATGCTTCTCTCTGTCCTACTCTGTTAAGTGTTATTAGTGTCTGTAATAAATGTATGTTGTTTTTTTCTTCCCATAACGAGTCTGCCTTTTGCCTGTGACCATAATGGATGATTTGCCCCTCCCGGTTCTGTCTCAAATCCCAAGCCTGGCTCATTTGTCCCTTCTCATCACTGGAAGAGAAGGGAGGAATGAGCAGCTGTGTGGTGTTTGGCTGCCAACCAGGGTCAAACCACAACCGTCATAATTTTATTTCAGAAATGTACTTCTCTTTAAATGTATTCCAGTGTAAATAGTTGATATATTCTGTGAATCATAATGACGCGCAATCAGAACTCTATATTTTTATGGGTCTGATGGTCACCTTTCTGCTGACTACCTCATGTTTCAGCAGTCAATTTAATTTATTCCTTAAGCATTAAGATGCAGTAGCACAGGCTAAATTAGAGTTTTATTTAGGTTTCAGTATTTCACAGCATTTTATTTTCCTCCTCCTATATTACTTACCTCTCCTCAAGATTCCTGTTTCTTACAGACATACATCTATAGAGTGGATTGTGCATATGTAGCCATCATAGAGGAACACAAATGATCATAAAGAGTTCTTACAACTTCACAGAGTTTAATACATGGGTGAGGCAATATTTTAAGCCCCTGAAAATGAATTGAGGTGAGATGATTTCTGTGTTGTGATGATGTCTGATACATATATTTCTCAGCAAGAGGACTGAATCAGTGTGAAAACTCAGTGGTCTTCTGAGCTTAATAAAAGAAATGCTAAATTGCAGCAGAAGAAAGAACTCCCTTTACTAAAACTGAATCAGGGCTCATTTTACGAGATTAAGCAAGCTGTCTACCTTTCTTAGTTTCAGTTTCCTTGGATATAGAATGTCTCTCTGTAAAGAATAGAAGCATTTCAAGGCCTGTGTTCTTTAGTCCATGCATAATGCTATGATACTGAGCATCAAACAGATGAATTTAAGTTATACTATGGTTGCTGTACTCTTAACACCTGTATTGGAGCGTGGGTGGTTCTCCTCAGGACTAGCAAATCATATTTCTAAATTAAGATATATTTTATTTAAGTTCAGAACAGAATTTTAGTGTTATATCCCAGGTATTATATGTACTCCTCTGATAATTTCAAATTCTGATTTTAGTTGTAATGATCATAATAGTCTTAAATTCAGTGGTTCTGTACCACCAGACAAGGGATACCTTTTAAACCTGCCTGTTCTATAGCAGAGCTCTCTCAACATCTAGTCTTAGCATGTTTTCCTGAATACTTCCTTATATAGGTTGAATTATAATCAGAAGAGCCGTGAGTTCTCTGGGAATTGGGGATGTGTTGTATCCTTTATTAAGGCAACATTTCTAAATCCACAAAAAAGCTTAATGAACAGCATGTAACACAAAATATTCCTTGTTACAGAGCAAAACCACCTGGTAAAACTAATGATTCCTGATAAATACCAGGTTTTGTAGCTTTGAGATGTGCAGGGAGACATTTACAGTCTTTGTTTAATACCACATTTTGTCTAACAGATAATCTATTTCTGTACAGCTACACATGCCATTTCAGACTTCAGACAGAACGCATTTTTCCAGTGATGGAGCAGGGCAAAACTAGCTGTTTCAAACTTTTTGGATAACTTTCTCTCACAAGCTTTGGACATTTTGTTGATGAAAACATAAATTTTTGCAGTTTTGAAGACTGACTTTGTAGTTCCTGGGCTTTTGAGGTGATGCTTGAAACTAATTTTGTTGATGTTAATGTTGCATAATACTTTGTGAGGGTTACAACAATCTCACAAGTGGGCATGAATGCATAGCAGAAAACTGGGATTAAAGTACGGGAAAAACAAATTATTTTAAAGTATCACTTATTTCTGATTTTAGGTCTCAATACAAAAAAATGTCCAGATGATTGCACAGATCCCAAAGGAACTGTGTGCTGTCCTAAATATTAAAAAACATCTTTTGTAAATGAAGAGATAGTTGCACTTTGGGGTTGCTCTTTCTTTTTAACTAATTATTCTTTCCACACTGCCTTGAGCAGCTGTTTGTAATGCTTATCTTAGTTATGTTTATATTGGGTGAGGTTAAAAACCATTTAAAAACAATAATTAAACAATTATAGTACACCTATTGTATGGGTTTCCAGTGTCTTAGATGTATAGAATTAGTGAAGTTCAGTTAGATTTGTTTTCTCTGCACTGGCACAGCCTTTTAAGTAGTGCAGCAAGCTTTTGATTTATTCAGTACTGGTTTTTCTTTCTCCCTCCTTACAGAAATCTGGTTGTGAGAGAAAACGGAATGATTTCTTGGTGGTTCTGTTTAATTGGTAGACTTCAAGGTATCTGTTACACTGAGATATGCAGGAAATTCAGCCTCTCACCTGTAGATACAGATTTAAATAAATATATCTAAACTAGAATAAGAATTGTACATAGACTAATCCTTTTTTTAAAAAAATTGCTAAAATAGTTTCAATCAGTATATGGTGAGCCAAATTCTATCCATGGGTATCTCTTTGGGAGCTCCTATGACTTCTTTTCTAGTGTTGCGTTCAGTGAGGATAGAGCTTGGTTTTAAATAATTAAGGGCAAAAATCTCTTGACATCTTTGTCAAGAAAAAGGAAATATCTTTCTGAAGATGAATTCCCCAAACTAAAATCACTATCTCAACATTATTGTAATCAAAGCATGCACTATTTTAAGCCACGGGGTGAAGTTACCTGCCTTTCACTGCCAGAAACATGAATATAACTGAATGAGTGGCCTTTTACTATGTGTGCTTGTGTCATCCAAACTGCATCAGGTGTCTCTGAAAAGTGTTAGAGTTTGTGTAAAACTTGGTCTGTTGCATTTCATTATTTCCTATGAAGACTAGTATTTCCAGAAGTTTTCCAAGCCAGTTCACAACTGACACCCAGCTAGCAATGACTCTACATCCTTTAGAATGGCTGCAGTTCTTGTGTACTTTAAAAGAAACTTAGGCTGTTCAGGTAGGATTGAATTGAAAGACAAAAATTCTTGCCTTTGGAAAGGATTTTAATTTTTTTTTTTTTGCTATGCAAAATGATCTGCTATGTTAGTTGTTTAAAATGGAGCAGTTGAGCATTTTATGGGAAGTGGTGCAAAAAAGTTTGAACTGGAGTTAAGATGGAAAGAAATTATTTCCTGTAAAGATTTAAAAAAAAAATATTTTGCAAAGGTTTATTTTACCTGTGAGAAAATACATAGGGGTTAAAATTAAAAGAAATACAAATGTCAGCAGGTGTGGAAAAGAGAATTTGTCTCTGAGATTAATTTATTGAATAAAATCACTTAAACTGTTTTCTTTTCTTGCATGCAACATTATTTCTAGTGTAACAGTACCCAGTCAGTCACAGCCCTTTGTGGGTTTTACACTAATATTAGTCACTTGCTGTTAAATGCTAGTAATAACTTTACTTTCATAAAGAGTATTCAAAACTGTTGAAGCTCTTAATAGTTAAATCCCATCAGTCTCTGGAAGAAGTTTGTAAACTTCATTATAAAACAAGCCAGTAACCCACGTGGAGACTGTCCTACGCATGTCTGACACTGTGTTGTTTCCTACAACCAGACAATTATGCAAATCTTGAATAATTTAGTATTAGTCCATTGGGGTATGTACTCCTAAATGACCAATGCATTTGTTTATTCCTTTTAGAGTAGGTCAGCTCTTTATTGAGAAAATGCTTACGACAGGAACACTAAGGTGTATAGCCTGAAACAGAATACAGAAAATATTGTATGAAAAGTTTCTCCAGCTCCTGGCGGGAGTAGATATCTCTGGTTGTACTCTTCAGGCTTTGCCCTCACTACTTTACATGTTTTGCTTTTCTGTTTTGCCATTGCCTCTTCCTCTTCATCTAGATTTTGATTACCCTTCACTTTCCAAGCAGTGTTTGTGTTGAAATGTTACATGTATGCCCTGCCATGTTCACCTATTTGTTGTGTCCCAGGCAAAAAGAATTGCCACATTTTTTGTGTATGACTATATTATTTTTCATAATCGCTAGAATATTTCTGAATGATTGGTGAATAAACCTTAAATCAAACATGCCTAAAGATCACAAAGACTGGATAACATGTCAAGCATTCACTGAATATTGGTCTTTTTCTAATTAATAATAGGTTAATCCCTTTCTCAAATAAATAGCACGTCTGTACTAATTGCTGCTTTCTTCATTTACAGATGCAGAGCCGCGGTATTTGGTTTCAGTAAGACCAGCACGCATTTCAAATAACAAGAAATCTTGTTCAGGTATTTTACCATTACTGCATCTCTTTCTTAAAGTGGTTAATGGAAGACAGAATATTTTACTCGGTTCCTTCATTCATGGACATGTTCATACTCTTTGTTTCTCACATGAAAATGGTAACTTGTGTGTACGTGTGTGTCTGTGACTATATGTAAATCACTACTATACAAAGTTTGCTGGTGCAAGGAGTTAAGGAAAGTGGGATGTTTCTAGCTTAAACTATATATAGCAGAGAGGAAATCTGAATTTGATTCTCATTTGTTCCAAGGACTCTCCATATGACCTTAATCATGTCAGTAATACTGTTAGTTTTTAATCCCTTAGTTTAATGTGGAGATGACTGTCAGGATCACTAGACTTTTGCAAAGAATGAACTGATAGTATAGATGTATATGTTTATAGTTTGAGACAAACTTTTTATTAGGGCCTTTTTAGTAGGATGGTTTTAAACTAAAAGAGGGTAGATTGAGACTAGATATAAGGAAGAATTTTTTTACAGTGAGGGTGGTGGAACACTGTCACAGGTTGCCTGAGAGGTGGTAGATGCACCCTCCCTGGAAGCATTCAACGCCAGGTTGGACGGGGCTCTGAGCAACCTGATCTAGTAGAAGATGTCTTTTTAGTTCTTCAGGCAGAGGTGTAAGAACAGCTGTTGGTTTAATGCTAGTGAGATATATGGCAAGTCTTTTTAGTAGTGAGAATAGTTAAACTGGACAAATTACCAAGAATTGTTGTGGAGTCTGAGTTGCTGCAATTTTAAATTTACAAATGAGGACTGGTTATGTTTCTAGAAGAGTCACTGTAATTCCAACTGCAGTTAATACAGAGGAGTTGTGTGGTTTGTGTTCATACAGTTCAACGCAAATGATCACCAAGGTAATTCCTGGTTTTACAGTGTATAAATCTTTTCAGACTCTAGCTGGGAACTAATGGCATAATAAGTCATAATCAAAATCATATGTAGGTCCTCCTGAAAACCAGTATGATTTCAAGTTATACGAGAGCTTGTTTTTTCTTTTCATTTAAACTCACATGTTTTCCATGTTTCCTCAAAAAGTAGTTAAGAAGGGGATTTTGCATAGCAAAAATAGCAGATTTGCCAGATAGTTTGGTGAATGACGAAGCTGTTTGTTTTAAGTTTTTTTGTTGAATTGGAGAAAGAGTATAGGAAGAGGTCCAGAAAACAAGAAAATTATTCGGATGTTTGCCCTTCTGAAAGTATCATATGTTCCACAGTATTTCAAAGCATCTCATACTTCCTCTTAAGGGTAGAGAGTGGTTTTCTTTATGGGGTGTTTGTGGCAACATATTCATCATCAATATAAAGTAAAAACTCACATGGGTAATGTTTCAAAATGCACACACATGCGTTGGTTGAAAGTACAAATCAGACTTTCACTGGCGCTTGTTAAGTGAAGGGATATTAGGGTTCAAAGGGCATGAAAAGAAAGTTAATCAGATCGGTTTCACAACAGCAGAAAATATAACCCTTAGATCAATGGCTTATGAACTTTTACGGAATTTGTGGTCATCTGTACATTTTGAGGAGATCCTTTAGATTTTTGAAATCCATAATGTGATGTAAAGAATATATGCATTTCCTTTAATTAATCATCTTTCAAACACCAAAGGTTCTCCTTGGGCCTGTAGCAGTCCACAAACTACAGGTTCAAAATAGTTGCTTTAGATCATTTCTTTTTTTTGCAACTATTAGCTTTTAAACTTTATTTAAAGGAAGTTCTTTCTCCACATGAGAGTCGTGTTACTTCATTCAGAGCAAAGCTAAAGTTAAGTATCATGCAAAAGATGAACATTTTCAATGTAGTAGGTGGTTAAAAGAGAAAAATGCCCCCAGATACAGACACCAACTCAGATCTGCCTACAGTTAAAAGCAAAGTAATTTTTGTAGGTTTTATTTCACTCTTGACAAAGAATGCTGTAGAAAGTGTGCCTTATCTATGGACATAATTGCAGTGATACAAAGAATCCTGCCAAGAAGTTACTATTTCTGTCACATGCAAAGAGAGACTTCCTAATGGCCTGAGCTCTGTGTAACACCTTCCGTGGTGCAGTTCAAGACAGCCAGAACTTTGAAGTTAATCTGTGTATAGCTTATTCTTAAAAGAACACCCAAACCACCTACTGTTCATTTTCAAAAGCTAGGTTTAACTGGAACATAGGGTTAAAAAAGAGAAATAGTAAAAACTTGTAATAATACAAAATTGAAACAAAGTTTAGTAAGCAAATCTGCCTCCTACCTACCAAATAATAGCATGAACTCCTTTAGGTTTACCCTGGATCTGCAAGTCTGGAAGTGAAGTCTTCCAGTTTCTTCCGAGGTTGAAATACACACTGTGGAAGTCCAGTGGAGACCTAAAAACCAGTCTTTTTGAAACTTGTGTGTCTGATACCTGTTTTCTAAAGTAGTGTCCTAATCTCTGCTCCTACTGCCTGCCAGCTGCATCCTCCCTTTCTTTATGTCAACTTTGTTCTACACTTCTTTCCTGTGTTCATGCTCAGTTGGCTTCAGAGAAGGAGCAGTCTCCTTTCATTGCAGGTGTTTAACTTGCCTCAGTGAGAAGCCAACAAACATCACAGACACTGTTTCTGCCCCCCTTTTAAAAAAATACATTTGAAATGGTGACTGTGAAAAAGAGAAAGAACCATTGTACCTTTCCCTTCAAGTTTGGAAGAGATGTAGGTCTTCATTTGCTTTCTTATCCAACTGCAGAAACTTTCCCAACATAATGCAGGAGCAAGAAACTAACTTGTAATTATATGTTTCCTATGTAGGTCGGACCAAGACTCAAAAGCCTCTGCAGCTGGTAGTTGGCACTCTCACCCCAACCTCTGTGTTCCTCTCCTGGGGCATCCTAGTCAACCCTCAACATGACTGGACAGCAACAAGTAACTGTGCTAGCGACAGGTAATGTAACAGAAAACCATTTTTTATGATGATCATGATTTAATTCAGTGTAGTTATTTGCTGTGGCTGAAATAAGTTTGACAGTGGAATTAAAAAGTTGGAAGTAATAGTTCTGAATGTGAAGTAAATTTTCTCATTTACTTAATTTAGGAATTCACAAGTTTTAACTTGTGTTGAGTACAAATTATTCAGATGTCTACATGCTGAATTACAAGTCTTGCTATTTCACACTAGGTCCTTTGTTCTTCTTAAACTAATGACCTTGGCTTTACCTCCATTCGTATCTGAATAAATTGAAAGAAACTTTGTAGAAACATAGAAAATATATTGGTTTACTGTTGGCCAAGTAGAAGTAAAGTAAGTCTTTTGCCATGCTGTGGTAGGGGAATGATGCCTTGTTTTAATGCAATTTTATTTTTTTTTCCTGTATTTGATCTTATCACTTCACTTCCTGATATTGATAAGAGTACAGCTTTCATTAATTTTCTGTTGTAAATAAAAGATCTCTTCTACTATAACTTTTTTTTTTTTGCTGTAATTATTTAATGACTGGTACATTAGGTGGGGAGCTCAGGAAGACTCACCAAATAGCAGTTTCAAGAGAAGTCATAGTGATGGGTAGCTTCTCAGTTAAGTGCAGCATTACATTTTAGGCAACTCATGACAGATAAGTAAAATTAATCTGCTGTGATTATTGAAATTGTTAATACAGGTATTTTCCCTGCTCTATCATTTCGATATTCTCTTTGTATTCTTCCTTTTATGACAAGAATTTGTTTATCTTCATTTACATTGCGTGAAACTCCATTCAACTCAGCAGTGTTTTGTAAAACCAAGAAGCTTTGTGCATCCGAGTTTGGGATGCATCTACATCTGGTTTGGAGCTATCATCTTTTGGTTTTCTTAAATGCATCTTTGCATTATTGAGAAGGCTTTTTTTTTTTTCTTTCTCCTATCTGTCTAATTTGTAGCCGTCTAATTTAGACTTGAATCTGCTTACTTTGCTGTTGATAATAAAACTCTCATTGATACCATTAAACTGGATGTCAAACATAGATTATGGTAAAAAACCCCATCCCATGTAGCCAATATGACTTTTTTTTTAACTTCCCAAAGTTTTGGACTAACCCTTTTCAAGCTTCAAAACTTTTTCAAGAACAGATTTGGATCTTCATCACCAACCAGAATTTCAAACACTATTGAAAAAATGTTAATGTTTACTAGGAAATTGTTATGGACTGTTAGATGTCCAAGCATGTAATTTCATTATTTTTTTTTCAGTAGAAGTAAAAGTTGTTTTAGGCTTAAATTTTGCTCTCTCAATCAAGAAAGAAGCAAATAGTTTCCTACAGCTAGAAATCTAAGGAACAAGCTGATCATGGAGGAGCCTGCAAAGTGTTCTGCCCATATAAGAATTTTAGCACCATGTTTACCATGGAACTTATCTTCTCTGCTGTGTCAGCACCAAAGTTACAGCATCTATTGTGCAGTGTGAAGGAAGAACACTTTAGAAGCCTATATCCTATACTAATCCATGTGGACATTCAAGGCATATGGTACCCACCACAGTGCCTTCATCACTCTGGGGTTTCTCCTCAGTATCTGAATATTCTTGTGGGACATTCACTGTCTCAAAGTTTGAACAAATTCTTTAACATAGTATGTAATGTTTTCCACTTAGCTAGACACCAGTAGCACTGCACTATCTTTAGAATATATTTTTGCTATTTTAGGGTGAGAGACTTGTTTTTACCATGTCTTTGTGTCAAGTAATGGTATACATCTTCCAAAATTCTTGTTCTTTCATTAAGTGTTGCGTAGTCCAGTTAGTGTACTCCTCTCAGGTGTTTAATTTTCATGTGCCCTCCATTTTAGTGAAAAGTTTCAGGCTATACTAAAGTACTGCCTAGGTATTTCCCTTTTGTCCCCCCCCCCCCTCCATTTTGTTTGAATATCTCCAAATACTCCAATTCTTAAGATACACTGATACTCATGAATAGCTAGTTAAAAAACACTTAAGGCAAATTAGAAATGGTCACATCAAAGTACGGGTGTATAGCTATTAGCAGATTTCTGTTTTGCAATCAAGCATAGCAATAAAGTTAATGAAGCAAAAAAAAAAAATCACTTAAGTGATGATCTTACTTTGTTTACCTTTAATGGACCAAAATGCTTGCAATCTGTATAAATGATATAAACAGTTCTCCATGAGCCCATGCTGTGTGTTTCTGTCATTCCAAGCAGAGACTGGATTCAAATATATTTCTAGTCAATGCATAAAAGAAAAATTATTAGTTTATGGTAAGAATTTTAATGATAACTGATAATGTGTGACAAGAAAAAATTAGGAACTAGCTCATTCTTAGCAAGTTAGGCTTGCTAAGGTATCTGGTTGATAAGCAAGCCTGATTGATAGTTACCCGACGAATCAGATGATGAGTTCATCAACATTTGTATCTATTCCTGGGACAGTCTGTTTCACACTTGATCCCTTTTCATCTGCCATTTTCTACATACTGTGACATGTTAAAATGTACTGTTAATCATCCTCAAGATTGTTGTATAGTGACTAACATCTGATCTTTAACATTGGCAGTATGTGGCAATTATGACCTCTTAACTCAGTTCTGTCAGTTAATATCCCACCAAGTTTTAGATCTGTAACTCTATATGACCTGAAATGGAGTCACTGTTCTCAGCCTCAGATTTTACCATCTCTGGATGGACATTAGGTTTTTGTACAAATGTTGCATAACATAAGTTAGTTGAATATGTTACTGACTCAGCAGATGAAAACCATATGGAACAGCACAGATCTGCTGGCTAAGGTTTTCTCTAGTGCGAGTCTGACCTCAGTGGGATATTCCTTAGAAGATCTGGTTTTGTGAGCAGATGAGTTTTGAATAAGAGGTGCCATGTTCTCAAAGAGCTCTGGTATCTTTTATTGTTTCAGTGAAATTACTGCTTGCTTACTGAGGGCACATAGTGTTCTTCTATACCTACAAAGTGCTTTTTAAGAAACTCCAATGAAGAAGAGGTTCCCATGCCGTTTTTTGACACACCGTTTTTTGGTTGCTTAGCTCTCTAGAGATTAAGGGCATAAGCTAATAGAGTGCTACATGTTTCCTGCAATATAACCCCGAACCCCGATTCCTTGTGAAAGCAAAGATAATCACTGCCATTTTTGTGGACCAAAGTTCTTTGCAAGGTCAAATTTTAAAGGCTCCTTGAAGTGGCTGTCATCTCTGGTCAGAGCCTTAGCGCTAGAATGCAGAACAGAACAAAACAAAAAGACCCAAACAAAAAAACTCAAGTGATTACTTTTATGTAACTGATGAAAACTGCGAAACACCAGAAAAGTTCCACCGACAATGTGGAGTTAGCTTTCTCAGCATCTTCTATTTTCTGACACCAGTCTGAGGTAGTTGATGAGGGAGGATGACAAAGTCATAATAATCTGCTGCACAGTCATGTTCAGTTCCTCTTTTTATATTTTCAGGAGAGTAGAGAGACTTGTTTCCTCTCTGCCTTTCAATGTTCAAACAACGACTAGTGGACAGAGCTGTCACAATAAACATATTGGAGCTATGTTTACTGTCCATTTAGGTTTGAAAAAGGTAGTACAGGCTATTGTGTAGGCTTCTTGTTGGCCTTTCCTTTGGTTAGAACAACTCCACAGGTTCCAAAACGGAACAGAAGGTCAAAAAAGGTGGAGTTTGACCCTTAGTTCTTTAGGAGGGTGAGTCGGGGGAAGGACCAGAAAATGTTTTTTCTGTGCAAAATAAAAACAGGGTTTGTAGATGGAATACTATATTTTACTGTATCAAGTGGATTGTATAGAAAAACAAACATGCTTTCAGATACATGTGAAATAGAAATTTAAAACCTGAAGGTATGATTTTTTTCATTACATATATCTAAGTTAAGAACTTTGACAAATTCACATTTATATTGTTTACATTTGTTTGCCTGTGATTTAAAAATGTTTTAATGTTGTATTTGCAAACCATACAGATTTTGTGTCTTAATTTGTATCTGATCTGTTTAATTTAAAAAAAAAAATAGAGGAGAAAAAACTGAGACAAATCCATACTTACTCTTCATATTGCACAGCACATAGAAGTAGGGTTTTTAAAACCCTAAATTCAGGAAGATATGTGCATGCTTCTCTGTTTGTGCCTATCTACAAACCTGTGCCACTGCAGCTGCCAACTTAATCATTTGTCAACTTCATGACTTTACATTGCAAATGACATAGAAGATATATTTTAAACTTAGTAGAATTCTTTAAGGACAACATACTGCAGGAAATAAACTTTTTGAGTGTCAGATGCGTTTGAGTTACTGCTGTGGGAGTGTATGCTAAAAGCTTGTTTAAACACAGACGGATTTGTTGGTGGTCAGCCTCTCATTCTTCAGGACCTCTAAGTCTTCAATTCATTTTAGTTGTTTTACTAAAAAATATAAGTGAAAAAAGTGAATTGTTAGTGATCATGTAAAAGTAAAAACTAAATTAGACAGTGCTTTGCAAACTTAACTGGTAGCTATCAGCGATATAATTCTTTCTATCTTTTAATATATGTCAGTGTCTGTTACTTTAAAGCAAACTTGGCAATAAAAAGGAAACAAGATAATCAACTTCATGTGCTGATTTGTGAAACAGTATCTGAAAATTTGCAGTTTAAATCATTTATTTTATTACCTTCTAACACTAAATGGATGATGTGCTTCTAATGAAGTCTAACTATAAACACATAAATAAATATATGTGTATGGTAATAGTCTTTTCTTTTAAAAGTCTAATTCCATTCCTATGCACAAAACTGAAGTAAGTTTTATAATCTTTTATCTATGGCAGTACAAAACCACAGAGCAGGAATGTTCTTATATCTCCAAGGCTTAATTGTTTGTTTAGTGTTATGTGTGACTAAAATAGTCATGATTAAATTGTTTGGAGTTTTGGTTTGGATCTGGTTCCAAATAAACCCATGATATTTATACAAACTGACCTAATCTGGAAATCTCATAAAACCATCTGTCTTACAAGATTTCCAGTATCCAATTGTTTGTGCCCAAGTATTTGACTGTGCAAGCATTTTCTGGGCATCTGGCTGAAAAGAGATTTGGTTAACAATTGGAAAAATAGCACTAGAATTCTTGGCAAGACAGTATCATTCATACTGATATATGAAAACTTAATGTTTTGCCTATCCATCCTCGAATTTTCCTTCTCTTAGCAGCAAATGAGATTTCCTTAATGTCACAAGGAGTAACCCTGTGGGCTGCTTCTTTAAAATGGTCATCATATTTTGATTTCTTGTGTAATGAAAAGGCTAGCTCTAAGCTGAGAAAGAAAAGGTTTTACTGCCTTGTATTGCAGAGTTTAAAAAAAGCCCAGAACTAGTTTATTTTTTAATAATTAAATTATAATACATAAAGTCTCATCCAACCTGGGCTTGAACCCTTCCAGGGAGGGGGCAGCCACAGCTTCTCTGGGCACCCTGTGCCCGTGCCTCACCACTCTCACAGGAAAGAATTTCTTCCTTATAGCTAATCTAAATCTACCCTCTTTCAGCTTAAAACCATTACTCCTTGTCCTATCACTACATCCCTTGATAAAAAGTCCCTCCCCGTCTTCCCTGTAGCCCCCTGTGAGCACTGGCAGGCCGCTATAAGGTCTCCCTGGAGCCTTCTCTTCTCCAGGCTGAACAACCCCAACTCTCTCAGCCTGGCCTCACAGGGGAGCTGCTCCAGCCCCCTGAGCATCTTCGTGGCCTCCTCTGGACCCACTCGAGCAGGTCCATGTCCTTCTGATGTTGGGGACCCAGCACTGCAGGTGGGGTCTCACAAGAGTGGAGTAGAGGGGGAGAATCCCCTCCCTCGACCTGCTGGTCACACTGCTCTTGCTGCAGCCCAGGACACGGTTGGCTTTCTGGGCTGTGAGTGCACATTGCTGGCTCGCAGTCAGTTTTCCATCCACTGATGCTCCCAAGTCCTTCTCCGCAGGGCTGCTCCCAATCCACTCCTCACCCAGCCTGTATTTGTGCCTGGGATTGCCCCGACCCATGTGCAGGACCTTGCACTTGGCCTTGTTGAACTTCATGAGGTTTGCACAGGCCCACCTCTCAAGCCCGTCAACATCCCTCTAGATGGCATCCCTTCCCTCCAGCCTGTGGACTGCACCACACAGCTTGGTGTGGTTTTATTGCTTTCTTGTGTCTTCAGTTATATGTGTTGATTGTTTGATATTGTATTTGTTCTGAAAGGAAGGCTTGAAAAAGGGAGAAATTAAAAGGAGAAATTAAAGGGAGCAATTAAACAAAATTTAATCAATAGATTGTTCTCAAGCAGGCACTGAAATTGTACTGTATGTGACAGATTGTTGTTCTGGTTTAACAATGAATTTTTGTTCTTTGGTGACAAAACTTGGTATTTCTGAATTCATACTCTATAAACAAATGATTGCATTTCCCCAAAAGTGCATGTTGTTTACAATTCAGATATTTTTAATACTCAAATAATTATGACTTGCAAATTGTTGAATGGAGCTTCATTTTGGTTACTTTTTATTGAAATGGTTGAGGAAATTCTGTCATCACAGTCAGTGTTTTTAGTACTCATTGTGGCAAGTTTCCACTGAAATAATTACACCCTTGGTAAAGTTATTACAGGCTTGGAAATCTAGGAGATGAGAGCACATTTCTTCTGTGCTATATGTTTCTAATTCTAATGGCATAGTTTGGCACAACTATAAAAATCTTCTTGCCAGGTTTTTTAATATTCTTGAACTTTAGTCAAAAGATGCTTTTTGACATTCAAGTGGTTTTGGTATTTTAGTCCATGTCAGAGAAAAGGAATTTGCAGGTGTGGAAAGAGTATTCAAAACTAGAACATTTTCTATGGTAGAAGCAAGTGGAAGCAGCCACCTAAAAGTGTATTCGTTATGAACAAGTTTTTGTTGGGGTTTTTCCCTCCTCATTTCTGATGCAGCTATTAATTTAGACTGTTCAATTACTGTTTTCTTTCCATCACATACAATCAGTTTATTTCTACCCCATTCAGCTAAAACAGATAGGAAAAGGTGAGGGTGAAGATGAAAACAAATGAAATTTCCTCTTTCAGACAAACTGTGAAGAAGGTGACTATTTCTACCTGTGATTCATATTTTGACCATAGATCTGTCTATACCTATTCTAAATCCCTTACCAAGAGAAGATGGGGTCCAGCAAGGTGCATTTATGTTGCATATGGGGTTTGTTTATTACTGTTACATTCTTTGCAAGATAGTGACAGATGTTTCAAGTGAGCTTTTCTTTTCTGTTAATGTCTGTGTGACTATGTCTGAAGGGATTCAGAGGAAAAAAGAGGAGAAATCTTTCACATTTTAATCTTGCCAATAATTTTTTGTTAGAAATGTTCTATGTCAGTCCAACTGATAGTTAAATCTATTGCTTGACATATGAAATTTGAGTAGATCACAGTCTACAGAAATAAGAATGCAGATTATTACTTGGTAGTCCAGGAATTGATAAGAAGAGAGAGGATATTCACTACTTATCATATTTCTTTCCTTTCCAAGGTTAAGTTAGACTACGTCTTGTTTTTAACGCAAAGTAGTACAACTAATGAGAGAGTTATGTGAGCCAACATAAATACTAAATTTGTAACCTGGTAGAATACCCGAATTAGCTGTATTGTAGCAACTACAACAGGAGAACCTATATTTTTGCTGCCAAGAAAACAAATTTGACAGTTATGCAATAAGATATGTAAACAGAGTGTATCTTTGTGTATAAAAATACAAATATTTTCCATGATTGGCACTTGCCTTGCCTTAGGTTGTGTTTTAATAATGGAGTAGGAATTTCCCTCTACTCAACAGTCATATTTCACATATGCTCTACTCTGGAAGTGCTTTTCTGTAACTTTGGCAAAAGCCGTTTTATTCATTGACAGTATTATATTTGGTCCATTACATCATTTTGATTTGGACCTTTGATACCTTTTCAGTTGATTAAAGAACTTTTTTTTTGGTTGTTTTCTTAAGGTCCCTTCCTTCCTCTCCATATATTTTCCTATATAATACCTGGCTTAAATCTCACAACCCACATTTCTTACTCTTTTTTGCTTCTGAATAATTCTTCAGCATGTACCTGGGATTGTAGAGATGTGTTTGTTTCATATCCTTATTTTGCTCTACAGAAGCATGGAAAAATACAATTGGATGGAATTCGTCCTTTTTCAGCTGATGTAAATGTGAGGTGGATATGGACAATGGATATGCTTTATTTACATTATGTGTAACAACTTTCAGTAGTACTTGGATTAAAAAATTGTCAGATATCTCTGAGATTTGTTTTTACAAATCAGAAAACCCCATCCGATTCTGGCAGTTACTCAGCATGTATACTGAAAATGAGACTGTAGCAGGCAGCGGAGTTCTTGTGCCGTAACTCTCAACATCTACACTGCGTTGTTTTATACTAGTTAACATTGCAGTCACACTTGTTCAGGGTGGTGCTGCTTGGTTGCATTGGGCAATTTCTGTAGAAATGTTTTTTAATTTCATAATCTGAGCATTAATCACATTGTTGATTTAAACTGCTGAAAGTAATGTCTTGGTTTACTTTCTTGTTTGAAATGTGGGTAATACATAATGTGATCACTGAATGAGGAATGTGTTATATAAATGTCAACTGTTACTGGTTTTCCCTTGAGAATGTTTTTGGACTAATTTTGAGGGGAACACCTTCCCCTGGACGGATATAGAAGATTTTGAGAAATTGGTTGAGGCTTCCTGACAAATAGACTCATGTTTCAATTGACTAGTTCTGGCACACGTAAGAATCACAGGAACTGTCTGCAAAATGAGCTTAGAGTTTGTGGTCAGAGCCATGCACACATGGTTGCTTGTGAATAAGGAGACTTCTTTTGCTCTTTGTATAATACTAATGTTGGGGTCTATATGATGGGGAGCATATATGTATCTAGGAGATGACTGGGCTAGCACTACATTTTCAGGGAAGATATGCTGGCTTCTCTGGTATTTGATAACCATCAGGGGCCAGAAAGAACAAGAACAGTGGTGGGTATGAGTTATTTTAGTAAGTTGTAATGAAAATGGTTGTAGCGAGTTTCTTCATGAATTTTTTTTTTTTTTTTTTTTTTTTTTTGTGGTTGAGCAGGTTCTATACAGTTCGCTACAGAGAAAAGGATAAAGAGAAGAAATGGGTTTTTCAGCTTTGCCCAGTTACAGAGACGGTGGTGGACAATCTGAAGCCAAACACACTTTATGAATTTGGAGTTAAAGACAACATAGAGGATAGTATTTGGAGCAAGACTTTCAATCATAAGATAGTTCTGTCTAGTAAGTATTTGATAATAATTAATCAAATGGCTACTCAGCTTGACAGTATTTTTTCCTCTATTTTAGTATTCCTTAGAGTAAGCTACTGATCAGGTTCTAATTGTTTAAATGCTATCCCTTATGCTTCTAACAAATTATTTTAGGAATTAGTGAAGGTAGAAATAGATTGTGTTTGAAAAACTGCCATCTACCCTTCTGAAATGCGTTCTCTTCTTATTGCAAATAGTAGAAGATCTGTTGCAGGTTGGTAGAACTCTAACAGTGATTAGATACACATAAAGTGTTGAGTATGTATGTTTATATTTCTGACTGGATTCCAAGCTTTTTCCTTGGGCCTTGGATAATAAGATCATTAGTAATTTGAGTTGATGGAAAGTATTATCCTTGTTTGAATCTGCTTTTATATCTACTTTTACAATCAAGCTAGTTAAGAACTAGACAGGGCGTGTTCCATCCAGCATGGTTCACAATGAGCCCTTTATGACTCTGCTGGAAAATGGAATTTGAAGCTAATTTTCAGTCAAGGAATTATATAAAGTCTGTTTGAAGCATAGGCTGTCATGTATGCTTTTGTTTGGCTTTTCATGGAGGCAGTATATGGCATCTCTGGCTGTTCTGTCAGTCATATTTTAAACTTTTTCTTTGTAGTCCCAAGACAATGCAGGCAAAGTGACAAGTTAACCCTTGAAAAAACATGTACTGCTCAAAGAATCATTGCTGTCAATAGATGAAATGGGTAGCAGCAGAATCTTCCTCCTTTTAAAGAGAGGAAGAGAGGACATAGCAGACTTTGTCCAATTTAATTTATTTTCCTCAAGCATTTACGTAAAGGTATTTCTGAGCATGTTGTTGGTCAGATGATGCTACAGACTCCTGACTCCTATGCTCAGTATTTCTAGCTTGACTCGAAATGTGAAGAATGGGAATTCTCATAAGAGAGCCTTATTCATATAACATTTCCAGCTGAAATTTGATTTGGACCTTAGTTTCAACCTGTAGGCAAGTTATACAGCTCAGTATACTTGAGGATAAAGGTAGAGAGCCATAGTGTGGCTTGTAACGCTGCAAAAGCCCCCATGATGCCTAATAAAGAACGTTGCTGGCCTTCACCATAAATTAGAAAGCTGTAACTTTGAAATAACTGCCCAGTGCCTGTAGAGTCATTTCAGCAGTCCAGAATAATGCCATTGTCATACCATGAGCTTAAGATGGAGAATGACGGAAGTCTTTTCCCATATCTGCCTCACAAAAAGAAATTCTGCTTTGCAGCTCTAAAGAGAGCTTACTAAATGGCTGGTTTTCCTACATTTTAAACATTTTAAAGTCATCTGTAGAGTGAGTGCTGGAATGTATTTATGCACTTAAAATAGGAACAAAGCATGCACACTGTCTGTAGTTTAATACTGTGTTCGAGACTGATGGAAATGTCCACTGGCATCACCAAATTTGCTCTTTGTATATAATGTATTTCTAAATGCTGTTTCTTGCAGACACTTTATGTTTTTAATAGGCCGGGAGACTCATTCTTGTTAAGTTACAAAGACAGGTTGAGATTGGTTGAAAAATGCATGTAAGAGTTCATCTTCTATTTAGATGAGCTTTTTTTCTCCTAGAATGTAGTCTTGTGTATTTGGTGGATGCTTCTGCAGCAACTAAATCCAGGGAGCTTGCTATAGACATTCTGGTCAGCAAATGTGTAGCCATCTGTCTGCATAGGATTTTACCAGTGAGCACAAATGGACACTTTTTTCCTTTTTTAACTGGCTTGTAGCAACCCAAGGTCTTTTCATATATTAAGAAGCATCTCAACCTAAACCAAACATCCTTCACTGTAAATTTTGTTTCATCACTGAAGAATATATAAATTACTATAAACCTAAATTCCTGTTGCATTCCTGTTTGTATTTGTTGAATCCACAAGCCAAATTTTTTTTATATGCTAGACATGTTGGGAGGGATTGAAAAGAGAATCTGGTTTTAATTCATGATTTGAGGAAGACATAAAAGGCATGGCAGATGTTCAAAATTTATTTAACCAAAATTTATCAAAAGAGATGAAAGTAGATTATTTCTGACCATCTTAACATGATTTTCTCATGAAGTCAGTGTGAAACTTTTGTCAGTTTTCCCTTGTCTTTAGGCCAATAGTAGGTCCTGTTCCCAAGAAGTATCAAGCACTTTGAAAGATTTTTTTCAGGATAGCATGTCAATTTAAATGCCTCTCAATTGATATTTCTTTATAGTTGAATTTTTTTCTATTGCTTCTCTGTTTTGGATGGAATTGTGAAGAAATATGATAACGATTAGCTTGACTCTTGTTTACATGCCTATTGGTGCAAAGGGAGCAGGAAAATGTAAAGGTGGAAGATGTAGACAGTTTGAAGAATTGTGCTAGAGTGTAAGAGGTGCTGGGAGGGACTGTTTCTTCTCTATACTTAACAGCTGCATCAGAAGAAGCTTCTAGTACTAAGAAACTAAGAGGAAAAACGTAAGAGAAAAAATTCAGAGATTAAATGCATGGATTAACTTTATTCATATGTTGAGATAAAGGAAAACAAGTCAGACCAAAAGAGAAGTGATGTGCTTGCTCTGTATTGCCAGTGCTAAATGTGTATTTCTTTTAGAAGAGTGTACTTAAAAGAAATACTAACTATTGGAGACCTTAAAACATTTTGCTTTTATGCAGACCTTATACCAGCCCAACAGATGGGGTACAGAAATTCCTCTTTCAAGTTTCTTCCTTGCATATTATTGTTGTGGTTATAGTAATGTTATTAAAGAATGCTCTTGGGCACCTCTGACTTCTCCATAGTATGTCCCAAAGACCACTTCAGCTCTCTTACCTGATACATGAAATGAAATGTGTTTCATTACTTCTCTGTCAAAATGTAAAGAGAAGGCTTTGCAAATGAATTAATTAATCTGGAGAAACAGGATCAAACAAAACTCTTACATGGTGTGTTTTTATACCTTGTAATTAAGCCACCAAACTTAGCTATTGAAAAAGGTGAATAAACTTGTTTTGCTTTGCTTTGGACAAAACAAAAAGTAACTATGTGTATTTATGTATCTTTCTGTCAAATCAGATAAAAAAGTAAACGGACAACTCCAGAATATGTACAAGTTGGTACCTAATTCCCAAACACAGGTATGCAAAAGTCTTATTTTTTATACCAGATTTGGATTTTATATGGTCAAATTTTTGCTTCTCTGTTAGAGTAAAGTAAGAAAGACATTATGGCCACAAATTGCCAATATCAAAAAAAAAAAAAAATATCTGTTAAATCTAAATCTAGATAACTGTATGGAGAAGTGTTTATATGTGTGGATTGATGAAGTGATTGAAAACTATAGCTGAGATGATTACATATACTGATATCAGTTTAACAAAGATGAAGCTGATCGTTTCCCATGCAGATTCTAAACATTAAAATTTGCTTATCCCTTTGTAATAGTCAGGGTGTTAACCCGTGATATTTGTGGTGGTCAGTTCATTTTGTGATAAGGTAGTGATATTATTTTATAGACTAATATTTTGTATACTCAGGTCTTCTAAAATCATTACTCATCCCATTGAATTCACTGATAGTTCTCATCTGTGAGGCAAGTGTTTGCAGAACCACAGGAAGCTGAAACGGCAATTTAATTTGCTTACCAAGGTCACTAGGCAATTCCTTAAGTCCTTGCAGGTGTCAAGATAGAATTTTTAACTGTTTCATCAAAGCCTTTCTGTAAGTAAATTAATAGATCTCAATATTTATTAATTTCTTCCTTTGTTTTCTCATCTGGTATTTGCCATAACAGCTATTAAGCAAACATGGGTGGATTTCATATGTTTGTAGATTCACATACACAGATACTTTTTGCTTCCAACAGCTGAAGCAGAAATGAAGGATCAGTAGATTGAATCTGTTAGTAGAGTAATTATAATACAGTGAAAAATATACATTTTATTAATAACTTTGGAGCATTAATTCATCCACTATGAGATTAAATTGGTTTCTTCTTATTTCCTTTCCTTATTTTTTCATCAAAGTGCAAGTTTCAGCAGCTAGTCTTCTGGGGGTTTTTTTGTGTGTTTTGCTTTGCTTTTAAGGTACTATCCCTGAGGTTGACTATGGTATAACTTCCTAAAAAAAAGTTGTAGAAACCCTTGTTACTTTAGGCATTTTAGAGGGCTGACTCATGAGTGACGATTATTAGAAGGGAACAATGTGTTCTTCACAATTCTTTTCCGTCTTTGATTTTCCAAGTGTTTTCATAGTAGGAAATGGTCATGTATGGTTTCTCATTGTTCATTCTTCATATTGGACAATATTGTAAACAGTCTGTAATTATCAGACCTGGAATTCCTTCAGGAATCAAGCCACAGTCCATTACATACATTTTCTTGTAGGAATAACTAGGACAGCAATACTTTAATTATAGCATTACATACGGAGTTAGAGCAGTATAATGCTTAGGTTATCAGAAACACAGTCATGTCTCACATTCAAGAGAAAAAGTTTTATCTGTGAGTAATATGAAGCCAGTTGATTAGATATCCAGGACAGTGCTCATCTCATTATGTTGTTGATGAAATCAACTTTACTGTTCTTCCCATTTGTCCCATGAGCATCTTTAAAGTTACACATGACAGCCCAAGACCAGGTAATTCATTCTGGCATATGGAGTGTGAGCTGAGTTCCTTTATTTCTCTTAGCTAACCCTGTGTGCCAGGACCCTGACTCTGTTATGCTGCTTCTGTGGAAGTAGGGATTCTATTTATGCAAGAGAAGTCCTGAGAAAGTGAGCTAAAACATTTTTCCAAACATTTGCACAGCTTAAGCATGAAAGGAGGACTGGAGCCAGCATCTAGTCCTTTTAGTCAGCTTCACAGGGCTTAGCTCCAGAGCAGTACTGCTTTATCACCCTCCGCAGAAATATCATGAAAACATTCCGTAGATTATTCTAAAAATTCTCTTATCGTTCTCACTTTAGTGGTGCAAAAAAACGTAAGACTAAGGCTGGGAAGCAGATAGTGTCCAGCTCTTAAGTTTACATTATTACTTCAGTTTCCAAGGTATTAGGTGGGATATGTTTCAGTGGTGCAATCACATCATCAGTGCAAAGCCATAATGTTATTTAAACCAAGCTTTGTTTGTGCCTTATTTTGATCCAAAGCCACAACTGGCTTATATAAGCATGGCCCTAACTCTTCTCTGTAAGGAGGCATTTTTAAAGGCTGTTTATTAAAGCAACATTGCCGATCCATCTAGTCATTCTGCCCTTTCAACACTGGTCACATATCAGCTTGTGTTTCTTTTGGCAGGCTCATCCTTTAAGTTTGACTAAGCTCCTGGGGCTGTGTGTGCTAGAACTAATGAGAGAGGGAAAGAAAAGGAGAGTTCTAGAGATGGTCATTCTTTTTCCTTTCATACACAGTGAGTGGTGGTAGGGTGGGGAGAACGGAGTAGAAGTTTATTTCCTTTCTGTCTGATTAGGTTCCTGTAATTTCACAATGTCAGTCTGAAAGGTAGGGTCCTCCTTGATTTTTCCAGCCAAAAAGCAGGACTCCTAGCTTCTATCATTTGTTAAACTCTAGAAGAAAACATGCCTGCTCTTCCAAAACTTATTCAATCCAGGTTGACTGCAGTGCTTCCCTGAGGAGTCTCAGATGTATGCCAGTTATTTGTGGCTTTTTGGAGTATTGGCATATAAGAAAAGCAGAAAGAACAAGTGTTTTTTAAATTAATGTTGCTTGATAGAATGTCTGAGAACTACAGTCCTTTATGCAATATGCCACAGGTATATGGTCAGAAATTAAGATGCCTGACTTATGGTATAACTTACATCTCTAATTTTCCTCTGAAATTAAGAAATACCTTATTTGTCATGTTCCTTCATTCATGGAGATGCCACACTCATTTTAATAACTGTTGTTCCTAATACCTATATGCTTTATATTATGTCTGGAAAATACTGTTAATAGTGCCATTCCTACAGATGATATGCTGATGTTTCTGAAATAGTTTGTCCAAGTGGTAAATTTTGCTAGACATAGAAGTATCTAAGGGTGTCACTTTATGGAGACTGAGAAGAGAGGACTGACAACACAGTGATAGATTTCAAGTGCAGCACTTTCAGATTCATGCAGGTGAGCAATGTAATGACAGCAGCTGTGGAACACAGCTTTCATGTTAATGATTTGTTCCTGAGTGAGTAACTAAATTCTGAATGTATTCTAATGTATTTAACATTTTCATTTTGCTGTCATTCAACAAAGGAAGGATGCTCTTATAAGAAGAACACACTGGAGTTACATGAATGCTCACTACAACTTGAGAGCTGTTTATTTGATTGTAGGGCTCCTGATAAGAAATACAATAAAATGAACACCTTCTTCTGATAAATACATTTCATCCCACTTGTTAGTCACATGAATATCAGGGTTACTTCAAAAGCTCATCATCTGCAACACAATTTTTTCACCAGAAGGCAAAAAAGAAATGTAAACCTTTTTAATTATAAAGGAAAAAGAGGAAAGAGTAAAAAAAGAAAGATTATTTTGTGTCCTTCATTAATGACAATGATTGAAACCTCCACTTAATTTCAAACCATGTTCATGCCAATACAAAACTGTTATGAGGTAGCAGAAAGTAATGGCTTTCAGAGAGTAAGCAGCCTCCATCCTTTTCCCTGAGGAAAGAGCCATCTTATTGAGATTTGCCTTCTTCCAGCTTCTTAGACTTTGGTGGGTGTTTTTAAAGCTTTTTTTTAATATTTAGAATAGAGCAAAAATAGTTATCCTTAGGTAAATAATTAAAGCTTTGTCGTCAAATGCTGGATTTTCATGCAAGATTTCTTTAACATGAAGTAGACTAGATTTCATGAAGTGCAAAATGAACATGAACTGATTCTGACTTTAGCGGTGTGCATTTCACACAGAGAGGTAATTGAGTGAGTTTCTTTCTTGTAACTCAGATATAACTGAAAAAAAAAAATCTACTTTTAATATACTTAGCATTTGTATATTGCTGGCATTACAGTCTACCTCCTCCCATCACCTGAGTGTATAATTAAGCTTTCAGAAGTTATTCCTAGTAACCATGTGTGGTAGTGAATACTGCTTTATAATATTTGGGATCATCTATTTTCTTCCTTTTAATAAATGTGGAGTTCATTCATGTGTACCGTATTTTCATGGTATGAAAATGTTGGAAAAGATTCATACTTAGGCATGAAGTAACCTGGGTCAAAGACAAGTGAACATCCGAAAAGTCCATGTGTTGAGCATAAAAATGTGAGAAGAACATGGGTGGCTGGCCAATTATACTTTGGAAACAATTTCACCAAATAAAATGACTCTTGAGTTAGTCTACTTTAAGTAGACTATGCACTCAAGAGTGCTGATAGTTTACAAATGTACACCTGATTCTGGAATAGTCTGTGTTCTAAGTATACTATTCCTGAGAATATAATTATGTCCTGTGACCAAATTTGTAATAGCATATGTTTCAGATACTTTTTTGTAGTCAAATTTCAGCTTTTCTTAGCTTTCTGGACTACTCCCCAGTGAGTGCTCAAGAGATCCTTAAAAGAGAAAAAGATTGGGGATTCCTAAGCTGTCAAATACTGTGTGTTTATGAAGCAAAACTTCTCAAACTGAAAAAAAGAAATAAAAATGCAGTATTACTATACCAGCCTGTGGGAACTGAAGCAATAGTGTAACCTTCAGTGACTAGGGCCAGAGCCATATCCAGTGTTAACTTGGGGCAGGTGTGGTACTGGATTAGAGCCCTCTTTTTTTTTTGTTAGTAAAAAAGTTCAATTACTATTATGGCAGTTATACCAAGGCTTTTTTTTTTTTTTTTCCCCCCACCCTTCTCTCAGCTTGCACTGCGTGATAATAAGAAGTTGGTCCCTGTCACAATAATCAAACAAGGTAAATTTGTATTTTTTTTTTAATTGATTCTTATGCTCTGCAATAGTAATTTAACATTAAAATTAAAAAAAAATTCTGACTTGGATGTGAATGTCATTAAAGTCTCATTTTGGAATAGGTGAAACCTTACAAACTATCATAACCTGTAATTACAAATACTATTAAGCTGTTATGTATGTGTTAATAAAATGAGCTATTACATTGCATTATAAACAATTACTTAGTTGAGTCATTGGGTAGATACTAATCAGTTCCGATTTCTGGTAGTATGCATTTTCTTTCAACTGGATAGTCCAGGTATGTTGATCTCCCAGTTGTGCATAACTTGATAGTCAGGCATGAAGGACAGTAGTAGGGATAAGTTTCATGCTACCAAACCTTTTTGTGGGTATCTTCAGTTAAGTCACTGACTCAGACTCCTTTCTTCTCCTTTCCCTGCTCAGTGGAGAGAGATGTCCACAGCAGACTTAGCATATTGCCCTTTAGAAATGCCTGTTGCTCTCTAGTAGTGAGAGGTAGTATTGTAGTGTAATCTTTGAAAATTAACTACTTAAAGCTAGCTAACAGAAAATGAACTGCAGATTAAAACTTGTTAACGGAAATTGTATTGTGAATAATTTTAGGTAATGAAATCAAGCAAATTGTCTTTGAGGGTAGTCCACAGTTCAGGGACAGGAAAACACTGGAGGGTGGTGTGAAAGCAAAATATGGTAATTAACATGAAAATATGACTCTATTGGCATTTATTTCACATACATCTTTTTTCGAAGACTTGTGAGTGGGAGGGTAATGAGATGGCCTGGAGATGACCCTATATTAACATAAGCATAGAATGTAATTTTTCACTGAGGATATAAAACTGACATGCTAGGTGAAAGAGAGATGCACAGCTAAGGGATGATGTAGAGAAAACACAGTTTACAGTCTCTTAAAACTGAATGTAAATACAGAAAAGATTAGGATGGTGTCCTCATCTCCAATTATGAAGTTGGAAGGTTTTCAGAATGCTGAGGCTTGTCTCAGGTGTGGTTTTACTTCTTGTTTTGGGTTTTAAAAAATTATTTTCTAATATCTCTGTGTTGTCTCCACAGTTATTCAAAATCGGACGCAGTCAAAAACTTCAGATAGTTCTTCTCTGCCAGGAGCAATACTAGGTGACTAGAAGATATTTCTATTACTTTTCCTCATCTTTGGCTGAAAATTAGAACTGTGTAAATACTGTTTTCATTATCTTGAAAGAAAGAACTATTTTGCAGCTGGTTCAGACTGTATTTGTTATATTCTATGGTGGTATAGATGGTTCAAGGATGATGTAGCCTACAGGAAATAGAATAGTTTTATTGTCATAGTATTTAAAAGAAGATACTGTCACTGTTTAAGCCAAGATGTTCTTTCATATGTCAAGTAAAGTTCTGTGGCAAAGATCTTATTGAGATGAGGGGTTGTTCTTTTTGATTTTTTTAAGGTAGTATGATAGCATACCATCTATAGACAGAAACCTGTACTGATATTGATATATTAAGCTATAGTAGAGTAAATTATAATCTTCCTTGCAACTAGAGCTTGAAGTTAGGTCTTGGAGCATAACTGTATTACTCAAGCCATCCAGTTTCAAGCTTTCTGTTCTTGTTTGACCTTTAAGAATATACAGTATTGGCTTAGAACATAAAAATAGGAAGGAGTCTATCTTACAGTGCTTAGTGTGGTAAACTACTTAGTGTGGTCTGCCTGAAATAGTTAGGAAAGTCTCACTGGATCATGCACCTTGTGACAATTTATTCCGGGATTCAGGAAGGTGTGTAGTCCTTTATATATATGGAAATACTTTCTATAACTGCATAACTTTGGCTTAATTTTGCTTTGTGTGAGTTTTAACATACTGATGTGAATCAAAGAGATACCTACTAACCACATTTGGTGTTGTCTTCTTGGCCCACCAGACAGAATGTCCCAGTGTCTGTGATACTGCAGCACTCCAGGGTTATATGCTCCAGCATTGAATTGTTCTAAATTCTGATTAACTGTGAAATGGTGGTAACACAGTGAATGGTATAAATGGCAGATAACACCAAATGGGAGTGATAATTACTGAATAGAACTAACTCATTTCCCAGATACTCAGACTAAACTCCCAGTGGTTCAGTAGTAGTTGCTCACATATCTCAGAGGGCAGACTGTGTATTTTTCATCTCTTCTGGAATTAATGGCACACGTCTTTCTCTGTAGTGCACCTTATTGTTCCAGGACTCAATGAAACTCAGCAGAAACTTCCTCCTCTCCTGACAATTGATGACATACCTCAAGCATCCAGGAAAAAACTGGGTAAGCAGAAATAAATTAAGCTTGTACTGTTCATGAGCAGTCTCAGAAGCATAGCAATGTGAGATATGTATGCAAGCAGAAAAGTCTTTTTTTTTCCTTTTTTTCCTTCTTTTTTTCTATTTGTCTAATTAATGATTAGCTTGGACTTGTAAGGATTCGTAGAAATTCACTTGTTTTAAAACATCTGAGTAGGTTTTTCATGTATTTCACAGCCATTTAGAGGAACATGTGGTAGCTTTGATCCATAGAGGAAAGGAGGGAAACCAGTCATGTTTATGGAATTTAGGTGTTTGATTTGGTTTTCTTGTATAATATAACATTTTGTTCATAGGTTATATCTTTCAATATATGTATTTAAAAATGGAAGTTTGTTTGTCCATTCGAAAGACTAGATTTTCAGTGAATTTTAATTATATGAGTTCTGGCTTGAGTATATGTGAGAAATAGTTTCATGAAGAGATTTGTATTTATTATCTATAATTAAATCCATGAAAAAATGGGAGCCAGAAATTAAAACATTACTTTATAGGTTTCACGTGTTTTTTGTGAATATGCTTGAAACCTGCAGGAAACAGAATAATTGAGGCTTTTGTTTAAGATCTGTAAACTAGCATATCATGCATGAACAGCATAACTGTGGGAAATACAGCTGTCTTTAAATACTTTAATAATGTCCACAGTGCATCTTTCATAGATCCCTTGAGTAGAGTTCTGGAGCTGATGACTTTTGTCTTGGCTGGTCTTAAGACTTAATTTGAATTCCAAACAACAGATTTTTTTTCCTTTCTTATTTCTGCTTTGCTTAATTTACTCTGTCATTCCATTGCTGGCCACAGCACATTCTCAGACTGGCTTGCTTTACAGTGAGAAAACAAAAATTTAAGCTAAGTAGGAAAACTTAATTTCAGTATTTACATTACAGAGCATTACTGGTTTTCAATCATGATGATAAAATTAATCACATTGTTAACTTGATTACTAATAGTTTCTTTGAACAGCAAATATAGAAAACAAGGTGTTTATCGTTACTAGCTTGCATTTAACATGTATATGACCTGCAGGTAACAAAGGTACCATTAAAACTCAGTAGACCGTATTTTGACAAATCCGTTTTTCATACCCTTTACTTTTAGTAAACCATATTTTAATACCTCCAATATTAGTTTTGGACTACAGTATCTAAAACTTTTATATTTGTTTTCATTTTCCACCAGTAACATTGTGCCTTTTTGCAGGAAAGCAATGTGTTTTCAGATAGGTCCTAAGTTTTAGTAGTGTGCACAGTAAAAATACCAGAATGTAACTATGAGCAAAAAAGAGGAAAAAAGACACGGGTAGCTTCAGTTATCCTAGAGATGTCTAACTTCCTCAGCTGGGTGAGTGTAGAACTTGGACTTGCAAATTTAAATGCTCTGATATGTCTAAAATACATAGCTGTTGTGATGCCAGTTTGGAGCCACTCTTCTGGTAGATTACACAAACACCTTTGTGAAAGTTGCCAGGGCAGACAAGTGATGTTTTGTTCTGTTCTGTTTACTATGTGTTCCTTACCAGAGCACATGAAGTACATGGGTGTACACACAAGGGAATACTGGATTTCACAGGAGTGTAAAACAGGGAAGAGTTATTGCTTAGAAAGCAAGAATACTCTGAGAAATAATTTAAATGCATAAAATATTTGACAAAAAGACACATGGTCAAAATCTATGCAGGTATCCTTCACTGATTCCTGAGAATGATGTACATCTACAATATAATGCAGTAAGACTTATGCTGTGTGTGAAGTTATGACTGATTATGATTTGCTGACAGATAGCAACTATTCTAATTCTATATTATTATAAAAAGTCAAAATAATGCATCAGACAGTATCATATTTATGGTATTCTCAAAGTACTTTTTTTCTGTTTACTTAGTCAAAAACTTACTAGGTTTTTTTTTTTTTTAAAGAGTAGTAGTCCAGAAAAAAAAAAAAAAAAACAAACAAACAACAAAACCAACCAACCAAACAAAAAAAACCACCACAAAATATATTGCCTTAGTTTTCAGTGGAAAAAATCCAACAGATGTATTATTCAAGTTAAAATTAATTAATTTTCCCTATATCTGCTGCTGGAAAATCTTTATATCTGTTGAAATAGAAAGCTATTGTCATACCACTGCAATTGTTAGAAGTAATGTAAATCAAAATAAGGACATGATTAGGGTCATAGTTTCATTGTATTCAAAAATTTATTAGACTGTTCTTGTCTAATGCTTAGAACTGTATTGCATCTTTGAATTTTTAAACCGTTTTTGCTGTTGATGCTCAAATGCTAGACAGATGAAAAACACTGAGGACTATTTTGCACTGTGAAAGTAATGATTTATAAGACATTAAATTCCTTGCTGTAAATTTTATTTTTAAGGAATCTTTTAATGAAAAAAACAATACCAAAAATTCATGTGTTTAATGTAACTAGATACATGCTTCTACTGATTGTGCAGCGGAAGTTCATTGATTCCTAAAGTTATTCAGTTTTCCACATTTATCCATGTCGATTTAATTTGGCAAACCAAAGAGGGACAGGAATAGATCTGTAGTAGAACAGAGCAGATACAACTTTGCAATCACTCTGTAATGTATTTGTCCCTTTAGCTAAGAATGAAACTCGAGTATGGCCTGCTGAATCCAAAACACCAGAAGTTCAAGAAATCACCCCACAGTCCCTGCCAGGTAATGAAAATTCTATTTTTAGAAACTCTGTGGAATATCTTTGCCAAATATATGTATTAAAATTAAATCCATCTTTGTGTTGCTTAATCTGCAGTTAAAGGCAGTTGTTGGAAAACAGGAAGATAACGTAGCTAATTTTAGTAGCCATGAGTGGTAGATGTGGATAAAAATCTGAATGTAGTTTTGGAGGAAAGCTTCAGATGCTACAATTGTTAAGTTTATAAAAACGCTTAGAATTAGAACTGTATCTTTGTGGGTTGCTGGATACCTTGAAATTGTTAAAAATGGCAAAACAAGAACTTCCTTGTTATGTACCTTGAACTTCTGACTTTCATTACATAGATGAAGAAGAAAATTAGGAATAAGAGCATTATTGTGAAAAACACATGTATGAGATTAAGATGGAACAGTCACAGTAACAAGCTGTCTTTCAGAGGTGCAGAGGATGATAGCATGATGTTCCATTAAAGTTCAGTTTTGAACACTTTAATCTTGACCACACTCTCTCTACAGACTTACTGGTCCTATTAAAATAAATGAGAGCTGTTCACATACATGGGAAAGGAATATAAAATCTGATCCTAGACTCATATTCAAGGTTATATGTCTATGAAATGTATGTTAATTTGTACATTTGGAAGACTGAAGTTTTTTATCATCTACTTGTGGCTGAAAAAATATGACTTATTTAAAATGGCGTACTCAGATTCTGATTTCTTAAACTGTTCAAAAACATGACGGGAAATTTTAAAACTCACAAGATTTACTGCCTCCATTTGCTTAAGAAACAAGTTAGTGTAACATAGACTACTTTATCAAGTTGTGTGACAAGTGTAGCCCTGTGTTTCAACATTTGCAATCTGAGGGCAAAAATATTGGGGAGAACCAATTTTTTCAGAGCCAAATGATTTAAGAGTGACTTCCCACACACTTTATTAACCCACATTTTGGATTTTATTTAAGCAGGCATATAACTATTGTAATTTTCTGTAGTTTGGCTTTTATCCTATAACTGAGACTGAAGTCTTGATTCTGCTGTCATTAGAGCCAATAGTTGGCTCCTTTCTTTGCTGAAAAAGAGAAAGGAAGCTTGAACAGTGGCAAGACTTTAAAATGAAAAAAGAATTTGAGGAAAAAGTACAGCAAAGATTTGCTTCAGTTTAGTCATATGTGATCTTGCTGGCATTACTCTATTCCATCTATAAAGTATTTTCTGGCTGTCTGAAATGATGTAGAACTTTACTCCTTTGACATCGCACAATGAACACAGATACCGCCCTTAAATATGACTGCGTTTATTTTATTCCTTAAGTATATCAAAGATACCATACTTTACATCATCAGACCAACTCAGTCTTTAAAACAAAGAAACAAATCCCTCACAAAGAATATGTAGGGAATAAAAAAGCTGTAAGATGAAATAATAGGGGAAAATAAAGTAATGATTGACAACCATCTTTTAGATTAAGCAGTGCATCATATTTTTCTCTGAAAATGTTTGCAGAATTTTATTTTCCACTCTATATATATTTGCCAAATTCTGGTTTTAACTGTCAGTACCTTTCTGCAAAACCTTCATATGGATAGTTCTTTTCTGGTCATCCTAAATACTAAGAGGAAAACAAAGATACTTCTGTGCAGGACTTTACTGTCAGAGGTGGCTCTGAGATTTACAAGTTTAGCATATGTATAATAAACAGCTTGTTTTATTTGGAAATGGGTGGATACTTTTTAAAAACCTGTAAAGAATATTTGTTTCTTTTCTGTTTGTTTTTTTTTCTTAGTTTAAGGTCTCTTGTGGACTTAAATTTTACACTTACTTTACAGAATTATTTATGTATAAGTAACTGCAGAACAAGCAATCTACAAGTACATTTTGTAGAACTTTGCCATTTTATAAAAGTTAGAATTGAATGCATAAATTTATGTAATTGGCTCTCCTGCAAAGTCCTGGTCCTCAGACTTGATTTCATCTAATCAAGCAATCATTCCTGGTGCTGGAATTTAATGGTTAACCAGGTAAACAGTGTGAAATCTGGCAGCGGAGTTTATATATCACCTGGAAAGGAGGGTATCAGTCCATTCCCTTTCCTTTGTGTTCAGTAATTAAATTTATTTTGTTCTGTAATTATGTAATACCTGGCATGCAGTAATTCTAACCATAACCATCGTCATCTCTAGACATAGCACAGAATTATATGACTATGAAGTTGGATAGTGTGTTTCTTTATACATGATAATAATTTGCAAGTAGTGTATTTTTAGTGACAAATGATACATAACCATTTGTTACGACTAAACATATTCTTACTGCTATTGTGCCATTATTTATTTACTGCAGTATTTAGAATCATTTTCATCTCCCACTTCTTGCTTCCTCTGTGGTTTTGCTTCCATATCTTTTTCTGTGGTGACCATTCCTTTCAGTCATCCTTTGTTGATCACAGCACCAGTGTCTCATATGAGTGTGTCGCACTATTTACATTAAAGAATGTATTCATTGTAGTTACAGTATTTCAAGTAAAGAGAAAAAAAAAAAAGTGTCAAGGAACAGAGAAATGAAAGAAAGTAAAAATCAGTTCCTCAAGTGTAATTTCTGTCTAGCCTTTGCATATACAAAACCAACTTGAATACTTAAGGATTTGAGCCAGACTTTCACAAGTAACTTTATCAAGAGCTCTGAGCGCTGGCCTCTTGCAAAGGTTGTGTTTGAGGGACAAGGTAATATATAGTATATATATAGTGTGTATATATATATATACACTATACACTGTGAGTTTAGCAATAGGATGCATGTATTTATATCTCAGAATTCCTTATTTGAAAATCATATTGGATTCTTTGAGTAAGGCATAGTAGTTATTTGCTGTGAAAGGTTTAAGGACTGGTGCCAGAAGTGACAACAGAACACTGATTTAAAAGGAGCTGTGTGCTGTAGCAGCTGTTGTGTCATCAGTCCTGCAAGAGGGGAAGAAAGGAGCTTGAAGTATTTCAGCCAGTGGACTATCTGAAAGGCTCTCTGAGCTAGGCCACTCTTGTATTCCACTGGGTCTTTCTCAGAGGGTGTGTTTTGTGATATGACGTGGTTCCGTAACTTATTTTGGTGTATTTGTCAGCCAGGCATCCCATCATTTTCTGAATTTCAGGCCTCCCCTCCCTTGGCATGCACTTCCATGGAAAGACTGGTTAGTAGGTTGTTTCATGCTTTGTTTTTGCCAGGCTTGTTACAATATTTTCCACGTAGGACTAATTTATTTTTTAACACAACACCACAAATTCAAATGCTTTTTTTTTTTTTTTCTTCAATCTTTAAAATGCTGTCTAATATACTTCAAACTACCTCTACATTTTTTCCTCTCAGCTGAGTGAAGTGTGAGCCTTTTTATTAACTTCACAGGGAAACTGAAGCTAACCAACAGTTATAAATATTTGTCTAGGACATGGAAGAACTAGTTTTTAAAAAAGAGTAAGCTATTTCTTTACATAAAGAATTGTACCAGAAATTTATCAACGTAGATTTGTGAAATAGAGAATAGGCTTGAAATTAAAAGTACCACCTGTGAATCTGAACTAGGGTTAATGTTTAGTAGGAATAACTCCTTTGTTGCCATATTTCCCAAGTCCTGTTCCTCCTGTACTCCAGACCCCTGAAGGCTTCCCCTTATGCTCATGTGGCATGTGAGGAGTGAGATTATTGCTTCCATCAGAATATTTTAATTCCAGTTGTAGAGGAAGAGAGGAACGTGAATGAGAGGGTCAAGAGAAATTAGAGGAAAAACAGTTTTAAAATGTTGCCTAAAGGCATTCTTGCTGGATTCCATGCTGATAGGAGAGTAACTTGCCTTGTTTGGTCATGTTAACCATTTACTTTGGAGCTACCATTGAACCAGCACATTAAGCCTTGTTTAGCTGCTGCCCTGGAAGAGTCAGAGGCATTCCTTTCTTTTTCTCTAATTTAGCTTTTAAAGCCTAAACTTTTTGTTTCCTGTATCTTTTTTTTTCAACAAAAAAATGTCTACTGTTGTATCATGTCACCCCTACAATGTTTTGTGCAAAACAGAAGAGAGCTTGGTTTCTTTTGTCCCAATTCTAGGCATGGCTTTTCTTGTTCAGCTGGCTCAGCTGACTTAGCTGACAAGAGACATGCTTCATGTAAGTGTAGACCATCTGACCTCCAAAAAACCCCAAATCATAATGAGTTTTAAATGTCTGTATTGGCTTTTGGTGTTTTGGGGGTGGTTTATTTTTCGTGATTACATTTCATCAATAAATGTTAGCTTTTGAAGTACTTCTGACATACTTCTGAGGTATAGGTTTGTTAGATGGTTTTTTCTGGGTCTCTTATGGGTAAGTTTTCTCCCACTGGCTTCATAGAGATAAATTGCTTTAACATCTCTGTAGAATGGAATCCTCCTTCCACTGATGACAATAACAACACTGTAACTGACCTCGTAGAAGCTGAATTGGGTCCTAATAAGGCAGAGTCTGTGGAGATTCCAGCTTTTGTGGCACTGAAAAGCACCATGCACCAAAACAGAAAATAGTATAATGGTTGTAACTGTAGTAGCATCTGTGTAACTTCTTAGAATCTGAAAACTGCCATGTTCTCTTTGGGAAATGAAATAAGCTTATAAACCTACACGATCGGTTCTCGCTTGAAGGATGCTCAGCAGATTGTGGAAGAAGCATGAAGAGCATTCTGGAAAAACAAAAGAAAACTCTCTTTTATTGTATCTCAAAAAGAAAATAATCTTATGTTAAACTGAAAGAATACTAAAACTTAGTGCTATATTGATGAAGATCTCCAATATTAAAGATCTCCTCTAAATACCATCATGTGCTAAATACTGTGCAATTTGCTCTGTGGAAGAAATAAACACTCTTATCACATTCAAGCCTGAGACCTTATCATCCTGTGTTCCATATCAATAAAATATGTCACTTAGTCATCTGGGATTGTGTGTATCGTATGACTGATCAAACACTATGGGACCTCCAGCAAGATGGAGAGGAAAGAAGTGATCTTGGCTTACATACCATAGGAATCAAATGTTATGTGAAACAGCTGGAAGAGTATAATTATGCACTAGTTTATTAAAATATGGTCAACAATTCTGTTTAGGTACACTTAATGGTTGATTAATAAACTGTCTGTGCTTTACTCTGAAGATTTAGAATTAGAAGAATGAATGAAAGTTAAAAGCGTATTATATTATTACTAGCAAAATGAAAGAGCTAAGGTATTACAGATGAATATTTATTTTTTTTCCTGATAATTTTATATTAGAAGGATTTAAAAAATCCAGAATAGCAGGGAAAATATTTATAAATGCACTTTATGATGTAACGGATCTTGTTTATAATGTATATCATAGTGAATTTGGCAGGCTGTAACGGAAGTACAGTGTGAGCTTCTGATCTTATCTTTGCTCTTTGTGACATATTTTCCTTTGCTTATGTAAAACTGCAAGAAAATAAATAGAAAACAACATATAGACTTCATATCTGAAAATAAAAATAAATACTAATCATGATAGAGTTGAGCTGCTACATAATAAGGTGTCATAAAATGCTGGTTAGAAAAGCAGTGGGCTTTGGGCAGTAGATAAAGAAAAGTTCAGAGGGATTCTAAATTAAATAAAGCTTCTTTCTTCTAGCTCAGGCTGAGAAAAAACATGGACCTGAGGAATTTAAATCAACGCCTAAACCCGAATTGGTGCAAACTCAAAACATACTGGGTAATTAATTTTGCTGCTTTTTACATTCTTTGTACATTAAAAGCTTTTTTTACCTCCAGCAGAATTTCTCTACTACTTCCTGCATTCCCTTTGTATTGATCCAAAGGAAGTCCTAATTATAAATTTCTTGTTCCCTTTGTGTTTCTAGAGATTCACATGTGAAATATAAAGCAGGATGCATCTAGCTCTGGCTGAACTGTGGCTATTACATATATATGATTATTGCTAACAGATTTAACTGGGTGATTCCATTTTATTTTTCAAAGTAATGCTTTCTCTCTATGTGATCTGCACGATTGACGTCATATAAAATTTCCGTCAGTAAAGTTAACCTCAGTGACAGAACTGAAATAATTACCTCCTTGATTTTCTTCTGATTACAGGTTCATCTAGGTAGCATCAATAGAGATGCAAAAGGAAAATTTTATATTGCTTGTGACATCATATAACTGTATTTGTCCTGGAGGAAAAAAAGAACTCTACTGTTTTTTTCATAAATGTCTCAGAATGAGAGATTTCTCACCAAAGTACTAGTATTGTTAGTTTTGTGATTTGGAGCAGCATCTACTTACTTCTTGCATTCAGAATTCTAAATTCTCCAATGTTGATTTTGTTGCCTGTATTTTAATCTCCAAACAAGGCAAAATTATGAACACAAATCTAAACTTGAGGTTGTTTTTTGGTTTTTTTTTTTTTTTTATATACTTTGATTAGATTTTTCTGAAGCACAGGTGGCATACTTACAGGATGATGTATGATAAAGGAAAAGATCATCAGCACTTTCAGGACTGAAATGCAGATCTTCCCATGAAGAGGACTGCTAATGCTTCTCAGTAAACATATTTTTACATAATCCTATTGATTCATGTTAATGTCATTCTCTCTCTTTTGTCTTTTTTCATTTACAGTTACAAGCAGACTTTCAGAATTTACTGAAGCCAAACCATCAGTCAATCTAATTTTCTTTCTAACTTTTAATCAGTTTTTTTTTTTTTTTAGCATAATCAACCTTGCTTGGTTTTTGCCATGCTTTTAAATATTAAAATATTAAATTTAATCAAGATGGTTCACTGCTTAATTTAAGACTAGGTGCTCATAGTTACTGATGGATGTTCATCATCAATTTCCTGTGATTGATGGATATTTATATTACCATTAGGGAAAAGGTGATTTTGTTTATATTCCACACACCTCTTAAAGTGACAAAGTTATGTGGTTTTTTTCTAGGTTGGAACAACTTTTTTTTTCTTTTTTATTAAATATCATTAATTTCAGGAGTGAGTGATTTATAAGCCAAAATATAGATCCATACTGTGTCTTGTAATAATCAAGTAAAGCCTTGATTATTTCTTTTATCATAGCTTCTAATGAAATACAGCCACTTCCTTCTGGATCCAGAATCTCTGATGCTCCAAAAAGTCCATTGACAGAACTTGGTAATTACTTTCTTTGTAAATTTGAGTAAAATTCAGTGGAAAAATATCTAAATCTTTTGTTGTTTCTGTGACTGGTAGGTTTTAATGCTTCAGCTGCAATAATACCATTCTGTATGTAAAATATGGTAGCCATTAATTTTTTTCTTCACAAAATTTGTGAATTTTTTCTTCCATTCTAAGTCTGGTTTTGCTTTATTGTCTTGATTATGTGTGCAAATTGATGCTTCATTTTAAAAAACAAGCAAACAAGCAAACAAAAACTCATGAGGATATATGGGATAACTTTTATCTATAGAATGATGGTGGCAATTTATACTTTGCTAAAATCTGTACTCTTAGTTTTGTAATTTTCTTGGAAGTACCCCATAAGCTTCTGAGACTATATTTCAAAGTTGGAGTAGTGTTCCAGTCAGCATCAGTTCTGTGGGTTTTCATGTAGTTTGCCGAATACTTGTATGTTTGGTTAAAACAGTGCCATAATTTGTAGATGATGTTGTGATTTAAATATTCATAAATGTTTGCTTATTTCTGGATTCATTAGTTGTTTGGTGATGAACTTCAGGATACTTTGGAAAGGCCTGATATTTGAGAAAGTATGGCACTGCTCACATTTTCAAAACAGTGTTACCTGTGTTAGGGTCAAAATGTTATGGTCAAAATATTCTTATGGGCAGAGAGGAAACGCACCTTTTTTTTTTTTTTAAAGTTATATTTTATATATATATATATATACACACATTTATGTATATATGTGTAGACATATGTATTTCCATACATGTATATACATATAAAGCCAAGAATTTATTGTTAGTGTAGTCTATCTAATTCAAGAAGAGTTCATTAGGGTAGGTAGAGTACTTACAGAAAAAGCCTCAATAATAGCAGTAACAGTTAAATTAGTAACACAAAAACTTCTTAATATTTACCCTTTTTCCTGATGTTTTGCTCACCCTTCCATTACACCTCTGGGTCCTAAGCTCAGTGATTTTATGCTTGTTTTGGCAATGAGTGGGAATGTTTCCAGTTATGAGCATCTGGAGTCCTGTGCTGGGAGGAATATGATGCTCATGTTGATGATTTCTTTCTCCTACTCTTCTTTCTTTCATTAAGAGACACCTTACACCAGAATTGACCATATATGGTTGCATTTGTTTATGTTAGATACTATTTCAGTGTTCTTGTTATTACCTGTGAAGAAAATTTTGTCCTGCTCCAGGTGTGCAGTTTTTATAACTGACCATCTCTGAGCTGTTTATGGCATGGGGTCTCCAGTGCCGAGCCTGGTCCCCAGCTCTTACCATCCCATGCCTGTAGTCCTCTACGCCATGTCCTGGGTCTCCCCTTCTCAAGACTTCTGCTTACATAACAGGCCTGTAGTTCTCTACACTGTGTCATTGTGTTAGTCATAATTATCTCGTTCTACCGAGACAACTGCTTGTTGCTGCTATCTGTATAAACAGCTATTACACTAGTTAAGAGGACCTTGAATCAGTGTGGATTTATATTTCACTAAGCATTAGCTGAGAAGTTATCATATAATAGTGCGGGTTTATTTAGATGGCATACTTTTACTTAATGCAGTCTGCCAAATTTTAAAATAATTTCCAGGAACAGCTCTTACTTCTTGAAATGCATATTTGAACTAAATTCTCAAGAACATGAAAATGATCTTCATAATTTTTTCTTAATTTGCTACAATTTTTGACAGCTCTTTTCCAGATACATTTGCGGGGATAGGGATACATATTTGTTTTCACTGTAGTGAAAGAAATTTGTTTAAATCCAGTTAGAGGCAGCATTGGAGAGAGAGAGAGAGACGTATGAGGATTTAAGAACGCATTTGATATAAATGTGGCTGAAAAACTGAAAATTATTAGAGACACAAAGTGTAATAACCTAATCCTATGTTTGTCTCAGTGGTTAAAGGTAAAATAATAACAACAGTTGAGGCAAAATACATGTTTCATTCAAGTATTTATTCTGGTTTTGTTCTCATGTCATCAATTCCTGCCAGATAGTCCCACTTAGCAAACGTGGGATTTAATTATGTGAAGCTGGGCCCAGCCGCTGGGTCAGCTGCAGCATCTGTGCTCCCCATGAAGTCAATGCTGAAGTCAAAGATATTCCGTGAGAGCGAGGTGGGGGGCTGTACAGAGGAGATTTCTCTGCACTGTGCCTCTGTATGCCTTGATCACCTGCTGTCAGAAAATCAGCAAAGACAGCAAAATTTAATTTCTGAAGTTTAAGTGTCTGTGACCTGTATTCTGACCTAATGACCCTGAAGACTTTTTTCTTTATTTTTCTATCTCAATTGTACCAGAGGGAGACATCTACTTTGTTTTATAAACTTTCTGTGTGGTCGGTAAATTTTGAATTCAATCCTTTCTGAAAAGATAGCTTTGTTAACATGTCTTCAATGTTCTGATGCCTTTGGAAAATCTCTCATAGTTCTTATGGGATGTAAACGGATCAATGGAAGCTTTTGCCAAAAGCTGTGAATCATACTGCTTTTGTTGGTGTTATTTTCCTCTCTATAAATGTAGAATAGAATAGAGTAGTTCCAGTTGGAAGGGACCTACAACAATCATCTGGTCCAACTGCTATCAGGATAGTGACCTGGCATCATATTTGTTAATGTGATAAACTGGATTGAAAGTAAATGGGAAGCAGATCCAATATATGAAATAAAAGCTTGTTTACTTTTTGACTAACATTCATATTGCCTACAATAGGAATGAACCCTATACCTAGTTGATTGAATGTTTTTCTCAATCTCAAGTATTCAGAGAAGTTTAATTCTAAAATTCTGGTATAACTGATTTTCAAAAAACCTCATCTTGATAAAGACCAATTAAAAATACAGAATGAAATTTTCTCTTTCACTTATATTATAACCTAAGTGGACACAAGTGACTGGTGCAGATAAGTTTACTGGAAAGAGTAGCACTTACTGGCCTGTACACACAGTCGAAAAGGATCTGTTTTCTTAGAAGCAGGGCAGCAGTGCAAAACCTACACGTGATGGATACTCTTTCATGATGGCCTTTAGGTAAGACTGCCCAATTCCACCTTGATTCCTTGTTTTCATTAAAGCACACTTCAGGTTATCCATACTTCAAAGTGAAATAACCATAAGGTTTTTGTAATAGTCTTCATTATAGCAGAACTGATAACAGATGTTCTTTACTAACCTTCATGATTATTTCGGTGACCTCATTGTGCTACTCTTTTTTTTAATCTTTTCCCATTATACCTCCTTTTAAAATAGTTGCACGTTATATAATAGTAACCAGTTTATACAGACCTGCAAGTGCTGGGAAGATCAAATGTATTGCGTTTGGTTTGTAGCTGCTTTGCTGTGAAGAAAAATGTCTTAAATAATATGGATTCAGCCTGATGAAATAATGTGTGCTGAAGTTTGAATGGGGTGAAATTTAATAGAAAGAAGAGACCTTCAAACCAGACAAAAACTTGCTAGTTACAGTTGGAATGAGATTTTGTACCATTTGCAAGGAGAGTGTCCGTCTCAGTATCATAAATTTTTTTTTTGTTTGCTCGTAGCTACTCGGAGTCCAGCCTTGAAATCCGTATCTCTACCTTCTGCAGAAACCGGAGAGATAGAGATGGGTAATCAGCAGATTAGTTCCCTGATTTTTTTCCATTATCTTAGCATCATGTAGATCTGCAAATGGTAATTTTAAGATCTGCTTCAGAATCTTGGCTACCAACACTCACAGATAGCTGCTTATTCACCATTCTTGTGTCTGTGTAACCAGCTGAAAAACATACTTGTTACTGGCTTAAAAATTGCTTAAAGACAGTGTTGTCATATCTCATCGTTAGCTGATTTCTTCTCATATAGCTGCAGCTCTTATCCCATAAAATTTAATAAGAGAATTCCTTGCTGATAAGAATTCTTTCAGGCATGTGGAACTCACATTTCAAGGCCAGAAGACTGTATTGCAAGCCATCATCTCCTGTTGTCATGGCACAGTTGTCTCACATCTCACTTTCAGGCCATCTACCATCTTGCTTAGCTTTGCATTAGCATCATCTGGGATTGCACAGCCTTCACTAAGCTATTTGATGTTAATCCATTAAGTCACAGGTCTCTCATCATTTTAAGCTCAGATTTTTTTTCAGCTTTTGAGGAAACACAGCCTGTTTCTTCAGGATCCAAAACATCTGGTACCACAGAAGTGCAACCAACCAGATCTGGTAATGATTTCTCATAAGATTAATTCTCTTGACAGTTAGGAATTTTCAGAAGAGACATAGTGCCTCTCATTAAATAGCTTGTTCAGTTTGACATAAATGAAGAATAACTGCAGTTACAAAAGTGCTGTATCAAATAGCAGTTTCTTTATGACATTTTATATGAAACACTGAACTAGTAATTTGGAGATTTTTCCATATTTGGCTACAGCATGCAATTCTTAGCTTTAAAATTAAATCAGACTTACAGTAAATACTAAATTTAAATAGGTTTGTTCACTCCTGAGTTTTGTAAATGGAATATCCTGATTTACTGAAGTACTCAGAGTCCTAAGGAATGAATGGAAACTGCAGAAATTCCAACATCTTTTGAAAATGTAGCTCTTCTTTTAGCCTTTCTATACAAACATAGACATAATTTGAAGTGCCCAGATTTCAAAACTTGCACTATAAAAACATGTCATTGAAGATTCAGACACTGACTAGTTGGTCCTTAGAAAATTTCTATCATGTGTTTCTCTTATTTTATAGATGAATTTGTAAGCTAGTTACTTACTTGTGGCCACTGACAGTTATCCAAAAGGAAAAAAAAAATAGTAAGATGAAAGCCAGTTGGAAAGATTTCACTTCATTAGTGTGCCAGTAGTGTAATGCCTGATGCATATGTTTTTGAAGAAATTAATTTTTGAAGGAAATTTATTACTAAAGGGGATATTGATTGCAACTGCCAGCCATTCACATCTCTGACAAAAGATAGTTTATGTGTTTTATTTGGTACAGGTCTTGCTTTGTCATCCTTTCTCCTTCTCCAATTTCAGTACCAGGATATCCTCCTCCTTGATCCTTGGAATTCTAGACAAAAATTCCATGCAGTCTCAGTTTGCTAATCTTTATTCATTATTTGTTCTTCTTCTTTGAGCAGCCTTGTATTTCTCTTTTTTAACTCTATAGTTCAACTTCTTTTTTGTGTGGTTCTGCTAAGTTTAGTCATTAGTTGCCTTAGGTATCTCTGCATTAAGGCATGGATTTGGAAATTGTTTTCAAGTCATACTTAATTGGTTATTGTACATTTCAGTCGACCTTTCTGCATAACATAATAGGTTAACCATTACTTAGAAGTTCCTTCAGCTCATAAAATAATATGATGCTGTTGCATGATGGTTCTTGTCACTTCAGAACAATACAGCATGATTTTTGTTTTTATTTTCCAGCTTCACATGACTTTCTTCATGTTACTTCTACTCCTCAAACCCTTACAGCTTCAGAAATACCAGACACTGGTAAATTATAGCAATATTATTTCAGAAACATACCTTTTTGGTTGGTTAGTTGGTGCTGAAAAGTTTATTACTGCTTCCATGTTGGTGATTTCAGATAATTATTCCATACTGCTTGCATTGGGTGTTGCCCTAGGTGTTAGTCTTTCAAATCTTGTAACAGCATCCTCATTCCTGGAATTAGACACAGCACAGGATTAAAGCACAACTGCAGCTAGTTTACAGAGCCTGAATAAGGAAGTAGCAATCAAATGTGTCTGTCAGGAAAAGATCTGAATTTTGCAAGTCTTAAGACTGTTACGGTCAAGTAAGTTATGATACATTTTAGTGATAAGATTGTCTTCTTTCTCTTTCTTTCTCTCTGTTTTTCAATGTCCATATTTATTTTGCTGTGATTTTTCCTATGTATTGTCTTAAAATAAGAAAAAAAACATATCTCAGGCTAAACCTTTCTAAGCTATGCTTTGGGTTACAGCTTCAGAGGTAGGTTGTTTTTACTGTAGCCTTTGATATGTGAGGATGCTTAAGTTTTTCAAGTGATGCTTGAACATGAACAAGTATGTACATAAGAGGTGAGGGCAATGGAGACGGGGTAGGAGGAGGTGGAGGGTAAAGGAAAGCAGTTCGTTACTGAAAACTTTACTCTGAGCAATGCAGCTGTAGTTTATTAGGTTCTCTGCTGTATAACCTGCTCTGGTTCTTGGCATCCCAATACAGTTTTCAAGAGTTCAGTTTTGCTGCACTCCTCTATAAAGCATCCTACTCCCAAGCAATGGTTCTAAATCAAGTTAGTTCATTCTGTTATATGGGTTACCTGAGACCAAATATGACTGAAAAAAATTGGCTGAAATTGAGAAACTGCACAGAGCTAAGTGACTTAATGAAGTGGTACCAAGAGACTTTAATTTCCTGAAATCAAAATTTTTCCTAAATTTGTTGAAGAATTCTTAACTTCATGGAAAGATGTATTATAAGTTGAAAAGCTGTTTGTTCAGGTGCTATTTAAGGCACATGCATGTAAAATTATATATACATTGCTTTTCAAACAATGTGTATACAGTGTTTTCACAAAGAAATTTGTGAGCATTTGCACACATAGGAAAACTAGAATAACATACTCTGCTGAGTACCTAGGGTATCTGAAATACTTAGAAAAAAGGTTAATTTTGTAAATAAATAAATAATAATAATAATAAAAAATACTCTGCAGAGCAGTGGAAGGTAAAATTTCTTTTTCCCAAATTTTCCTTATTTATTTACATGATGTTATTTCTTTATTTACTTTTTTTTTTTTTCTGCAGCTAGAGATACTACTGAGTTGGAAATATCCATGCCCATAACAGCTTCAGAACCTCAGTTGTTAGAAACAGCACTGGGTAAAATTGATAAAATTACTTTATTTAACTATAAAGATTTTTTTTTTTTTCATTCTTACCCTTGCTGCTATTTTTGTAAGCTTTGTGTTGCTTTAGTTGTCACCATCCCAGTAATTCATACCACTTATAGCTGCCATTAACTAGATTCTCATCTGCACTCATCATTCATCTTTGTAGACGGAAGATCAGGGACATAGAGGTGGGTTCCCTTTAGTTGGTTGGGTTTGGTTTTCTCATTATTGAGGTTCCCAGCTGTGGACCTGCCTTTCGCAGTTTGGGTTTTTTTCCCTGTGCTGAGAGAACTTAACTGTGATGGGGAATTAAGCATTTAACATATATGTTTGTGTAATGTTTCTGTGAAAACATTGTTTTGACTAGCTTTATACTGACTAGCCCACTGACTGTTTTCTGGATCAAAAGGTATTTTCTTACTGCCTGAAATTCTTAATGTACTAAGAGTATTAAGTAGTCATAAGAATTCTCATTAGTAAGAATAATTAGGTCACGTGGTTTCCACACTGACTTCCACACCAGCCTTAACAGTTCATGAGACATAATAATGCCTTAGCTGATTTGCAAGCAAATTTCCATGTACTTCCATCTTAACAATGCAACATTTGTCTGCAGATACTACCCATAGTAGCTCTGAGGCAATCAAGCCTTTTAACACATGATTATCTTTTTGGATTTAGGTGAAAGGAAGCCTCTTTCTTCAAGATCCACAACACCTGGCATGCCAGAAATGCCACCAATCTCAGCTGGTAATCATATCTCTCTTCATTGTAGTTTTCCTGACATCTAGGCAGTCTCTCCAAAGACACAGCGATGCTTAGTTAAATGGAGGGTTTATTCTGGCTTGTTCTGTATAAAAGTGTAAATGGAGAGAGACAGACCTGTTATATCTGCTGCAATGTTTGAGAAATTGGGAATTAAATGTTGGAATGATAAGATTAGTTTTTCTGATGTTTATAAAAAATTAGCTAGATTATCCTGTGGGGTTGTCATCCATTTTGTTTTTGTAAAGGATTGTGCATATATGGAGGCCTCTTAGTTGGAATGGTTGAATTAGTGCTAACATGTCAAATTTGGTCCCTTTGTACATTGGATGCAAAGTTTCTCCATACATGGAAAAAACTTTTGCTGCTGTTCTTAAGAATAACCCGTGAGTTTTTAACGATGGGAAAATGCCAGTTACTGATGTGGCTAGTGAGTCATTGAATGTTGCTGGATAAGGTTCATGCAGAAGGGACCTGAACAGGAGGGTTTCAATTTCTAACGGTTGTGAATATCAAAAAACCACAGAGAAATCACTAGGCACCATTTCCTTATTATGGCCAACTTCATCTTTGTGCATATTTGAAAACTGTCACCGGCAGTCTTGCCTCCCTTATGTCTGGAGTCAAGCCCACAGTATGGCAAAGATGTGCAGTGCAAGTGAGTACAAATAGATGAGATTTTACATTGGTTTATGTATTAGGTTGTCCATTTTCTCTGTGCAAAATTAAGATAAGAAACTATGAGGAAGTCACTTCAGTGAAGTTACTTGTTCTTTGGCTGCAATGGGATGATGGATGGTACAAGTGTAAGTGGTTGAAAGATGTGCTAGTTCTGCAGAAAAATTTCCTTTAGTCACTTGTTTGCTGGCATTTTTCTACAAAGTCCCTGTGCTTTATTAGTGTCAGTGAACGAGATTTCTGACCCATAGAATGAAGAATTTGGTTGATTCTAGGGAAGAGTGAGATCAGATCTTGAATTCTAAATACAAAGATAAGTCTCTTGGCTCCCATGTTCCCTCTGCAATGACTGTGGGCATCTTTCAAGGAAATGTAAGGAGTGCTTTGGTGAGGTAGTCATTTAGCCATTTTTCTGCTGACGGAGAGCCATTTAGCTGCTGAGTTTCTAGGAACATTGTGTTAGTTGCAACCCCAGCAAGGCAGTGGCCTGCTGATGTGGTCGCTGAGGCACGAGATACTGCCAGGAGAAGGGACGTTTTTCCCTCAGTACAGACCTGTGGGGTGTTGTGAGCCGGTGCTGCTTGTATAGCGATGGCAAAACGGCGCGGAGCTCTCAAGAGCGTTTTCATGTCTGACCGTAGCAAGCCAGAGACCGGACCTGGAATCCACCTCGTCTGCTTCACCGAAAGCCACAAGGACTGTGATGGGTAAATAGCCAGCGACTCCCTTCCTGTGTTGGTTACGTTGGCAATGCTTTTCTCTGCAGCGATGGGCCCGTTCAGATGTGTTGATGTCCTGAAAAGCGGGTCCCTGATGCAGCTGGTCCCTTATGGTTCCTTACTAGAAACTGCTCCATTTGTAAGCTTTCTGCTTCCTTTTCTGCTGGGGTTCCACTTCTAGGTTTACCCTGCTACCTTGGGCTGCCTATGCCAGTCGAAAGACAGCGTCATGCTGCTACGGGGGGGTGATGCTGTGACACGGAAGCCTGCCCTGAGCAGGGCCACGTCTCCTCGTTTATAGCTCTGTCTTGATACCACCCATGCGACACCAGCCTGTCTGAGGACCTGAAGGTGGTTTTTGTCTTTGATCTTAGCTACTCGAAGACCAAGGCTGAAGTCCACCACTCCTTCCTCCCTGGCCACCCAGAAAACCGTGATGGGTAACTAGCAAAACCCCTTCTTTTTCCATTTTCCCCTTTCTCTCTTGCTCCCCATCACGCCTCCCACCCCAAACCACCCGGCATCTCTGTCATCTCCCATGGGGGGAGTCTGGAGACTCGTTGGTGCAGCTTGTTGGCTTGTCGAAGCACTCGCCACACTTGTTCTGCGATTCTGTTGTTTGATCCCATGCTTTTTCCATTGCTGACGAGCTTTTCTGGCAGGGACCGAGCGGCAGCTTGCACAGAGAACGTATTCTTGCACCTTGCCTTCAGCTGCCATCCCCTTGCTTCTTTGTGTTTTGGTAGCGGGTCTTCCTTTCTCTGGCACGTTCACTTGCAACAGCGTTCTTAAGAGGCAAATCCCAGCTGGGCTGGCACAAGGGGACAGCACTGCCGTTCAGCTGCCCGCCCGGGTCTCTGGTCCAAGGGTGCAGGTATTGGTTGCTTCACCACTGACTTCCAGGGCGGCTGGTTGTCATCTGCCCACAGCCTTACATTGCCATCAGCTACAAGTGGGAGTGCCCTGCTCTGGTGCTGCGTTTGAGGTCACGCTCGGGCTTTAAGAGCAATGCCTCTTTTCAGCTTTTGGTGAATCACAGTGTGTTTCCTCAACGTTCAAAGCACTGGCAGCCTTTGGCGCCCGGCCGTGCTGCCAGCCTAATTGGTAACAGTATTTCTTGCAGATCTGGTAACAGTGCAAACCGGAATTGTCCCAAGAGTTATTGTTGTGCTTTTAGCCGAACTGTTCTTTCTCTTGGGCCCGGGTTGGGGTGAAGCATTAGTGCGTGGCTGAGTCGGCCATATGGGAAAAGCCGTATTTACTGAAGGCGTTGGATACAGCACTTGGTGACGGTGGGTGCAGGTGCTCATGGAGATAGCTTCTTCCACACTGCCAGGTGTGCGAGGCCAGTTCTGTGGCCTGGCAGTATGTTTTGGCCCCCAAGGTGACAAAGCAGTACGTGAGCAGGCTGGTAAGCCTACAGACCTGATGTCAAGTGCGAGTTAAAGGTGTAGGGAACCATATTAAGTGTCTTGCAATGTTATTGTGGCATTTGTCTGTAGCAATCTTGCTTTCATATCAGCTGAGATATGTTACATGATTGCTTGGTCTTTTGTAGGGAAGTTACATTTCTTGGCTTGTATTACTTAAAGGACTTTTCTTAGCTTTTCTTTTTTCTTAGGTTTTACAGTGGAGAAATCAGATTCTTGTAATTATAACAAAACATATAAATTTGGCTGGTCTGAGTATTTTTTTTTCTCTTTCCCTCTCTGGTGATTTTGTCTGGATCACTTTTCACATTTTTTTATTTTTGCCAATTTTTTTAATTGGATTTGTTTCAGTATCATCATCTCATAGATTTGCTTTCTCTTAGCCTCCCTTTGCCCAGTCTTGATATTTTTCAGTTTTAAATTCCTTCTAAATTCACAGGAACTTTTTCCATTCTACTTGTGATGTCTCATTTCATCTTTTGAATCATATTTACATGTTTTTACACATCTTTCCACATTAACCTCTTTTTAAAATTTTGCTTATTTTACAGATCATATTTTTATGTTTCTTCAGTTCCTTATTATTTGGACACTAAACCATCAAGTCCATGGTTGTAGATGATGCCATGGTGTGATGGTTTGTGTATCTTTTAAATAATCAGACACAATTTTTTTTCCAGCCTCACATGAATTTCTTCATATTACTTCCACTCCTCAAACATCTACCTCACCAAAAATTTCAGGGCGAGAGACTGGTAAATGGCATTTGTTTTATTTCCAATTCCTGATCTTTCTTTATTTAAGTACTATTGCAATATTGTTATTTTCCTGGCTTTTTAATGTTGCCTACAGTGGTCTTTCATTTATTTCACTAAGGCTTCATGGTATTTGTAATAGTTGCCATTATCCAGCAGTTCTAGCCACAAGTAAATGATCCTGATCTGATCTGGCTATTTCAGGGTAGTAGATTACTGAAGGGTTGGGGGCGGGGGGGCGCGGAGGAAGGGCCTGGGGCAGAATATAGCAGATGAGAGAAAACTGTCGAGCTTTGAATTTTGGGTTGTCAGTACAACCGTTATCCTTTGGGGAGGGAGGGAGGGAATGTTTTGTCTTTAGCTAATAGGCACTTTTAAAAGAGGTTTCTTGGTTGAACATTTGTTTCCAGTTATAACTTTAAGTAGCCTCTAATACTCAAATTACTGGTACAGTACAGCATTTTAGTATTAAAAATTATTTTTACAGTTATTTCTGCTAATAATGTATTATTTCTCCCTGTGTATTTACAGAGAACATAATTATTTAGGCAGAATATGTGCATTTGTATTTGAAAATGAGTTTTTTCCCAGAATATGGTCATAATGAAAAAAGTAGAGGGTTGCTCAGAGGTTATCATTTGTGTTTCTGTTCATGCTAGGATGATTTAAGCAAATGATATTTTATTACATCATTGTATCAGACATCATTCTCTTTCTGGGGACCAACTTTAAAACCCGTTGTTTTGATTCTGCAGTAAACTATGCTGAGACAACAAAGCAATCATACAGAATGCTGGCTTCTGAGTGGAAAATTAGTTGAAGCTACTTCTTCATCTCCTCTTGATAAGTTTACAAGTGGTGTTCAGTACTGTAAGGGCAGTGAGCATTAATCTTTTTGAATGCACTTACAGAAGTGCTATATAATGCTGTATGTCAAAAATGCACGTCTTATGACCTGATCGAAGTAACTCGCACAGATTATATGGAAACATAGGACTATGGATATTCCACATTTACTAAATGTACAGACAGTATTAGGAGTCTCAGGAAGGATTTGGTCCTTAATTTTAAGTGCACAAGTCTGAAAGTGCCAGGTAGTATGAACTGTAAAATATTTTGAGAATAGTAGGGCTGTGTTTCTCTGGTCAGCATGTTTAAACTAGAATATAAATCTCAAATAATGTAAAATCAATTCAGGCCTGGGTTTTCCACTCATTTGCACTTCTATACTCTTATTTTGTTGGTGTAGAAGAGGTGGCTGAATTGCTCTGAAATCAATTTAGTTGGTTATCCACTGTGTGAGGGATGAATAGCTGCCCAAGGTACAAAGCAGTGGTGAATCAGATCTTGAAGTCTTCAGTGTAAAACAGCTGTTACACATTTCAGCTCAGTGCTGATGATTTTTCATTTTAGTAATTCTAAAACTTACTAACTGGACAGCTTCTTGTGTTTGTTGCTGTACTGGTTAAGTGCAACTTAGTAATCATAGGTACAGAAAAAATGAATTTGTTAGCAATGTATTTGTGAGAGGCAGTGCGATCTAAAATCCTAACACATGAAAACGACATGTTTCTCTATTACAGTAACTATTCAAGCACCTTTCAAACCTGTTACATCTGACAGCACTGAAGTGGAACTGGGTAAATGATCATTAACATTTTTGTCATCTGGAGATTAGCTAATTACACCATATGTACATTATTCATGTTTTCCCTAGTGTTATTTGTTAAACATTCATCAATGTTCTTTTAGTTTCTCATCACAGATAAATTTGGAAAAGTCTTAGCTTTTATCTGTAACAGAATTCACACCGAACACAAACATGATGCAGCTGTGTTAATACTCCATGGGTGGTACTGACAGTTACTCTGCCTCTGTGTGAATGCAGTATTTTTGTTTCCTTTTAAAATTGGGAACTCTATTTTATCCAAGGTCATTCCAGTCAAATCAAACTGTCTTTGTTAGATGGAAAACTTTTAGCAGCTAATAGTGTGACTTTACTGCTCTCTGCAGCATGTTCTTTCAGAACTTCCACAACATTCTCTCTTGATGTAAAGAACTGGGCTACCTAGATTTCATATTACCTGTCCTTCAACTTTAATCAGTTATGAGTGCTCTTAACATCAAGAGGCTGGTTGGACTCAATGATCTTAAAGATCTTTTCCAACCTAAACAGTTCTATAATTCTAAGATCATGCACCTACTCTTAATTTTTTCATACATGAGTGACCATAGAAATAGATGATGTTTTTTGTATGCCAGCTGAATAATTTTCTAACAGAAATAGTGGTCTTAATGATCTGATAGAATCTGATTTTTTGCATTTGTGTTTGCATTAAAATACTGTCATAAAAACATAAAGATGTTTTTAAGCCATTTTCTACCGGAGGAGAGGTCTTTCTCAATAATCCTGTTTATATCAAAGTAACATTGTGGCAGTTGCGAGGAAAATCCAATCCCTGGGCAAAATATTAAATTGTTGACTATGTTTAGGACTTTTTTTCTATTTTGTTAGCTGTTTCATTAGCTTCCCAAAGACCAGCTTTGCTCAATGTCTCTTTCTTACCTGGTAACCAGAGGTATAGCAATAGGTAAATAGCACATACTTGCATTATAGCTTCCACTTTCTCATCACTGCCCTGGGCTGTAGTAAGACCAGAAGTCATTCTCTTTAAACAAAATGTGTCTCTCAGGTTTCTTGTGCAATACTCTCATGTCAACTGTTTCTTTGTACTGGCAAGTAGAATGCATTCTGCTCAGACTGAATAACTGAGGAAAATACTCATATATTACTATAAGCAGTTTTATCTGGGTTTATTACTTGAAATTTTCTCTACCTAAACTCATTGAAAGGATACAAATTCTGTGTCTTGGAAGTGTAATAGATACGACAGTAACACTGATCAAACTCATGTTGTATCTATACCATAGGAGCCATCAGCTTAGTTGTTCTTCTGTCAGTCATCTTACAGCTGACTCTCAGGCCATTTAATGTCTTGATTTCTATTTGTCTCATCATTTACTTTTACCAAACAACTTCTGCCAGCTAGGTAATGTGGTATTTTAGTGGCTTTGATGCCACTGCAACTTTTAAAACTCAGATTCTCTTTTCAGCTTCTGATGAAACACAGCCTATTTCTTCAAGATCCACAACCTCTGCTATTCCAGAAATGCCATCAGCAAAATCTGGTAATGACATTTCTTGAAAATGCAATTTTATTAGTGTTAAGAATTCTCGAAAAAAAAGTCCTTATGCTTTTGATTGTAGTGTTAATTTTTATTTCTTTACCTTGGGGTTAATATTATTACAGGGAAAAGGTAGTATATTGCTGCGTTTGGCATAACTATTTAGAAATAGTAGGCTTTTAGGATTATCAGGACACAGAATACTGGAGTATTATGGTTACCTTTTTTGGGGGTTATATACAGTTATATCTCTTCTTTTGGGTAATTTCATACTACTCATACTATAATTTTTTTGGAAGTTTGAACGACAGAGATGACTCAGATTATCATTGTTTATTTGTACTTTTGTTGAACATTAATTTACTTATACTGTAATTTCTGATTTACACCAATATTGAGCCCTGCCCCAATTCAGCTGTCCTGATATTGCAAAAGTGCCATATCAGCAGATTCCCTGAAATCAGTAGAACGAGCGGCAGCCACCAGTGGTTAGTTATTCTGAATAAATAAATAAATAGCAGTACTTTTGTCAGTCATAATACTCTATTCGTGCAGTGTACTTTCACTAAAATCTTTTCCTTCAAAATTATGATTACAAAACTATTTTGATAAAGGGTGATTTGACAGATTCAAGCTGAACACAGTATTTGTTTTCTTTTGTATTTTTTACAGTAACTGTTCACATACTTTTGCAATCTGTTACATTTGACTCAAGTGGAACTGGGTAGATGCCCCTTCCAACCTCAATTATGCCTTGTTTCACTGATTCCATGATACTGCTTTAGGTTGATACCACATGCTTTTGTTACTCAGAGAACCATTCCCGCATGACTTTTAAAAATGCAGGCTAGCTGGATTTCATGTATATCCCATATTACATTAGGTTCGTTTATAAACTAAATGGTAAAATTTCTAACTTTGATGTTTAGTAGTGAGCTTTTCTGTGCAGACAAAACAATGCTTCTTGTAACCTGAGCTATTCATTTACTCTGCCTCTTTGTCTAAAGGGGTCATCTGAAGGGTTTTTTCCATGTTCTATGTATAAATTTACTAACTTGTATGCATACAGTGATGTTTTTAGGTTGAATTAAGCACCGATTCATAACTTTATGCCTAATGTCTAATGTGAAGGCATGATGTATCAAAATAACATTAGGCATTTGCAGGTACTTATTTAAAAGATTTATCTGGAACATCCAAACTGAAGTTTAGAGGAGAAGGGGTTTGCTCTCAGCTGTAGCTATTCAATAGAATTTTGGAATCAGATGCAGACAGCTGGCTTTGTAGTAAATGCATCAAAATTAGATATTATGTATCCAAAATCAAAAAACAACCCTCCCCACAAGACCAAGAATAGAGTAGGCTACCGCAAATATCAATTAGAAGTGTGTATACAAGAAATCTAAAATAAATTTAGATATTTCAGACCTGTTAATAAATGGCCAAAGATCACCTTATCTAAAGACTGATCTCATTCATGGTTTCAAGATTGTTTTCATATTTGATCTTAGCTACCCAGGAACCAGACTTGAAATTCACATCTCATCCCTCCATGGAAACCAGAGGTAGTGTGATGGGTAAATAACATACAACTCCATTAGCTTTTCCATCCCTTGCCTTCACTTCCATTGGCTGTGGCCAGTGCTCAGATTCATTCAGATACATTGCTTTGAAGACTACTTGATGCTAGGCTTTTTTTTTTTTTTTTTCCTTTTTTTTCCCCCTTCTTAACTCAGCCATTTCCATATAATCGAAGCTGGAAAATAATTTACCACACTGACTAAATAACAGTCTACAACAGACCTCTGCTAACATACATTGCCTTTAATTTTCTTCTGGTAGTTGCAATTTTCTTTCAGAGAATAGGTACTTAAAAAAAAGGCCAGTGAGAAGAATTCTACCTATCCTGCGATACCAGATTTGACCCTACTTTATCTCACACCAGCTTCAGTGTTTATGTAACACCTCATTTCACAGCTGATCTTTAAAGCTGCTGCCATCTTGCTTGATCTCACATCAGTGTTGTCTTGAACTTCCCAACAGCTGCTGTCCAAACATGGTGGCTCTGAAGTCACTTCTCATTTTAACTCCAGATTTTCTTTCAGCTTTTGATGAAAAGCAGCACATTTCTTCAACATCTGAAACATCTGGCACCCAAGAAATGCCACCAGCTGTACCTGGTAATACTTGAAAATGTGATTTTAAATAGAAATACTCACAGAGATTTCATCATACTTTTGGTATATTGTAAGTTAAGTTTAACATGAAATCAGAATAACTCCAGAAATGTAATAATTGATGTGCTCTCTCAAATACCATAATAACTTCAGAAATTTTGTACGATGCTCTGAAGCAGTAAATACTCTCATCTAATTTTGGTCTACATTCCTAATATATTTACAAGTCTGTATTGCTGTACATGATTATAACAGGCTTTGGCATGTCTTATTACACATAGTAGCATTCTCTTTTTAAGTTGCAATACTGCAGATGGGTAAGAGTGAAAGCTAGTATAAGTTTAGTTTAAATAACTGACTGAAACTATTCTAATGGTTGAAAGTGTTGAGCAAGTCCCATAGAAATAACAGGATCAATAGCAGTGAATACGTAGGCTTCAAAATAGTGGAGAATGGACCCTTAAGTCTTTTTATATTTAAAGCAGTTATCTACGTTAGATGTTTTGCTGCCAGTGAGTGAGACAAAATAGGTCCAAGACTAATAGAAATAAAAGCATGCTTATCACATATATTGCTGTATTGCTTGAGTACTTTTTAAACAAAACTGCAAAACATTGTAATTAAAGAAAATGCAACAAGCATTTGAGCTGGCACTTCTGTGGTAGATGTGAAGCTTTCAAACAACCTTGAAACCTGTTATACCAGACTCCAGTAAAATTAAACTGGTTGGATGATGGTATTTTCTTGACATTTAAATTACTTACACTTATATAATAATATAAAGTATATATTTTTCCTGTTCTTCCATGCCAACATTTATTCTTTAGAATTCTTCTACTTCCTGTGTTCAGAAAAGAAACTAAAACTTACCCATGCCTTACAAAATGACACTGAACAAATGCAGTTTTATCAGTGCTCAGCGTTCTGGTTGTTTTACTGTCCCAGCATAAAGAAACATTTAATTTCCCTTCAGTAATGACAATTCCATCCAAAGTCTGTTTCAAGTAGTTGCTAGAACTCTCTTGCTGTAAAAAGTAAACTAAATGGGTATTTGACAGGAAATTTTTAGTAGCTGTCCAACTGCCTGTAATTGCAGGTTAATGGCAAAGCCTGCAGATTCCAACTAAACATTCGTAAAATCAAGAAATGGAGATGAGTTCAGTTTTACGCACTTATTCTTCAGAGGTATTAGTCAGTGTTTATCATTAATGCATTTTCCGTACTGAGCAATAACTTACAGTCAAATGCCTTAACAGAAAGTTTCAGTAATGGTTTTCCATATATATTGATATAATAACACGTCCAAATTCAATTCTTCATTCTGCATGCTTTGCTTATAAAGAAAGTTATACTGCACTCTCTTCAAACCAAAGAGATAATTTCCCAGTGCTTACAGTGTTTGGGAAAATCAAGAAAATCACGTCTGAGCTAGACTGGAATTCAGCATAAACATTTCCATGGAAAGATAAGTCTGAGATTTGAAGGATAATTTAAAAATGTGAATACATAAGATAGTCGTATTTAATTAGCATATTCTAGGCATAGGCTTGGTACGAGATAGGAACCATAGGCACGTACAGTTGTTTGAATTTAAAGGACTTCCTTGGAATAACCTGAGGAATTCTGGTGCTGTGTGTGTGTCTGTGTGTCTGTGTCTGTGTTGGGGAAGCAAGGGTGAGAGAAGAGAGAGAACTGAAGAATCTTTCAACTGAAAAAGAAGGTTAGGAAGTCCAGCCACACAATGAGGACTGACATGAAATACTTGTTTACATGTTATTTCTCCTGGAATGGGTCTCAGTGATCATAATAATCTCTTTTTAAAACCTATTGCTTTGTTGGTCACTTGTTTATTAGTGTTTATAGTAAATGACTATTGGTTGAGGTTGTTCAAGCCTGTTTAAACTCTTCCTTATTTCTTGAAAATTGATTAATGATTTCACGTTTATTCTGCTCTACAGAGCTACATAACTCAAAAAACTAATGTGGTTATTCAGGCCATGAACAATACTTTCAATCTAGACTTACTTTTTTCCTTTAAAACCGCAATGTTGTCATTTGTGCAGAGACTGCCTATTTCAACATGACTTTCATATTTGATTTAGCTACATAGAGACTAGTCCTCAAGTCTACATCTCATCCTTTTTGGAAACTAGACAAACAGTGATGAGTAAGCAATGTGGGATTCCATTTTAGTTTTCATCACATTGCCACTTGCTTCCTTTTTTCTGCTGTGAACATGTTTGCTTCTAAGTCTAAATGACAAGCTTGTTAAAGAACAGTTTTGTGTCAATCACTTGTTGATCAGCAGCTATAAAGTACAGAGTGCTAAAGGACTGGTCTTTTATACCAGCTTGTAACAATTTCATTTTTCTGTTGATGTGATTTTAAACTCTAGAATGTGTAAAAGAAGATTCTTAGGAGTTCTGTCTAGCATCAGATATTGGATCACGTTGCCACCATATTTTTCTCTTTATTCACATAATACAGAGAGGACCTTTAAGCATTCAGTGTCTTGCTTGTGTTTGCATTTACATCACCTCGCACAACACAACTTGTGCTGGGTAGTGTGTTGTGCTGTCCCAGCAACAGTGAGATTCCTCTGCATTTAAATCCAGATTTTATTTTCAGCTCTTAATGAAATACAGATAGTTTCACAATTCATGTCTAAAGCATCTGGAGTCCCAGAAATACCATCACTCCAATCTGGTAATGACATTTCTTGGAAACTGAGTGTTCTTAACAGTGAGGAATTATTAGAAGAATTCCCAGTGTGCTTTTGGTGAAATGTTAGTTTAATTTTCTTTACTTTGGGGATAAGAACAACTGCAAGATGAAAATTCTGCATTGGGTACTACTTTCATTTAAGGCACTGTATATGTTTACAATGCTGGACTTTTTTTTTTTTTTTTTTAATTCTTAGTTCACTTTTGCAATATTAATTGGTACTATTACCCATAATTTCCATTAACCAATTATATATTACTTAATGTAAAAAAAATTTTACAGTACAGTATTCTGGACACTTCTGTGCCTGCGAAATACTATGAGGCTAGCAATCAAATGTTAACTTCTTGTTTATATGCACAGTATTCTGATACAGAAAACTACTGTATTTTCCAAGTATATATTCTTACACAAGTAAAGGGATTTTTATCATGGTCTTTGCTTTTTACTGTTGTCATTTCCATATATGTCCACTAATTTCTGGAAAATAATATGTGACTCTTCTTTTAGCTCATGCTTGTCTAACAGCATGGATATGAGAATCTGTCTGTCTGAACGCCTCTTCAGGATGAAAACCTGCTCCTGTAAATTAAGGAGATATGCTCTTCCATTAGAGATTCATACAGATTTTGGTTAAGAAAACACAAGTTGTTTTTCTTCTAGTAGTTGGCTCAATTCTTGATGGAAATCCTTATGAAGGTCACCTGTATGCATTTTTCCACAGAAAAGCTACTCTTTCATATTTTCCCAGACATATATTATTTTAGCCCCAAAGCTCAGATTTTTAAGGGTGGTGAAGAATATAGCAATCTGACCTAGTTAATTGTTTTTCAGTTTAAACATAAAGTGGTCATTTCCAAAACTTGACCATGTCTTTGATGCAGGCTGAAGTTCTGGCTACATATTCATTGGCTAGTTCTCAATTTACAGTTTGAAAATATTTGTTTGATGCTAGAAAACAGATTTTGGGATCTGTCATTTGTTGCAGTTACAAGGTAGCTCTGGAACATCGTGACTGCCATTATTGTCTAGTAGGAGCAGTGTTCAGCAAGTTTGGATGTTTTGGTAATACAGAGTGTCAAAAAATCGTTGTATGATTATTCGATAGGAAAAGTATACCTGAGAAACCACAATTTAAATACTCATTTGTTTGGATGTGATTGAAGTGATGCTTTCATATGCATAGAGATACTGCCATAACATTTCAAGATAGTTTCCGTCTCTGATCTTAGCTCTCCCAAGACCAGTCCTGGAGCCCACATTTTTTCCTTCTCTGGAAACCACAAGGACAGTGATGGGTAAAGATTTATTCCATTATAATTTCTATCATTTTGTCAATACTTAAATACAAAAAGCATATTTTAAAATTTAGGTCAAACTTTTGATAGTTTTTTCCTGTTAGTGGCATTGCCAAATATGTCAGTGACATCATCAGTCATTTATATAAATGATAGCAAGATGATACTTAATTGCTGAGCTTCTCAATCTCTCATCATCGTTTTCTGCTCCATAGGCCTAGTTCACTGAAATGTTAACTGTTTATGTTCTACATTAACACAGCTAGGGCATCATGATTTAAAAATGGAGTAATACTATAATGAATAAAAATATTTGTGTAAGAAAGCTGAATGTAATATGAGTTTCATTCATTTAAAACACCCTGCTGACACTGCTTTGAAAAAAAAAAATCATCTTAAATATCTGAAGGCAGTTTTCTGGTTTAATCTTAGTTACTCAGAGACCAAAGCTGAAATCTACTTCTCCTTACCTTGCAAGCCAAGGAACAGTGGAGGGTAAATATGACACTTTAATTTTTAATTTTTCCCTGCCATCCCTTGATGTAATTTTAATCTGCTTTGAACAATACCTACGTTTGTTAATGCACTTTGGCTTCTGCAAACACTTGCCATACTAATGACATGATTCTGATGTTTGAATTTATGCTTTTTCCATCAATTGAAAAACTGCTTTTTGCAGGGACAGCTTGCAAAAAGAATTTGTCATGCAATGCCTGTGTTTCTAGATGCAGTTTTTATTTTGAAAATTCTTTCTAGAATGAAACATTCCACTGTGCCTGAAACATAATTTTAATTCTAACCTAAATGGAGAATTGGAATTTTCAGATGTTATGGGGGATGGTAAGGACATTCATGGGAATGGTAAAGCCTTATATAGTCTGTTCTTTGTAAAAAAATTATAGTGACAGAAACAGTAAGAAAATACCTTTATGCAGAAATTATAGAACTTCTAAGGATAGTTGGACTTATGACTGAATATTGATAGGATAATATGCAGTTTATTCCTTCATGATGGAATAGGGAAGTATTAATATTTGTAGTTGCTTGCATTTGAGAGGTAGCCACCACCTGTCACCTTGAATTCTAAATACAAAGATAAGTCTCTTGGCTCCCATGTTCCCTCTGCAATGACTGTGGGCATCTTTCAAGGAAATGTAAGGAGTGCTTTGGTGAGGTAGTCATTTAGCCATTTTTCTGCTGACGGAGAGCCATTTAGCTGCTGAGTTTCTAGGAACATTGTGTTAGTTGCAACCCCAGCAAGGCAGTGGCCTGCTGATGTGGTCGCTGAGGCACGAGATACTGCCAGGAGAAGGGACGTTTTTCCCTCAGTACAGACCTGTGGGGTGTTGTGAGCCGGTGCTGCTTGTATAGCGATGGCAAAACGGCGCGGAGCTCTCAAGAGCGTTTTCATGTCTGACCGTAGCAAGCCAGAGACCGGACCTGGAATCCACCTCGTCTGCTTCACCGAAAGCCACAAGGACTGTGATGGGTAAATAGCCAGCGACTCCCTTCCTGTGTTGGTTACGTTGGCAATGCTTTTCTCTGCAGCGATGGGCCCGTTCAGATGTGTTGATGTCCTGAAAAGCGGGTCCCTGATGCAGCTGGTCCCTTATGGTTCCTTACTAGAAACTGCTCCGTTTGTAAGCTTTCTGCTTCTTTTTCTGCTGGGGTTCCACTTCTAGGTTTACCCTGCTACCTTGGGCTGCCTATGCCAGTCGAAAGACAGCGTCATGCTGCTACGGGGGGGTGATGCTGTGACACGGAAGCCTGCCCTGAGCAGGGCCACGTCTCCTCGTTTATAGCTCTGTCTTGATACCGCCCGTGCGACACCAGCCTGTCTGAGGACCTGAAGGTGGTTTTTGTCTTTGATCTTAGCTACTCGAAGACCAAGGCTGAAGTCCACCACTCCTTCCTCCCTGGCCACCCAGAAAACCGTGATGGGTAACTAGCAAAACCCCTTCTTTTTCCATTTTCCCCTTTCTCTCTTGCTCCCCATCACGCCTCCCACCCCAAACCACCCGGCATCTCTGTCATCTTCCATGGGGGGAGTCTGGAGACTCGTTGGTGCAGCTCGTTGGCTTGTCGAAGCACTCGCCACACTTGTTCTGCGATTCTGTTGTTTGATCCCATGCTTTTTCCATTGCTGACGAGCTTTTTTGGCAGGGACCGAGCGGCAGCTTGCACAGAGAACGTATTCTTGCACCTTGCCTTCAGCTGCCATCCCCTTGCTTCTTTGTGTTTTGGTAGCGGGTCTTCCTTTCTCTGGCACGTTCACTTGCAACAGCGTTCTTAAGAGGCAAATCCCAGCTGGGCTGGCACAAGGGGACAGCACTGCCGTTCAGCTGCCCGCCCGGGTCTCTGGTCCAAGGGTGCAGGTATTGGTTGCTTCACCACTGACTTCCAGGGCGGCTGGTTGTCATCTGCCCACAGCCTTACATTGCCATCAGCTACAAGTGGGAGTGCCCTGCTCTGGTGCTGCGTTTGAGGTCACGCTCGGGCTTTAAGAGCAATGCCTCTTTTCAGCTTTTGGTGAATCACAGTGTGTTTCCGCAACGTTCAAAGCACTGGCAGCCTTTGGCGCCCGGCCGTGCTGCCAGCCTAATTGATAACAGTATTTCTTGCAGATCTGGTAACAGTGCAAACTGGAATTGTCCCGAGAGTTATTGTGCTTTTAGCTGAACTGTTCTTTCTCTTGGGCCCGGGTTGGGGTGAAGCATTAGTGCGTGGCTGAGTCGGCCATATGGGAAAAGCCGTATTTACTGAAGGCGTTGGATACGGCACTTGGTGACGGTGGGTGCAGGTGCTCATGGAGATAGCTTCTTCCACACTGCCAGGTGTGCGAGGCCAGTTCTGTGGCCTGGCAGTATGTTTTGGCCCCCAAGGTGACAAAGCAGTACGTGAGCAGGCTGGTAAGCCTACAGACCTGATGTCAAGTGCGAGTTAAAGGTGTACGGAACCATGCTAACATATCCTTCCCATTGAGGTGCAGTTCAGTTGTGGGTTCTGAGATGTGCTGACCGTGTTTCTTGATGTCCAAGTTGCAGAAACTAATTCTTCAGTGTGTTCTTCTGGCAGTTGATATATCTTGTATTTTTGTCAGCTGAGCGCCATGTACTTCATTATATTTTCCAATGATGCTGCAATTCTTGCTTATATTAATCCTTTTAGGATCCTTCTACCTTGTCTTTTGCAAGAAAATGCTTTCTGTGTATCAGAAATTGTACATTTCCTCTTTTACATCTATTTTTAAGTCGTGTTTTCAAACTGAATTATTTTATGTCACATCTTGTCCTTTGTGGCATACATAAGTCTTTCTTTGCCCTTCATCTCTTTTTAGTTAATTTTTATGTTCTTTTTTTTCATTTGTCTGTCATATTGTCTGATGTCTTTGAATATTTCTTTGTATTACTTGCAACAGCTTCTTCATCATTTGCATCACCAGTGTATCTTCACACATTCATAATTAGAAATTCCATTCCATGTGCATTTGAGATTTTTTTCCTGCCTGAATTCCCTAGTTCCTTAGTAATGGGTTGAAACCTCTTCATTCTATACGTTCACATGATGCCAAAAGGAATGTTTTGTTCTGTTCTGTTTTCCAGCTCCACTGGACTCTCATCATATTACTTTCCCATCCCAAATATCTGCATCTGCAGACATATCAAAAATAGAGACTGGTAAATTGTGTTTATGATATTTCCATATCTTAGGATTTGTTTTTGCATCAAGGATGTTACAGTTACAGGTTGTTTGCTCTGATTGCTTGGTGTTTTGTCTGCAGTGTTTTGTAGTTAGGCTGTATAACTACATGATGATATTCTATGGCATAGGATCAAATAAAAAAACCACAGGAATCAATATTAGTTTTGGTGATTTTAATCTGTCAGATATAAGGACCACAACTAGATGGAGTCATTATCAGTTACAAAGATATATTCTCGATTGTGACACTTTACATCAGGCAATTTTTTGTTAGTAATACCATACACACCTTTTTCCAGTTTTCTCCATTACTAACCATTTTTTTCAGGTTATATTATGTTGGAACATTTCTTACTGGGGTTATAGCTATCCAAGATTAAATTTGTACTCATAGCAAAGATACAAATGTGTGAGAATTATTAATATGAGGAAAATTATCCTTAACCTGACAGTCAATATTTCAACAGTATTGTTTTGAATTTTCTGCCTCACATTCTGACTCTTCAGTATATCACAAAAGTGTTAATTTATGTTATGTCAATTATACAAAATATCACAATTTAAATGACAAATTACATGATTTTTACTATAAACCAATAACTCAAAATACTGGCATCTGTTAAACTGAAACACACAAAGCATTGGTAATAGAAATACCTGGTTGTAGAAATTCATATTAGCATATATTTTAAGTATGTAGGTCTCTTTCTACAGCTGCAGGTGAAGTCAGAAGCACAGGTTTTTTGATGTTACATGTGTACAGATCAATTGACTCCTGTTGATAAGTCTGCTTTTAGGGGGACTTCAGTTTCTGTCAAGGTGTGTCTGTTAGGCACGTGACTTTTTCAAAACTTTGGGGTTTTGTTACTTTCTTTTCAAGCTGGAAATCTGGTGAAACTGTATTGCAGTGGTGTTGGCATCTTGCAAATCATTGTAAAGCAATCTTTTTTGGATTTCCCCTCCATCCCCTTCCCTCTCTCTGCACCAATATGAATGTATCTCTCAGGGTTACTCTACATTTTTCTGCAGTTACAAGTTCAACTGACCTGGAAAAATCTGTGCCTCCACTTCCCAGAACACCTCATGTGCTAACAACAACTATGGGTAATAGTAATGCAAAAACTTTTCAGTTAAACTACTTTAGGTGTTTTGATAGCAATTTTGGATATCCTATTCATCCCAGGTATTTTGGTCATCTGCCACACTTGCCTTCTGCTTGAGTCATGATCATCAGTGTAGACAAAGTACCCTTTTTCACATGAGCCAAGACAACTTGTACTTGCTGCTGAGAAACTCACCTGATAGTGTTTCTGATCTTATATTTGTCTCTCAGAAAGCTTCTAGGGCTATTTTGAGATATACTTAAATGAAGTAAGCTTGGTTTAATAATAACAACAACAACAACAATAGTAGTGCCTAAAGCTTAGTAAGAATCTTAAAATTACTTGGGTTTTTTTTTCCAACATAATTGTTATACTCTCCGATAGATGGATACACACGTTTATATAATCTATATTCTTTATGCCAGCATACTAATCTTTCTTATTCTTTGTTACTGGTCGGTGATTTTTTAACTTTATTTTAACCTTGGTTTATATGCATATATATATATATATAGAGAGAGAGACAGATTATATGACATTAAAATTAAAATCTTGACAGGAAACAGAGCACTGAAGAGAATGAAGACAGTCTTTTTACAGAAATATATTTGCAGTGTTTCTTAATTTTGTAGATTTTATTCTTTCTGTCTTTTTTTGGAGTGCTTCATGCTTATAACCATGGTGTTAGAAGTCCTTTTATCTTTATAATTTCTGGGTTGCTTTAAACTACAGGGACCATGCCATCTAAAGTAGTATTAGGTTTGGCTGGCACTTCAGTTTCACTTGTCATTTTAACCACTAGCTTTAGCTCCCACTCTAAACCATCACTGCTCCATTGTCAAGGTAAGACATGCGTATTGTGGGTGCACTTCTGCATTGCAAATTAGGTATGTTATAACCTGTAGCATTTTTTGTTTGTTCTTATAAAACAAATATGTGTAGAATTAATAATCATAGATACTGTGACCTGTTTTTTTATAGCTTTCAGTGGTATTCAGCCTATTCTTTCAAGCCCTGTGACACCTAGTAAGCCTGAAATAGCAGATGCTGGATCACGTACAACAATCTCTACCTAGTTCTCAATTCAGTAGCTCAAATCATGCTCTAAAACTCACTGAAATGAGTACCCTGGTAACCTTCACTTTCGGTGCACATTTGAATTAGACACTAACAACTGAATTTTGAATATAGATTGCTGTTAATGGTTGAAATAGGTGCTTTTTCACACTTAAAATGCATATGGCAACTCCTAGTCACAAGATTCTCCTTCAGTATTTTGAAAAATATGCCACATAGATAATGAGAAAACAGTATTTATTGTTCAGTAGTGCTGATGAAAATACTGTGATACATGCCAAAGACCGCATTCTACTGCTGTAGCCTTGTTAGAAATACTAAGGAGAGTGTATCCTTAGTGGCATGAAATTGGTTAACCGTCACAGACACTCAGTGCTTTTGGACTGAAACCATAGTTACATCAGTTGTCAGTTTTCTACTCCAAATTTTATATATGGCTTTAATGTCCGACTAATTGTTTGTTCAATATTTCTTTGTTAAATTCCTACATTTTACACCATACCATCTTTCTTAAATAATGGACCAAAACTCAAAATGTTCAAATGCTTAACTTAAAATCTTGTCAGTGCTTGAGATCCAGACCAGTTGCAATGAAGGCAGGAGGAAATGAACATCCAGAATTTCTGCACATCACAAATGTGGTGCTTTATAGTCACTGAAGCAAGCTCTCTGCAGTTCAAAAGACTGAATTTCTCTCCAATGCATACTATACTGATAAGTGTCCAAGAATTAGTGAATTATTTGTTGTTCTTGTAAAAACAAATTTGGTTTTGCTTATAAAGAGCTTCTTCCATTAGCTCTTTGTTCTCTTATGACTGTCACCCTTTCTTCCAACAGCAACAAGTGAATCCATTCTGGAATCTTTCACACCTAAAACTTCTCGTCCTTTTCAATGGCCAAGGGTAACATTAGGTAATGTTGTTTTCACCCAGTGAAAAACTCTGTGTTTGTTTTGAGCACTTCATCCCATATTAATACATTTCTTCCAGCATATCATTTCACCTGCATAATCATTCTTTTTCCTGGTTATAGAGTCTTGTTCTTCTGTTGTCCTCAGACTGATTCTTCTCGATATATCTCTGTATGAGAACATAGTTCAGGATGGTTTTACTGTCCTCGGAGAAGTAAAACTTGCCTCTTGCATGAAAAACTCCATCATCCTTTTATTAGAGTCTTCTGTCTACCTCTTTCACTCTCATGCATACGCATGTGTTGTCTTTGTCTCTGATATGTAGAGCTTTCATACTGAATATTTTAGTTGTTTTGGAGACATAGAATCTATTTCTGATCAAGACACAGCATTTCAATATCATCTCCATTCCACACTTTAAACTGATTTCATCAGATGGCTTTGACATTCCATACTAAGTTGTCTTTTCTTCAATATAAACTTGTGGCATGTGCTGTTTGTTGTGGGAAACCCTTGTTAAACAATTTTTGATTGCAAACTGAGCTCTTTCTTTCAGCTCCAAAAGAAATACCACTTATTCCTTCTAAACTGAAACCATCTGCTACCCCAGAAGTACAGCATCTGAAACCTGGTAATTTTGCACGCCTTTTTTATAAGTCGATATGCAGAGACATATGTTCACTAAAAATATCTAAGCAAAACTTCCTAAAAAGGATAGAAGCTATGCAATACATGAGTGTCTTGACTAATTCCTCATTCTAAAATCAGTCATTTGGTGTTGCCTAACAAAAGGAAGGAGAGTTAAGCTCATCAATTTTACATATTTGAGTACAGTGATAAAAAATATAAACAAGTTCTTTAGTTTTGTAATCTTTTTAAAGGACTGGAAGGGAAAAAACTTCTGGGTGGCACAGGAATTTTTTATATCACTTGTATAAACAACATATATAATTATTATTTCTATAATCTCTTTGCCAGTTCCCATCTCCAAATTTCATGCTATGGCAAACATGTCATTTTTGCTGGTCACAGTAGTTTGTTGACTGAAAGTAAAGTACTACTCTTGTGAGTACTTCTCTTCCTCCTGCAGAGAACTCAGTGGAAAGGAGTACCATTTTAGTGGAAATAGGAGAGCTTTCTCAAAGTAGAAGGGGAAACTTTCATATCCACATGAGGATCATTGTTTGACCGTGGGAACCTTAGCATCGTGTTGTGTCTTTTTTATTTTTCTGCTTTTTGATCAAAAATATATCTCTGTACTCATTTTCTTCAGATTTGGGAGTAAGGGAGATGAATTTGCCTTCTTTAGTGATTCCGGTAGTGGACCAATAAATATTATGGTGTGCGTTACTAGAGCCCTAAAATGTTTCTGTTCTCGTATCTTATAAACAGGCAGGTCAGTGAAATGCAGGAGTTGCCCTTGATATCTTATACATGTCTTACAGTTGACTGCAGGATCTGATTTAAGATTTTCAGCAAGATTTTGGCATTTAGAAGTTTCCTTTTTGGCATAGATTCTTGTCGTGGTTTGAGCTGAGAGGGCAACTGAGCATCACACTGCTGCTCACTCTTCCCTTTCCCTGCAGCAATAAGAAAAAAATAAGCCAGGTTTGGGATACAATACAGGACTGGGAGGGGCAAATCACCCATTATGGTCACAGGCAAAAGGCAGACTCGTTAGGGGAAGGAAAAAAGAACATAAATTTATTACAGACACTAACAACACTTAACAGAGTAGGACAGTGAGAAGCATTACCACATCCTGAGAACACCTTCCCCCCACCCATCCCTTCTTCCTGGGCTCAGCTCTGCTCCTGATATCTCTACCTCCTCCCCACAGAGGTGCAGGGTCAGGGAATGGGGGGTTCAGTCAGTGCTGCTGCTTCTTCCATCTTCAGTGGGGGGAGCTTCTGGAACTTCTTCCCCCTGCTCCATCATGGTTCCTCGCTCACAGGAGAGAGTCCTACACAAACCTTCTCCAACATGAGTCCCTCCCACGGGCCACAGTGTTTCCTTACACTGCTCCAGTGTGGGACACCAACTTTCTCCAACTGGATTCCCTCCCACGGCTGCAGCCCTTCCCGAGCTGCTTCAGCATGGGACACCCCCGCATGCTGCAATCCTCCCAGCACTGAATTACAGCAGCAGGGCTACCTTTTCCCACAAGACCCCGGCCTTCTTCGGGCACAGTCACCTTAGTCATCCAGATGAGGTCCCACAGAGGCCCCAGAGTCAGTGTCTGCTCCACCATAGACCCCCATGGGTGGCAGGGGGGGGCCGCCCTGCCATTTCACCACAGGATCCAGGGGGGTCTCTGCTCCAGCACACCTCCCCCCTCCTTTCTTCCTCCGTTCCTCCACTGACCTTGGCGTTTACACAGCTGCTGCAACTCCTCCTCACCAGTCTGACTCATGCTACCGTGTCCCTTCTTAAATACATTATCGCAGAGGCACAGCAAATTGGCTCAGTTTTGGTGCAGAGGTGCAGCTGACTTGGAGCTGGGGGAGCTTCAAGAAGCTTCTCACAGGGGGCCATCCCTATAGCCCCCTCCCCTGCTACTGAAAAAAAAACCCACCACTCATTCAAACCCAGGACAATTCTCTGGTATTTGTTATGGACTGCCGTCTTTTCTTCAGTCAGAGACCTCATCTGTCCTTTCTCACTATCCTCCCATAACATAAAAGAAAAATATTTGTTGACTGAATCAAACAATTAGTTCAAAATGACCTGAGAACATAGATATGGGGAAGGAGCCTTAGAAGGAGACTCTCATACATAGCCACAAGCATACAGTGTATATTTTCAAAGGTAACAAAACTAAAAGGAGTGTAGGGTGTTATATATAAGATTAGGACTCAGTTGCATGCTTCTCTAGTCTGTTTAAAAACAAACACACCCCTTGAACTATTGGAATGATAACACTTTTGGCTTACTCCTGGTATGTCAATTACACTTGAATTTTTCTTTTCTAGCCCATAAACCACCACTTTTGGAGCCTAAAACTTCACAGACTGTTGAACAACCAAAAACAACACTAGGTAATACATGTTTCTGTAGCTGTTAGTCACTCTTCTTTGTAGTCCAACCCACGGTTTGTACTCTGCTAGTTTATCTCATAGCTTTTACTATATTTAATCCATTTCTCTGAAAGAGGAAAAAAGTTAGGAAATAAGTATTCAGAAATATATTTTTCTAAACTTAGGAGAAAAAGAATCTTGAAGGTTTTTTCATACAGTTTTACTAGTTCTATAGTACAGTAAAATTTTGGATATCAGAATTGTTCTCCATTTTGTTGGGAGTTTTTCTACACCAACACGCTTGACCCTCAGAAAATCTTAAGAAACGAACTGAAAATAATATTAAAAGATCAAGTGGAAGGCTAGTGTTGTGGACGTTAATCCCAGAACTCTCACTGAAGGATTCCTGTGGCACTAGATGGACATGTTAATTCTAACTGTTCTTTTATGAATCCTTCTGAATGTCATTTTGACTTGAAAAACAGTTTTCAGTCACTTCATATGTCTTATTCTACTCTGTTCTTTCTATCAATGTCATGTGCTTTTCCACAGTGTCTATTGCTATGAAACATATTCTTGGAAAGCAGTGTCATAGCCCTCCTCTATAAAAATGAACAAAATTACTGACTATACTACCTAAAACTCACATTAAGATTTATCTGATGTCAGATTAACAGTCACATTTAGCTAATTACAGTTTCAGCCCATGTGTGTTCAGGGGGAAAAATGTTTCTAGCACTGTTTGCTCTTAATTTTTACTATTTAGATTACATGATGTCTATTTTATTAACAGAATTCAGTTACTGCAGGTATGAAGCAATTCCCTTTTTTATTACCGATTCCATGTTTTTCCAGCTCCCTACCAGTAATTCACAGTATTGAAAATTGAGGACATATTTGCATGTTTTGTCTATGCATATCCTTTGGTGGCTTAAAATCAACCTGGAGTTCAAAAAGATAAAAAGCACTACCATTTTACCTCTTAGGTATCTTGCAAAAATTAATTTGCTGACTTAATGAGAGGAACATTTTGATGTAAGATACAGTTAGATATTTTAAATTTACTTACTGGCTTTTACAGTGAAAAACAAGCTGGGGTAGTCAAGTCTTAGGAAGATTTTTGAGAAGTCTTCTTAGCAAATCTGATTTTGCCACTTGCTTTTCTTCCCAGTAGCCATTTGTTGCTTCATTTCAGGCTTGAGAAATGTGATTTTTGTCTGATACAGTGGAAATGATAATTTTTGTAATCCAGTATATTTCTTTCAGCTCCTAAAGAAGCAAAATTTACACCTTCTGCATCTAAACCTAGACCACCTGCCAGAACAAAAAAGCCACGAACTAAACCTGGTAACTAACTTGCATAGCAACAATTGGTTATAATGTATCACTTTAGTATACTTTAGTTTAAATTTATTCTTCCTGAAACTTGGCACTTAATCATTGGAAAGATGGGCAGTGAGGGAAGCTGTACTCTTTGAGGAATATTACTTTGTACTGAACCAAAAAGACTTGAAACAAAGCAAGAAAACTTGTAACTTTCCTATCCCAAATCACCAAGATGCATGGCCTGGCATTGTAACAAATTTTTTTTCTGCTTTTCATTTCAAAATAACAAGTTTTCCAACTTAGCTCAGCACAGGGTCCAGAAAATGCAAATTCTCCTGCTTTGCTGATGGTTATAGCATCCTACATAGATTCATAGGATTTGTATTGATTCAGTGATCCTTAGTGCATATGTAGACTTACCTGTAAGCGTTGGAAATAAGAGTGAAATTCTGCTCTGGAATTTAGTAAAGGCATATTTTTTGATGGTAAATGAAATTGCACCTTCACACCGGGATTGAATTTGGTCTGTGATGTATGTCAGAGAATAAAAGGCATCTGGCATTTTCTGGAGCTGAAGAATAAGTGAATACTGTTAAAAAAATATTACTAGTATTCCATGGTTTATAATGATGTTAGAAAGCTTAAAATTGCATAATTGCTTTTTGTAAGAATATATTACTTAATCCTGGAATTGATCAGGCAATATTATTAAATTCTTTCCAGATTCTCTGTGAATTATTTTTTTGCTCATAAAAAGAATTGCTCACTTCAGACCAAATAATTCTTTGTGAAGCTCGTTAACTAAATGGCATTTATGGCTTGGAACTGTCTCAAAATAGTGTGCATAAAGAGTTTTTCATGGTGATTACAACTCCTACAACATTTTTAGTGTAGGAAATCCAGTATTGTATTACTAAAATAATTACATTTGTCTCTGCTGTAGATGCCTAGATCTGAATATAGATCTGAATCCTGCATAGTATTTTGAAATGACAGAGGAAATAAAAAGCCAACTCATTTGGAAACTGTTGCATAAAATTGTTCTACACCCTTGGACTGCCAAGATCAACACTGTATATTGATGTTTCCACAATGAATGGATATATAACAAGTTTCTATATAACTACAAAGACAGTGGCATGTTTCTTTATTTGTACACATGCCTCTTGTTTGTCCTTTCCCTGTCAGTGGCTTCACTGATCAATCAGGTAGAATCCTAAGAAACATTTTTTAGTCATAATTAAGCTTGTAATGATCGTCATGTGAGTAGGAATTTGGCATTTGTTCTGATGGGACAAATTATTATATTCTTGTTCGGAAATTATTATTTGAAGTATAGTATATGCAGTGTATGGGAAAAATCTGGCTTTTCCGTAGGTGGAAAAATGGCCAAAGAGCAGGATCTCCTCTGTATTCCAGCATCACTTTGGAGTTCAGCTTAAATTAGAAGCTTGTGTCATGACCATGATTGTCACCTTTTCTTAACAGTGGATCAGAATAATGAAAAATATATGCCAAATTAGTACTTGATCACTGACTTACTAATGACTACTTTGGGTCAAACAGAATTCCTGAAGTTAATTTTGGCTCTCATTCTTAATAAGGATTTTGTACTGTTTCCGGTAAAATATTTATCTTTTTGCAGTAGAGTAAAAAACTCAATTAAACAAACAAACAAACCCAATACAATGTAGAAACAACTTTCCATTTTTCCAACAAGCCAGCTGTACATTCTAGTGAAAATTTGCATCTTCATTCTTCTTGATATTTTGGTAACTGAATCTGTTGCTTGCATGAAAAAACAGTTCTTGTTGCCAATGTTATCATGCCCAAGCACTGTGCCCAGTTGTATTATTGTTAGCATTAATCTAGCTAAACATTTCTTCAAGTTCTCCATTTTTCAGGAAAGGAAATTATAAGGAATTTTCTATCATGCATCCAACTGCACTGCAACATTTTATTTCCAGAAGAGTGCAAGAATAGCTCTTTATAATGAACCCTTGCCGAGTCCCTGTAGAAGCATTCTAAATTTGCACTCTCTTGTGCCTCTAGTACTAAATAGTTGTTCTTCATATGTGTCCATGCATTTCCACTTGTATGATATGAGACTTTTGCAAGACAACTGGAGAACTGTTTTAACAACAAATAAGCAGGACTTATCTGTTGTAGAGGAGGATTTCAACCACCTACTATTTGTAAATTTCTGTAGTCTAGATACAGTACTGAAGTTAAGATAGAATCATGTTATATAGATGGATGCATGCATGTAATTATTCCTTTTACAGTCTTCTCTCCCTTACCAGGACTATGAAGGTCCTGGAAGGACTTCCAAACCTGCATCCTCTGAAGTGTAGTCGTACCAGAGAACTGTGCTTTTTCAGCCTATGAAAACTCTGCTTGATAACTTGGTGCATGTCTGTCTTACTATTTTCTGTCCTTCAAAGTATCAGGTTACCTGGCTGCTCAGTGCTTACAATCCAAAAATCTGGTAAATTATTCAATAATATCAAGAGTAACTTTTATGTCAAAGTCCTCTTATATTATCTGGGAGTTTTATTTAGGTGTTCTGCTTTCAGAAAGCTTAGGGGAAATGAAAGGCATTTTATTTCCTCCCAATCTTATTCTCCTCTCAGCATCATTCTGAGAAATTCATCTCCCAGCTTAAACTTTTCTGTTTATCTAGAAAAGTCTACATGAAATGTGAATTATATATCTATTAATGAACTTTTTATAAATCAGCTGAGAACAAATCATTATCAGAGACTTTCAGAATTTCTTTAGGACTGGGAAGAGGATGGCATTGTTGAGTTTTATGTTTGAAAAAACAAAGAAATTAAAAAGATAAACCAGATATGCATGATTTAAGATTCATCAGAAAAACATGGTGCAATGAATATATAGGTTACTTCTGGAAGAATGTGCAAAGTACCTGATTTGTAGGTTAGTATGCTTCTTACTGCATTTCTTTTCTTGGATGTAGAGCAAAGTGTAGTGCTGAGTCACGGATATGTTACGCAGTACTCAGTGCTGCCAGGTGTAGGAAAGTAGTCTCCAGTTCTTAAATAGGTACGAATTCCCTGCTGATCTGTTACGACAGAGTAGTAATTCCACTTGCAGCAGTTCAGAGAATAACTTGGCAAAGAACAAATTGATCCTACTAGAGAATAATTTTTCTATCGTTGCTTCTGTATATTCTCATTCTTCACATTTTGACCCCAGTTAGTACCAGAGCCCTGTGGTTGGGAACAAGAGCTGTGATTGCACCAGCTGGGTTAGATTTTTTTTTTTTCTTTTTAAAAAGAATAGTGCTGTCACTTCATGTGATCCACTTCATGCATTATCATTTTCAATGACATGGCTTTAAAGGGGATTATCTTAAGGAGAGATTTACCAACCCAGCAAATCTTAGTTTAGAGAACTGAGTCCCAGAGAACATAGGAAAACTTCATAACTGCTCTCTGTCAGAATTTTCTTGCAAGTTCTCAGTTCCCAGTAGAGCTTCTGCCAAATCTAAAGTGGTTTTGCATCCAAAATAACTTGTCACAATGACAGGTTATTGCTGTGTCCTTTCACAGAATCACAGAATGGTTAAGGTTGGAAGGGACCTCTGGAGTTTATCTGGTCCAAACACCTGCTCAGGCAGGGTCACCTAGAGCCGGTCACCCAGGACTATGTCCAGAAGTGTTTTTTAATATCTCCAGGGACTGAGACTCCACAACCTCTCTGGGCAACCAGTTTACTTAACTGCCCAAATTATTTGTCCTGAAGACATTTTGGAGTATTTCACTTTCTTAGAATAGTTGCAGTAATATCAAATACATCAGTCATTAACTATAAAAAAATGACAGTAAGTAAATGAAGGAAGATTTAAAATTCTGAATGAAATATGCCAGTTCCTTTATTCAGTCTTTTAAACTTAAAAACAGTCCCCCAAATATAATCCCCTCACCATAAACCTTCATGCAAGGAAATGGAGTCTTTTAAATTAATAAAGTAATTTTATATCTAAGCTGACAGAGTTTTGGAAGTTTTAGGTGTTAAAGTTTATTGTATATAAAAGTTTTGAGGTGACTTCCTCAAAATGAGTGTACTTGTGATTCTTAAAATGTTTATAAACTTCAACATGACAATTTGACCGTATGTCTGAAAATGAAGTTTGAGGCACATTATACAATATTCATCAATCATTTTTAATTTCCTAATTAAAATCTGTATCATGATAGAGAGAGAGAGAGCACCAGGAGGGTTACATAATAAAAAATAGGCTCAGAAGAGTCAAAATGGAGTAAACAAGTGAAGTTTGAAGGTTTGAATAATCACATGGGTTTTTAAATGATTTTAGATTTATTCAGGAATGAAAATGGACTCCAATTGTAGAGTCATGCTAATACTAAACAATTCTACCAAATTTGTCTTCAAAGTTCTTTATATATTTCAGAGACTTTGGATTTCTTTCCTTTCAAACTGAGAAGCTTTTTAACTTGTTTATCTAATGTGCTGTAGCACTAGGTAACCTACTGGGATCTTCAGCCTTACTTTCTGTGATTGCAGTTATTTACTGCAATGTGAAAGATTACCTGAAGTCTTTCACATCTAACCTTTGCATCACTGTGGAAGAAACTCGGTAAAATTAATGGAAAGGTTTATGAAAGAAAAAAGATTTCCCTGGAACTGTTTGTTTTCAGTGGTCTACACCCATAAAGAGAAAAAAAAAATGTTACGAAAACAGGAAGATGAAGACTCAGAGAGCTCCTTTGTCAGTGTTGTTCCTGTAGTATAAATGCAGCTTTTATTTTCAAAAACAGCAAGAGATGCAGAGGGTGGTTACTGTTGCTTAACCTTTAGTAAATTTATTACTTAGTGTTTCCATTTGAATAGCGGGGAGGAGGTGGATTTTAACTGGGAAGCAAGAGCAACTGAGCCATACCAGGAGTTGAAAAATAGATATAGATGCACCTATATTTCTCTCAAGAAAATTCTCTTTATTCCAGCAGCAACCATTCCAGTATCAGTCACTACTCGGAGTCCCTACACATATGAACTTCCAAAGACTGCAGAGGGTAATGATGACCAGCCATCTTTAGTCATTCCTCTTTTCATTGCTCTGATATGTGCAGCTGAAAACACCGTTTCCTGTAGGCTTCTTGCTTATTCATATGTGGTCCAAACCCAACAAATGGAAATTTACTCTTGGTATTGTATTATTTCTCCATGTTTCTAGCATGGAGATATTATCTTCTAAAAGACAGGATATTGCTTCAAAGGTATCTGATTAGAACCTTCACTTACATTAGAAGAAGAAAGAATAACAATTATTGCAATAATAAGGATTTTATTAAATAAGAAAATAATATACTTAATCTAAAAATCTTATTTAAAACTACAAACTGCTAAACAATTTCTGCAGAAGGGGGACTTTTGTTGCACATAACCAAGCATTGCTTGATAATTTCTCAAAGCTATGGAATATATTGCATCTTTTCAATTAATCCATGGAAATTTGTGTTCAATTTAAGAAAAAAAAAAGTAATTCTAGTTTTAGTGAGGAGGAAAGTTTGTCTAAAGTAATATGTGATAGTTACCTTTTTAGTTATGAAAATATATATTTAGCAATGTGTTTAATAAATATGTTTTTAACAGAGACTAAGAACAAGGGTGTTCTTTGCAGTGAGCCTTGAAATGTAGTATCCAATTTAAAGGAAGATTTAAGTCACTGTTTTCATTTACTGTGCAGACTGTGTTCTGAGAAGCACTTCAAGTTGTCTTCAGAGGTATAGCTTTGCTCTTTAAAACCTGGATGAAGCCAACTACATATATAATACTTTACTGGACAAGGATGTCATAAGTTATTTGATAAAATAGAATCAATTTGTTTTGGTTAATTAGCAACAGATCGCTTAGATTAGCTGTTTCCAACTGCAGTAAGTTCTACTTCATAAAGTACTCTAAAGACTCTTTTAATGACCTTGATTTGCCAAGGTGAACATTGGATAACAGTGTTTTCTGAACATCATTTCTTAGCTCTCCTTTCTTTGGCTTTTGGCTAAACACCTAGAAGCTACTTTTGCTGCAGAAGAACATGCAATTCTTTGATCATCCCTTTCTTCAGAGGCTCTGTCTGCTTGTTTTGCCCATATCTAAATATATTTCATACATTAAACCCATAGCACCATATTTTTCTGTGTTTATTCACCAATACAAACTAAAGGTCTTTTCCTGGACTTCACTTCTTCATTGCTGAATGTAAATGTGATTATTCTATGGGGCAACATTTGCTTTCAGCTTTAATACTGGTTTTACAAACCAAGTTTTTTCCAGTATCCAAAATCACAATCCACACATTTGAAGCCCAAATCATCTGCTAAGAGCGAAGTACCTCAAGCTAAATCTGATATGGCACTTCTTTTGAAATTGTGTACTCTGAGGCTTGCTATTCATGCAGAAAGTAAAAAGGTGAAAAACTTCAACTTTTCTTTTTACTAGAAGAGGGGAGAAGGAAGTTGCTCATTACTTTGGGATAATATTTACACAATAAGGAACCAAATTACTTCAGACAACAATTTGCAGACCTAAAAAAGTATTTAATTTTGTTCTGAATATCTGAAGGGTTTTTTTATTTTTAAAAACTGTTTTTTTCAAAGGCAACCTGAAAACAGTAATGAGTGTTTTATAGAAAAAGAGTTTGAGTTTGAATTTTTAAGGTAATTGATGAACTTGGATAATAACAAAATCATTGCAAACTGGGGCTATGTAGTGAGCTCATTAGAAAGATTAGTACCTAATTTGAGTTTTCTATATAGTATCTGGCCATTGTCGACAGAAAAAAGTTAATGCTGGTTGTTTTGGCTTGTTTTCTCATTTGTGGCAATAGCAATACTAGGCTATATTCTACTGCTAGTAGAAGTGTAAGAAATACTGTAGTATAAAAAAATCAATTGCAAACAAAGATTAATAGCTTTATTTATTGTAAATCCCATTTTTAAAATAGCTAGATATATAAGAGAGCTTGGATGATAAGTGAGTATAGGTTGTAGAAAAGGTTCTGTCTTAAGGTGCGTATGTTTGCATGTTATATGTTACTTCAGTTGTTACTGCCTTGAGAGAGGAGAGTTTATCAATTAATGTTATTTTAATATATTTTCCGTACTGCCAGGAAATTTTTATAGATTTTGCCATTTCATAATTTAGGATTGTGATTATTTTTCCTTTTTTTTTATTTTTTTCAATTTGGCATTATTTGTGAAGAGGAAAAGGACATGATATATTGATTTTGTGATCCAGATTATAAGAGGTTATGTTGAGAAAAAACTAAGAGAGTTTATCAAAAGAAGTTTTTTCAGATATTTGTATAGCTGTAACAATAGAAGCCTTTTAGTCCACTGCTTGACTGCTCACCTTAGAGGAAAAATTCAAGTGTTTTGTCATGGTCAGCACGCCACTTTCAAGTAGTAGCAGACTTCAGCTTTGGGGTACCTGACATTTTTGTATATCAAGAGTCCCTTGCTGTCTCTGACTTAAGCTATGTGATATCTTCCCCTGTTTGTTCTAGGATTTACTGATTTCTATTAACATATTTTTGTTTCTGTTGCCATCAAATTTGTGCAATTATATTTTTCTTATGCAACTTGTATTATTAGGAAGTCTAATTGTCCGTGGTTTTAAAAAGTAAAAGTTCATTTGAAGATCTGCATTACTGTGGTGTAGTATTAGCACCTGCTTTTATAATTACCAGGGAAGTAATTTTTAGTTTTTTGGAGTACGTTCCATGCTTACCTTGTCACACTGTTTCTGTTGCAGTCTTGGAACCTATTACACGTAGAACTGAACCACCAAAGTCAACGATAGGTAATGATATTTCCTTGGGAAGCTGTCCTGTTTGCTTTTTTCATCACAGAAAGCATCACTGAAGTTAATCACCTTACACCTTAGGACTGTTTCATTAAACTTCATTTCTTCTTCTAGGAAATCCTCTTGCTTGGCATTTGTGACAGTTGGACGTATTGCTCTCTTCACAGTTGGAATGTCTCCTTTGTTTAAGAAACCGATGCTGGCAGCTCTTCATCACCTTTCTCATAATTATGCTTGACCGTGCTTGTCCCAGCTTTTTATTTTAAAAAATAAAACCCGACCTTCAAAAATTACTAAAATTCCATTCTCTTAGATTGTTGTAAACACATGGAAAGTTTTACGTGATTTTCTTTCCTACTTCCTATAAATATTTTTTTTTCTCTGTTACAGGTGTGAACTTTATATTTGTCTGTTCAACTTGATATCAGATACTAATTGCTGTGCAATTTAACCAACTTTTTGCCCACATTTTCTCTTCCAGCTCCAAAGGAGACTCGACGTATTCCTTCTAAACCTAAAACTTCACCCAAACCTCATATCCCACAAGCCAAAGATGGTAAACTGCTTTGTGTGATTATTTCTAATACAGTTTATATTGGGTTGAAACATATTTCTGAGCAACTGTTTAGTTATATGAGCCAGTTAAAACATAATGAGGTTCTGCTGTGCTGTGTGTTCAATGATTTATTTGCAGTTTTCAGGAGTAGTAACATTTGCTAGATATTTTTCATCATGCAGAAGAATAAATCTCTGCTACGTCATGGCAGCAGGATGAAAATGTTGTTGTTAAACTCAGATTACAGTAGTAACTAAAGCAAATACCTAGCAATTAAAATATGTATTATGGATACTTAGATGGTACAACTCTTTCCCACATTGCATTGCACTGTTAGAATAAATATGTTACCCATTTAAGTCAACATTACTTAATTTCATGATGTTATTGTTGTCTGCATTAATAGTAAATTACCCGGTGCATAGTTACGTTTATTAATATTTATTAGCATTAATGATCATTTGTGCCATATTCCAAAATACTGCATTATTATATTATGTTATTAAATGGGAGTGCGGTTGAATCCCACGATAGGCCAAAAAAATTACTCTGTCCTCTGATATCTAGTTGGTAATATCAACAGAAAATTACAAGGGTATCAACTATCAACATATTTATCTTTTGGTAAATGTGAAAAATCTCATGATAATCACTTTACTGAAGATCTTTAAATTGTAGACATGGAGCAGTATTTTTAAAATCTGGTGTTATCTATTAGATATTATTTCCTTATGTAGAAAACGGTCAAAATCCTGTTCTCTCATAATTTTTTAACCATAGCAGATGATTGTAAAACATTGTTTCCAAATTACAGCTTAAAATGCAACTTCTCATAAACTCAGTTTTTAATTCTGTGGCCATTTTTTATTATTATGGTAGTCTGGCCTTCTCAAAAAATGGTTTTGTCACACAAGTGTTACAGGTTTGTACTGTTCTGTGTTTTTAAAAAAAGACTGTTTCTTCAAGGATCTATAATATACAGATCTTTTTTTACAGCATCATCCGCTTATCTTGGGATTTTCTTAAAAGTTCCAAATAATTTTTTATTTATTGTCACGCATACAGAAGAATTGACACAGAGAGGGATACCATTTCCATTGTGACTCTGTTTCTAATGTGGGAAATGCAAGAAAATAGCATCAATTTTACATCCTTATGCCCCTTAAACACCCAGTTTTATTTTAGATCCACAACAGTTTAGAGCTGAAGTATGTGATCATGCAATGCAATACACCATAATGCTCTTTAATAATATAGCATCCAGGAAACAAGCAAGTGGTCTCTGATTCCAATTGTATATATAAACTGCATTTGAAATGCACCACAAAGGGGAGAGATTTGTGTCCCTAAAAAGCCATTTTCTGAATAAGGGAATGATACATATTTGTATATCTCCTTGAAGCCCACAGGAGAACTAAGCTCACGTTATGTTTCAGCTTACACTGCTTTCTCAGATACTTCATTCAATGTAACAGTTTTTTGTATGAGTCAGTATTCATAGATATATAATTCAAAATCCAGTTACTAGATAAGTAATACTAACTGTAAGTGGAATTGTTCTCTTCAATTTTCCTAACAGCTTTTATGTTTTTTTCTGATACAGTCCTGGAATCTGTAACACATAGAACTAACTGGTTAACTAAACCCAAAAGTAGGTAACAGTTTTATCTACAGGGACAATTGCATTTTCCTTTTTTCTCAGTATATACCAAGCATCACAAGTACATCTTCATTGTACTCCACTGCCATAATCTTTCACTACTAAGTTTAGTCCTTTTGTAAGTTTTTTTTGTGATTTTACACTAACAGTTCGTAATCATCTTGTTTGGTTTTTCTTCTACAAATGTGTTCCATAAAGTGGATGGAAGCACCACAATCTACCTTTTACTATGTGTCTCTATACTCAATTTCTGTCATGTGCTGCTTCATCTTTTATACTAGTCCATCCACACTGGCCTTGCTTTATATTATCCTGTTACAGAGGTTCTCCATCAGCACTGTTTCTTTGTGAACCAGACATTCATTCTTCTCCATTACTCATACAAGCTTTTTGTGTTTCCAGAGGGTCCCAAAGGCATGTGTTCTTTTTTAATATTATACCCCCCATCAGTCTCAGCTCTTGAAAGATTTTAATAGTTGCATTTTTTTTTTTTTTAATTGCAGTTCCAAAAGAAACACAGCGTGTTCCCTCCAAGCCTAGAACATCACCGAGCTCAGAGGTGCCACAAACCAAACCTGGTAAGTACATTGGTTTTTTATCTTACCGTACTGATATGTGTGTCATGAATTCTGCTGTGATGAGTGGTGCTTCAGATCTATGTGTTTTCCTTGGGCGTATAAGTTGGAGAGTCCCTTGAGAGATAAAATCCAGTATTACATGTCATGACACGTGGAATTTATAAGCAACCCGGTCAGTTTAAAATCTTTATCTTCAGTTCTTTTTTTAAGTCACTGCAACAGTGAGCATTTTATGTGCAGTTGTCAGTGAAACTGGGTCTTTTCTGTGTGAGTTTTCTTGGGTTTTGGGAAAATGAAATCGAAAACGAGGGGTCTCATTGAAAAGAGGTTTTTTCTTTATTTCTCAAATTGTGTACTTATTTCTTCTTTCTCAGGCACAATCATTCGCTTATACTTTTCAGTTCACTTTTGTGCAGCCCTTATGTTGTTCAGAGATTTAAGAATGTGTAATACTTTTTATAATGTTGTTTACACAGCATGATATAGGGCAATATACAACACCGGGTAATTAAGGATGGAGGAAGAAAGTTATACAACTCACAGTAGCAATTGCATGAAGTACTGTGGTGAGTTGACCCCCTCCAGCAACTAAGTACCCACTAGCCACTTGGTCATTCCACCCTGAAGTGGGTTGGGGGAGAGACTCAGAATAGCAAAAGAGAGAAAAAAACCCCTATAGTTCAAGATAAAGACAGTTTAACAAGTGAAGGATAAAAAGTGGAGAGGGGGGAAAAAACAAGTGATGCAAAGGCAACCACTCACCACATCCCACTGGCAGATCAATACCAGTCTAGGAGCAGTGGATCCTTTGGAAAGACTACCCCCCAGTTTTGTTGCTAAGCGTGACATACGAGGTGGAATATCCCTTTGGTCAGTGACCAGCTGGAGTGCATGGAGCTCTGCCTGGGGACGGATGAGGATCCGACTGAGAGCTGATGGGTCAGAAATAAAGGGAAGCCAAGGACATGGGATGTTATAGTGGGGGTCTGCTACAGGCCACCCAACCAGGAAGACCAAGCAGATGAGGCCCTCTCTAGGCAGATAGGAGCAACCTCATGTTCACAGCCCTGGTGCTCAGGGAGAACTTCAACCACTCTGATAACTGTTGTAGGGACAGCACTGCAGCACATAAGCCATCTAGGAGGTTCCTGGAATGTACTGATGATAACTTCCTTCTCCAAGTGATAGAGGAGCCAATGAGAAGAGGTTCTCTGCTGGGCCTTGTTCTCACCAACAAGGAGGGGCCGGTGTGGAGTGTGAAGCTCAAAGGCAGCCTTGTCTGCAGTGACCATGAAATGGTGGAGTTCAAGATCCTTAGGGCAGCGAGGAGGTTGCACAGCAAGCTTGCTACCCCAGACCTCAGGAGAGCAGACTTTGGCCTTTTCAGGGATCTGCTTGGCTGAGTAGCATGGGATAAAGCCCTGGAGGGAAGAGCAGCCAGAGAAAGTAGTTAATATTCAAGGATCACCTCCGAGCTCAGGAGCGATGCATCCCAACAAAGAGGAAGTAAGGTAAGAATGCCAGGAGGCCTTCATAGATGAACAAGGAGCACTGGACAAGCTCAAATACAAAAAGGAAAACTACAGAGTGTAGAAGCAAGGACAGATAGCTTGGGAGGAGTACAGAGAAAGCCAGGGATCATGTTAAGAAGGCCAAAGCCATGCTAGAATTAAATCCGACCAGGGACATCCAGGGCAACAGAAAAAGCTTCTACAGGTACATGGGTGATAAAAGGAAGACTAAGGAATATGTGGGCCATCTCTGAAAGGAAACAGGACACGTGGTTAACCTGGGATATGGAGAAGGCTGAGATACTCAATGAATTTTTTGCCTCAGTCTTCACTGGCAAGTGTTCCAGCCACACCACCCAAGATGCAGAAGGCAAAAGGCGGGGACTGGGAGGATGAAGACCTGCCCACTGTAGGAGAAGATCAGGTTTGAGATCATCTAAGGAACCTGAAGGTGAAAAAGTCCATGGGACCTGATGAGATACATCCATGGGTCCGGAGTGAACTGGTGGATAAAGTGGCTAAGCCACTATCAATCATATTTGAGAAGTTGTCACAGTCTGGTGACGTTTCTGCTGACTGGAGAAGGAGAAACATAATCCCCATTTTTAAAAAGGGAAAAAAAGAAGACCCAGGGAACTACAGTCCAGTCAGTCTCACTTCTGTCACCAGCAAGATCATGGAGCAGATCCTCCTGGAAACTGTGCCGGGGCACATGGAAAATAATGTGATTGGTGACAGCCAACATGGCTTCAATAAGGGAAAACCATGCCTGAAAAATTTGGTGGCCTTCTACAACAGGGTTACAGTGTGGGTGGATAAGGGAAGAGCAACTGACATCTTCTACCTGGACTCATGCAAAATATTTGACACTGTCCCACATGCCATTGTCTCTAAATTGGAGAGACGGGTTTGATGGTTGGACCAGTCATTGAATAAGGAATTGGCTGGATGATCGCACTCAAAGAGTTGCAATCAGTGACTCGGTGTCCAAGTACAGAGCAGTAATGAGTAATGTTCCTCCGGGGTCAGTATTGGGAGCAATACTCTTTAACATCTTTAACAGCAAGGACAAGTACAAGGTACTGCCCATGGGTTGGGGCAATCCGAAACACAAATACAGGCTGGATGGGGAGTGGATGGAGATCAGCCCTGCGGAGAAGGACTTGGTGGGTAGGAAACTGACTGTGAGCCAGCAATGTGCGCTCGCAGCCCAGAAAGCCAACTGTGTCCTGGGCTGCATCAAGAGAAGTGTGGCCAGCAGGTCAAAGTAGAGGGGGAGAATCCCCTCCCCTGCTCTCGTGAGACCCCACCTGCAGTGCTGTGTCCAGCTCTGGGGCCCCCAACAGCAGAAGGACACGGACATGCTCGAGTGGGTCCAGAGGAGGCCACGAAGATGCTCAGGGGGCTGGAGCAGCTCCCCTGTGAGGCCAGGCTGAGAGAGTTGGGGTTGTTCAGCCTGGAGAAGAGAAGGCTCCAGGGAGACCTTATAGCGGCCTGCCAGTGCTCACAGGGGGCTACAGGGAAGGTGGGGAGGGACTCTTTGTCAGGGAGTGTTGTGATAGGATGAGGGGTAACGGTTTTAAACTGAAAGAGGGTAGATTTAGATTAGACATAAGGAAGAAATTCTTCCCTGTGAGGGTGGTGAGGCACGGGCACAGGGTGCCCAGAGCAGCTGTGGCTGCCCCCTCCCTGGAAGGGTTCAAGGCCAGGTTGGACGGGGCTGGGAGCAACCTGGGCTGGTGGAAGGTGTCCCTGCCTGTGGCAGGGGGGTTGGAACTAGGTGATCTTTAAGGTCCCTTCCAACCCAATCCATTTTATGATTCTGTGATGATTCTATGAATTTGGTTTAGTTGTTCTAGCTGTGTTCCTTCCTAGCATCTTGCCCACTCGCAGCCTACTTGCTTGAGAGGCAGAGTGAAAAACAAATAGGTCCTTGATGCTGTCATAAGTATTGTTCAGTAATAGCTAAAACATTGGTGTGTTATCAACACTGTCTTGGTCGCAAATCTAAAACAGAGTACCACAGGGCCTGCTATGAGGAAAACAAACCTCATCCCAGCCAGACCCAGTATGGGTATCTACAGTATATGCAGTATTAGATGATGTTGCTGGAGAAATGAGCAGAAAGATGACAACTAAGGTTTCTTTTTCTCCCAGTAAGTCTGTTCCTATTGTTTGATTCAAAAGTTGGAAATAAGTCATGAAAGTGTACAAAGTTGAAGGTCAAAAACCACCCACAATTTCTTCATGGCTTATTACAAAATCTTCAGATTTATATTTGGGCTCTGTTCTGTATTAGAGCTATTGCCTTGAACTGGAGGCAATTCTGAGCAGCATAGTACTCTGACATGTATTGAGTTTCAAGGAGGAGTGACCATCTGTCATTGGCTGTTGCAGGGATGGTATGATCATTGTGGAGGTAGTGATTGTAATGTTTTGATTGTTCTTCGTAATACTTGTTTTTGTTTTTTATCATGCTAATGAAGTTCTGGAACCAATTACATTTAGAACTGAGAAACCAAAGTCAACAGTAGGTAATGATACTTTCTTACTTGAATAGTCATGTTGTCTTTCCTCTTCAACACAAATCATTAAGAGTAGACCTGCAAAAAGTTGCCACATTTCTTTGTATGTACCTTAGTAATTTAACAATCAAGATTCTCTGTCTCTTTTCTTATTTTCTACAAAGCAGTTGAGGAGGATCCTTGTGCCTTTCAAGTTGTTACGCACATAACATAGGGCAGTTTTCCTTCAATATCAGATCAGATCAATATCAGAGCAGATCAGAACAAGATCCTAACTTACACGTTCTCAGTCATACTGTAGAGGTGTCACTGTTCTAGTTAGTCATGTCGTTTGGGTGATCAGAGATGTATGCTGCAAATGTTCTTTCTCTGCTTCCCTTCCCCTCTAGTTTCACTAAATGAAGTTCATTCCTTCACAGAGGTCTGAAAAATAGCTGTGTTTCACTCAAACCTAAATTCCACTGTCAGAACAGAGTCACTTCAATGATCTTTGGGTCCTATGATTCCGTTAGGTAGATCCATTTAAGTAAGCGTTCTTATGATTTGAATTTGGTACTGTGAATCGTTCCAGTACAACCTCCATTACAGGGCAGTGGTGTCTTTGTATTTGAAGCTACTTTGTTTTCTTCCTATTTTATTTTTTAAGTCCTCTTCTTAAATAGAACCAGCAATTCTGTCATGTGCTTAGTTGATGATATGTCACAGATTATTTCTTTTTTCTATAGCCTGATTTTGTTCCAAAAAAACCCCTTCTCTTTTGCATCACTTCCATAGAATATCTTTAGTTCAAATCTTTGCTCTGTTTTTGTTGACTGTTATGGGTGGTAGTGGACACTGATACCTTGGAAGGTTTTCGTATGGTGTAACCCTGTTTGTTTCTTTCAGGTCCTAAAGATACACGTCATGGGCCTTCCAAACCTAAAACATCACCCAGTCCACGTGTTCCTCCAACTAGAACAAGTAAGCTTATCAATATTTTGCCTTTTAGTGCATGAAAGATTCATCAGTGTGAAAATTGTCAAAATTGATGAGTTCTCTGAAGGTACACAGATACTTTTTGAATAGGCTGTGTTTTGCTGTTATAATCAAATTTTACTATATAGCTGTCAGGCACAAGATAATGAGATAGGTATTTAAACATGTCAATAACTTATATAATGGTAGGGATGTGGGATTTAACACTCATCTTAAGCTCTTGCAGATAGGGAAATTTGTGTCTTAATTTCCATGGAATGTGACAGAGGTGTTTGTATTCTCTGGTTACTCATTTACAAGCATAAAATTACAGTATTTTCCTGTTCCCAAAACTTTGGAAATAGTTCTGTCCATTTGAAAATTAGTGGTAAATTTCCACATTTCTTCTGCTCTGACTGCCTCATTGGAGATTTTTTTTAAATGCGAAGTTGGTTTAAATGAGCAGCAGATTTTTGGAATAAGAAACACTTGAAAAGCACAACTAGGGCAGCTGTTAGAACTACAGAAGTTTACTCTGTAGAAAGATCTGTTTGATAGAGCTGAGACGAGTGGAGTTAATCCAACACTGTCACTGCAGCAATCACTTTGTCTTCAGTCTGCACTAACATAATATTGATGGCATTGACAGGAGATCTCTTTATGATTATTTTCAAGTAGAGGAAATACTTCCTAAAAATTTTAATTGCAGAAAATTAATCTCCTCGTAGGAAAATCAAAAGACTTATATTGAATCATTATCCTCAATAACATGTTCAAAACTTTGCTCATCTTCACAGGTCCAAAAGAAAGTCGGCGAGTCTCTTCCAAGCCCAGAGCATCACCAAGTCCAGATGTACCACACACAAAACCTGGTAAATATGTTGGTTTTTTGTTGTGCTTGAATATTCAGGGTTTCTTTTGGGTTCTCTTTCCTCAGTGAATCAAGTGTTGATTAACTTCTCTTCATATTAGAAACAAATAGATTTTCTAATGATTGTTAAAATACATGTTTAAAGGAAGATAGAGCTGATTTGTATTTTTAATGGCTGAGTTTTGATGAGTTGCATGTGCTTTTCAGCCATGTGATAGCTGGCACTGATGAATAATCTGCCTAGCAGGGTAGACAACATACAAACATTATGAGAATGTTCTTGGACAAAAATGCATATCTTCTGTGCCTATCAAAAGATGCTTAGAGAAGAACATATCTGAGGGTCTTCATGTATGACTCTAAATATCTATAACTCAAACCACTCATATGTTTGTGTGCCCTGGTAATGGAATTTGACCCTTAAAAATATACTTAATAGGGTTTTACATACTAGTGAACTGCCAAACCTCTGTAACTCCTGATGGTTCTGAAAGCATCAGTTGAACCTTCCTTTTGAGTGAGTGTATATTCCACTCATTCCACCAATAAATAATTAAAAAAGAATAAAAGAACAAATTAAGTATGTGTTCCAAATTGAAAATAAATCAGTCATGTGAAAGGGAGTATTTTTACCCTTTTGCTTGTACTTATCACTAATTCTATGTGCGTTCTTGTTTTTATGAAGTTTTGGCACCTGCTACATTTACAGTTGAACAACCAAAGACAGCAACAGGTAAAGATGTTACCTTGGGCTGGTCATTATTATTTTTTCCCTGCTGCTCCTTGTATGAAAGATTATATATCATTAGGCTGTTTTTCGCATGTCATCTGTTTGTGGTTTTGATTTGTTTTCTACTTATTGAACCTAATTCTACTCTGTTCCAGGTATTGAAAGATTCCTAGCTATTTTATTGTCTTCACAGAAAATTTCTTTCACTCTCACACACTTTGTAGTTCCTTTGACACTTGTAGGAGACAAGCATGCCATGGGTATTGCAGTTATGAGTTCTAAAATACAGATGGAAACATGTCCACAAAATTGTCTATGTTCTTTCAGGTTTTGTTGCTTGACTCCAGATTTCACTTACTTGATCAATTTTCCACCTCTGTTTTCATCCATGACTTTCTTTTCTGTTTAAATTCCTGTATGTATCAGACAATTTTTCAGTCTCTCATGTAGGGATCTTGTTTTTCTTTGCAAGCACAAGGCATGCATTGTCTGTGCAGTAAACCTGTCTAATTTCCGAAGAGTATAAACCCTTAAAACAGGCCTTTTCTTTCAGCTCCTAAAGAACCACAACAAACTCCCTTTAAACCCAAAGCAGCTCCCGGCCCAGATGCTCCACACAGCAAGCCTGGTAAATTATCTGGTCTTTGGTCAAGCAGTGGTTGGTAACTGAGCGTGTGGGCAGTGGGGGGAGTTGTCAACATTACATTTGCTGCTACCTGAGTATCATTCTAGCTTAAGAAACCTCTGCAGTGCTGCATTTATGTCATATCACTGATGGGAACTACAACAGTTCAATGGGTTTTTTTTTAATATTATCTGGATATTACCAGAAGAAGAAATAGTAGTGACCTGTAAGTTTAAATCAATGATAAAAAGTTATTCACAGCTTGTATCTGTGCAACACACTTCAGTTGTTTGCACAATGTTTTTGAAGCTCTTATGAGAGAAGCCCCTTAAAGCCATTGCAGTGCTTTTCCTTTATATACACATTTTCATCCAGATTAGACTGGGTATTCCCTTCAGTTGTATTTCAATTAGGAGACTCCCCATCATAAATCTGACTGACCTGTATAAGTGATTTCAGTGAAGTGTTGGTTTTGTTGTTTTTTAACTATCTAGATGTTAAAAACAAACAAAACTTTGAACTCTTTGTAATCATAAATCTCTGAGGGTAAAAGCCCATTGCTGTTTTAAAATCTCTCTTTCTTGGTGTATCTAGTATAGTGCTGAAGGGGTTTTTTTAAGGGGGCAGGAGGGAAAGGGAGAGTCTGTTCACTATTCTGAGCATTTATTGACATTTTTTCCAACAGAAATCTTTGCAACCTTCCATGAACCAGATACTACTGTGATTCCTCATATTCCTGAAAGAACAAAGGCAACATTGGGTAATCATGTGTATTTCATGAATAATTACTATATTTTCTATTCTTGTTAGAGAAGACATTGTTAGAGCTCAATACATGATATTAAATACTAATAATGAAGTTTTGAGCTGCTTCTAGATACTTGCTTGCTCTTTGGTCTTGATAAGAGTAATAATGCATGAGCTCACTTACTTTTGAAGGTTCTTTTCCTCCTCTTCTAGCCTTTCCAGTCAGGATGATGTAATTCCTTCTGATACTAAATATTTTCCAGTAAAAGGGAACTTTATTTAAAGGGCAGCAGGTAGTGACTCCTGTAATTTCTGCATCTGAGGTATGGATACTGTCATACTAAAATACTCTTCTGCTTCACTTCTCATGGTATAATTTTACAGAAGAAAATTGCAAGAAAATCATAAGATATAAATGATAGCATAATATATACCAAAATAGACCAGTTATGTGACACTCCAAATCAAATACTGGTTCTTATAGTCATCTTCTTTGCTAACTTCTAGTCATCCAAGTTGGGAAAACTTGCTTAAATATATGAAACATTAGTTGAGAATTCTTTCTTCTCATCTTAAATGTCAGATGTAGACCAAATAAAGGTCAATGAATGCAAACAGTACTGCCCAACAGGAGTATTGCTTGAGCGATCTTTGTTAATAATCAGTTCTTTGTTCCCAGTTTCAGAGACATTGACCATGATGTTCTGAGAATGAAATAGTATCACTAATGAAGTGTTAGTAGCCATTTCATAATCTTTGAAGTATGTTTTCTCTTTTTGATGAATAGGAAGTGAAAAATGTTTTTCACCACATTTCTATTTTTATATATATTCCCTGTACACATTCATACTTAGGTTAGTATTCATTTGGTATCTCTTTATATAGCTTTCTACCCGTTGCAATATTCATATGCAGAAAATGGTTCTTCAGTGCAAGGGGGATGAAGAATGCACAGATTAAGGCAGATATTTCGAGGACCTCTCACATCAGTGTAGATCACAGGCTAGCAAGTGCTAAGATAACCTTTTGCAGTAAATGATTCCTACATGGCAAGAATTTTTAACTGAACAGGATGAAGATAACAAGATTGAATACTTCCCTCATAAGAACAAAGAATTTATTTATAAATCAAGTCTGATATGAAGAGCCCACTGAAAAATAGATCCTGTCCTCAGATACTCATGTATGGCAGATGTGCAAGATGTAGTCTACTACTGTCTGTTTTTTCCCCATTACTTTGCTGTATGCTGTTTGTGACTATGGTCTTCACTGCTTCATCCAAAGCTACGGATTTGTATAGAATTTTGGGGAAGTCTGTTCGTGTCAGCAGCCATTTAACTTGTTTTCCTTTCTTTGCAGGAATTCCAACTGATTGATTTTCATCTTTGCCCTTGCATAATTTGCCTTATTACAGATCAGATAGTACTTGTGTTCCTTGTGTACTATGAAAGCAGTGTGTTTTTTCAATTATTGTTCCGGGTGCTGTTTGTTTTTATTTCAGCTCCAACTGAAAAACAGTTTATTCATACCAAAACAAAAACATCTGAAAAACCAAGAGTGCCACACACCAAACCTGGTAATGGAGTCATTCTTTTAATTGTATGTGTTTGTGTTCAGTCATTCTTTCCCTTAGCCTTGGGCTTTATGCTTTTTAACTGAGTTATTCGTAGCTGGTTTTGTGCTGAAACAAATGCATTACACTTCTGTCAGTCAATCCAAAATATGCTAAAACTACACTGAAAATAATAGTAGGATTTGTAGTATAACATCTAAAACGTTCTTTCTCCTTCATGTTGCATATAGCAAATGATGACTAAAATGTAGTAATGTGGATGTTGATGAATTTCAGTGGCTAGATTGACTGAGTTCTATCTGATTACTTCCTGGTAAACTAAAAACTTATCTGTGAGCAGTTTTTTTTTAATCAATAAAATGCAACAGAACTCCTTTGCAGTGTGCTTCTACAGTTAGCAACTGACATTGCGCGCTATACTGAAACAAAAGTGGTCTTAAAAACAGTTACAGTGGGCAGTGTCAATTCCCATTTTTGTTACAAAAGGAATGTATACAAGAAATGAATAGAAAGATAATCATATCTCTCAGCAGTTGATTTTTAAGTTATTCTGCTACTCTTTAGTTTGGGGCATTTTCAAAGTTTTAGAAATAGTGCAGATGATACTTTGTTTCTATTACAGTTTAAGATTCTTTAAGTTTAAGATTCTTAAGACAGTCTAAGATTCTTCGCATTTTCTCCTTAACAGCAATACATCAGACAACTCCACAACCAATTATTACAAAATCTTCTACTACCACTGAGCATTCAAGGGCAACAATGGGTAAATAAGTTTCCTTAAAGTTAAGATGCAGATATTTTTAATTTTTCAATGGAGAAATTTCTAGAGAACATGATCTGATGCAGTATTTTGTATAACCTCATTCCACTGTCCTTCATTCTGCTTACACACATGCATGTTTCTTAATACAGATGAGACTCAGTTTTGTCCTAGAAGTAAAGCAGAAATAGCCTACAGCTTATGTCTGGTCAGAAGCCTGTGTTTGTCAGATCTTCAACCGAATTCAGTAGTCTAGTTTTTCTTTTAGAGCAAGAATTTTAGTCACTAACTCAACTTACTCTACAGCACAGTACTAGAACTTTCCTGTGTTTTGGATACTCATTTTGTTTCAGGTTCCAGAAAGCCATGGAATTGTTACTGTCTTTTTTTCAGGCATTTGAGGCATGCATTTTCTGTGGGCTAAATATGGCATTGGATCATGACTTCAGAAGAATACAATAATAATATTTTTCCTTTTCTTTCAGCTCCAAAAGAAACAATGATCATTCCTTCCAAACCCAAAACATCTGTCGGGCCAGAAGTGCCACAGACTAAACCTGGTAAATTAAAGTTTGTAACTTTATAAGTGTTGTTGTGGCACTACCTTAGTTACACTTTCTGCTGTCATTCAGTACTGCAGTCATGTGACATGCATGATATATAGACAGAAATTAGTATCATTGTTCAGCTCAGAGTATGTTAATATGTTATATCAAAGAGAATGACCAAGAATTTAATCAGTTTCTGTGGAGAGCAGGTTAAGATGGTTGGGGTTTTTAACATTTGTTTGTTGAATGGGTGGGTAGTAGCCATTAAAAATGTGAGGAATTCTATTAATTTTAATAAAAATATACTGCTGTAGCCAATTTCACTAAGTTCTTTTCTTTTGGGGGATTTTATTATCCTACATACATTTGCTTCAATTTCTCAAGTACTTTTGAATCTGTCCGAGATAGTTAGATGCTAAGAGTATAGGTACCTTCTCCAGATCAGTGATTTTTGCAGGAAATACAGTAGATTTAGAGATGCATAGTTAAGGATGGTGGTACCTCAGCTTTACCCCAGGTGTGAACTATTTCCATAAAAATAGGAAGGTTATTGGAGGAAAAAAAGAATTGTTAGGGGAGGAGTGACAATGTGACAACATGAAAGAGCAGCTCTTAATCTTTCTTTCTGATCTAACCTCCAAACTGATAATATTTTAGTTTTAGGTAAATAGGTTAATAAGTAGTTTTATTATTCCTGCCTTTTTTTTCCCGTAGACTTCTAGCCCTTTTTATATAGCCAAAAAGAATTTAAGCAGAGACCCTATTCATTCAAGAAGTGTACATATATATTACTATATTACTATGAAACCGAACAGTCCAGGAAAAAGACTAAAGGCCTTATTTTGAAAGAGTTTCTATTAAATGATCAATTTAGATTCTAAGTCTCAGCTGAATAAGAGCATTTTCCAATCATGTCATTGTTAACAAGTGCCTTCTTTTGGTACCACTACAAGGTTAGTTTTAGTCAAAGAATTTTAGAAAACAGAATTTATAGGTTTATTCTTTTCCTGTTATATTTGAAGTCATTATAGTGATGTATATGCCAAATAAACTACTGTTAGGAAAGTTGTTAAAAGTAAATGGCACTATTTAGCCATTACTCTTTATGCTAGTAAGTAGGTTACTTTCCAGCTTCCATATTTTAACCTTATTTCTGAAAGACAGAGACATGTAGTGTGTGCCTCTGCCTGTCAGTCTCTCCTTTTTCATCCAGTAACTTAAGATATCTTTCACTAAATTCAATCAAATTAGAGTGAGGGAAGAATGTGTGAAAGATAAGTACATTATTACAAGCTCTTAGAAATATTTTAGGGAAGTACAAATTAATATACCCAGTGCAAGAAAGACCAAAGACTGTCAGAACTCCACCTTTAAGGTATTTGTTCTGAAGTTGGCGGGAGCCTGGCAGAGTAGTTGCACTGTTTGGCTATCAGCATGAAAATACATCCAGACTAATCAGAACACATGTCTGTGTCATATCTGTTAAAATTGTCTGGGCAGATGTGTAGATAGTTTTTTTTAGGAAACAAAGGACACAGATACTTAATGAAATTCAACTTCTTCATTTTTGCTTCTCACAGAACAATGTTTTATTTCTTGTAGTTCCAAGGGCAACACACCTGGGATCAATTAATCTTATAACAGTTCATGTTGTTGATGGGTCCAAAATGACTTTGGGTAATGAGAATATTATGTCAGTTTATTTTTCATAAAACTTTACTTTCTCTGCTTTTGCTAGATGGCTAAACTTTAATCAACAGAAATACCTTAATATGTCTTTATGTCATGTTCATTTGTTAGTCACATTCCAATGCATGTACAGAATGTTGCTGGTCTTAATTTCCCATCCAATTTTTCTTTCATGTAATTCATTCTAGAAAGAAGTACTTCATGTATAAGGCTGAAGAATTGTATAAAAAGGCATTACCTAATCATTTCTTCTTTTGTCTGATTTACTAATGACATATCTTCGCAGTCTTGTAAAGTCTTATCTGTATAAAAGCATGATTTTCAGCCAGATTTCTAGCACTGACTCTTTTTGTTTATTGTCTGCGCAAAGACAGTTTGAATTTCCTTTCTACCTGTGGTGTTTTATGTTTAAAAGGAAGTCATTTGCATTTGATAAGCAATAATATCTCCACTTTCAGTTCCCAATGAAACGTACCAGATTTCACCCAAGCCCAGAACTGCTCTAGCAACTGAAATTCCACGGTTCAATACAGGTAATTTTTAGGATTTTCTTAAATTGTATTCAGAGCCTGTAGATCTTAAATAAAATCAGCATAGTTTAAGTTTTAATGGTCTGTTCATTATTACCTTTAAAACTATTTCAAGTATATAACATGAAAATCCATTTTTTTTGCCTTATCAAACGTTTTTTAGTTCATTATTCTGAAAATCAAGGCTTAATCAGTGTTGTCTCAAAGATGATATGAAGCTTTTAAACATTATTAGTGCTGTGTATTGGAACTTCAGATGTATAGTGTTGCACATACAAATGTAACTGACTTCCACCTTTTCCTTACAAAATATTAAATCTAAATCTGTAAAACTTTTCCAAAATGTAAATGTCAAAAATGACTAATATGTTCTTTCTTGTATAAGTATTTTCTCTGACACTTCAAAGAGACTGGATTAAGTGTTGTGGATAGAATGGTAATTAGATTTGAATATCAAATAGTTTGCTCTATTTATTTAAAAATTTGAGTTAGAAGTTAATAATTTGGCACAAGATGACAGTGACTACTGCTTAGGCTTTCAGCCTTCAGTGTGATTCACACAGATTCTGTAACAACTAAAATATCAAAACTATTTGGCAAATGAAAGGTGACAGTAAGAAAAGGTTGAAGGCTTCTGATTTGAACCTTGATAATGACACTGTAATTCAGCAGCCCTACACAGTGTCTGCACTGAATGCTTCCAGTTGTTTTCTCGGCAATATTTTAATGTTTCATGTTTTTATCTGAATATTTGATTTGGGAGGGGTTCAGTTTGGTGTTTTATTTTGAGGTTTTTTGTTTGTTTTGTTTTTTACAGAACCTAATTAAATGTCTTAAGGCCATGGATACCTTGCAGAGCTAACTCTGTATCCATATACAGTTGGGTAACTGGCTGTAAATATTTTATATCTTTTCCTAAACCTAAACATGAATGTAACTGGTCAGACTGCATGATGGAGTCATCTGACCACTAAAGAAACTAGCATTTTCAGTGTGCATTTTGGATTGGAACTCATAGAATTCTCATATGTCCATTTTGCTGTATCACATTGATGCATGGACCTTTTTTCCTGGCAAATTACATTGTACTATCGGTGTTCCTTTTACATATAACATTTAAACTGAACCTTATTTCTTTTAGCACCTTATAAAACACGTCTCACTTCTGCAAGACCAAAGCCATCTGATAAATCACAGACCAGACCTGGTAATAATTGTTTATTCAGTTTGGGATGGGGAGGAGATTCTTTAATTAATTATCTTCACTTATTCACATTGGAATTTTAAGTGTTGTTGGGAAAAAAAAAAAAAAGTATCTTTCTTTCAATTAATCGGTCTAGAAGTAAAGCTTTTCCAAATCAGAAAAACAGAAACCAAAACTGTGTGTATCATCACAGCAAGTGTTACTTTTTCTTCTCTAATGTGGAATTGTTGGCATCACATAAAAGTCTCTGGGATTTTCTTCTCATGAAACTTTTTTTCTTTTTTCTTCTTTTTCTTTTTTCTTATTAATCTCTCTCACAGCTCTTAGTAAAACCACACTAGCACCAGCTAGGACAAAAGCACCTGGACTGCCAAAGTGGATTGTGCCAACAACAGGTAGAGCTGCAGTTCTGGGGTTTTTTTAACTTACCAGTAAAAGATAGGAATGTGACTTCCCCAAATCATCTTGAGCCCTGCAGAATACTTCATTGTGTTTGATTATAGAAGTAAATTCCTCATAGTAATGTATTTAATTGCTGCTGCTGGTCATGTTATATAATTACAGAGTGAAATGATACTGACAGTCAGTGTAAACTTATAGATAGATTATTATGTGGCTCCTGTTTACTGATGTTTTCTAGATGATAGGTCCAGAATAATTACTGGAAAACACTTTGTTGAGAAGGATTACCCAGTTGTTTAAATCCAAGTCAGAAGGCTTGGAAAGAAAGCCTTAAAGCCAGGTATATTGCTAGCTACTAGCTATGCACGTTGTGTGTTCATGTTGGACTTATTCATATTCAGACTGTGCAGTTACCTACATTTTGTGTCCTGCCAAGTGAGCCCTTTAAGTTAAACTTCGTGTACAAAGTACTAAAGAAGAGCTGGCATTTATGTGTGTATATATATATATATATATATATATATATATATATATATACTGTCCATTTCTTTGTGCTTCCAGCCCTGCTGACATAACTCATTGATATCTTTCTGTGAGTCTGCACCTTTCTTCTCAGAAGTGTAGAGATCATGAATGGATTTTCTGCGTTCATGACATGTTGAGAGAAGACTGCACCTTTTCACAACTTTTCAGTCTGTATTTTCCTTGATGATCAATAAGTGAAATCCCATCTTGTGTAAAGCAGGTACATCACAGTGTTGTGGCAAATGGAGTGTCTGAGCCTACAAGGCTGTCTGTGCTCATAAAAGACATTTCACACAACAGGAGAGTTCAGGTATTCAATTAAAGATATCTTCTGTATCAATCCCAATTACGTATTGCAAGCAGTTTGTAAGTCTGCAGAAGAGACTTAGAAAAGACAACTGTGTTAAACTGGAACCCTACATCTTACCAACTGAGCAAAAACAGAAAAGTTTATTTTTTGGTAGGTGATATCTTAGAGAAATTATAACATTTTAAAGTATCCAGATGATTTTGGGGTGTGGGGAAGTTTATTTCTTCCATTATGCAAATAGTATATTGTTTTTTGTGGTTAGCTTATTGGAACCCTTAACTTCTGATCTAAACTGATCAAAATCCATAACTGGACTGTAAGGAGCAATATGTTTTCAGGCTTACCTTTAGACATTACATCATTTTTTGTTTCTCTGAAGAAGAGCACATTTACTGAAGAGCCATGGATACTCTGTTGTCTGAAGACCAGTATGGATCTTTTCATTCCTTTCTGGGCTGGCCCTGCTGTTGAATGTACTCCGGTTCTTATTCCTGATTGTGCTCATTAGCATCAGTGCAAGATGTTTCACCCCATGCAGAGTGCTTGGCAGCTGCAGGGCCCAGATGATAAGCAGTGGAATTTGTTTTTTTGCAGCAGCAGCACATGGGATTGTGGCTGGTTTCGTGGCAGGCTTTTCAGTCTCCTGGCTAGCTGTAGTGCCAGCTGGTAAACTTGACTGTGGGAAAGAGGCATGGATTTGTCTCCTCATGACTAACATTCCTTTTAGTTTTCTACCATGTTTTTTCCATTTTCTCTAGAATTTCATTTTAAGATAGCTTTTTGTATTTGTCTTACTGTATGTAATTTACCTTACTAGGTTTTTTTAATTATTATTTAATCCTAACCACTGAAAAACTGCTCCTGATTTATTAAGCCTCCAGACAACCTTCAGCAAACCAACTCTGAGCAACATTTCCATTTCCCTTGTGAAAGAGAGAGATAGTTGGTTTTCATTATAATAGCCATTAACTTTGTGTTCTACTTTAATTTTATTTTGAAACTGGGTATTTAGCCAAGTTCTAGAGGAACTCAAGTATTAAGGTATTTCAGTTTGTTTTATCAAGGGCGCTATTTCCAGTTCTTCTCTTAAAGTGATCTGCCCTTCTAATGGTATTCCTGCTATTAAAGATGCAGTCGTTAGTTTTAAGGTCTTCTAAATCCCATGAATATTTCTAGGAAAAAAACAGAGGAGGACACAAGCACACATGCGAGCAGTACATCTATTCTCAGTTCTGTTAAAAGTTTGGATGAATGTGGTAAGCTGAAACGCTTACAATAAGCAAGTTATGTTAGCTAGCATAAGACAAATGCTATGATAAATACAGCAAGCTGTTTGATAATGCAGGTCACTTGTGTGAAAACACAAACTTTTATGTAACTTTAAGTGCATTGAAATGTTCAAAAATGAAATTTTGCTAACAGGGAAGTGTTGTGGTTTGATTAGCTTTTTCCCCGAAACTTTGACTTATTTTTTATTAGTACTTTACTAATGGCAGAACAGCAGTGCAAGTTTCTGAAAAAAAATTAATTACTTCTTCCATCTAGAATGTATACAGTACTTTGTTCATTCCTAGCTGGTACAACTCAGAGAAGAATGTGATTCTAAATTAGATTGAAAGGAGCAGGATAGATGCAGGCTTTTCTGTAGACACTGTAAGATGCAAAACTAAATTAGACTTGTAATGGATACTTGGGTGATATAGTGTGATTTAGTTCATATGCTACTACATTTTGTTGATGTGTTTATTGTGAGATGAAGCTAAGAAACTAAATATACTCTGACTATGACACATGGTGCACAAGATTATTTTTCTTTTTAAAGCTGGTGCTGGTCTTTTCATGCCTCTTCTTCCTTGAACACCATCAACATGAAACATCAATTACCATTCTGGCGCTTTGTGTATCTGAAGATCTAATTAACCACTTTAGTAACCTGAAGAGAAATTGCAGTTACATAAAACCATATGATGTGTTCAGAAATTTTAGTCATAAGGACAAGGTGACCTGCATCCTGTTCCCAGCATACTGCAAATCTCATTACTTTAATCTTAAATCAATCATTTAATGCATCCACACTATGGATTGTGGACTCCTAAGGTATGCTTAGCAAGAATGGCTAAATAGTGAAGTAATTGAAAAATAATCTGCTTCATGCTGTTAAAATACTAGTTTAATCTCAAAACAAACTGAGCACCAGATTATAAACCTATGAAATCTTCAGTTGAAGTGTTTAGATCATGTTAGAATAGCGTTGGAATCTGATAATTTAATTTTGAGATTATTTTTTTTATACATTAACTTTCAGGGATTTTTTGCTTATGTCATGAGAAAGATTGATTTGGTTTTTTTTTACAAGCATGATGAAATTGCAATACATCATCTCACTCTACCATATATAGAGTTTTTATAAAGTAAATATGCTTATTTTATATAGAGAAAGAGTATTAATTTAACAGTCTCGCTGTCCTATAAATATCAGCATGTGAAAGAGTTGTTCTGTACCAGGAGTAGTTGTGTTGATCTTTTTAATGCCACTTACTTAAGGTTTTTTTTAAATGTGTTTATATAACTTTTAAGTAGGACTTTCTTTTATATACAAACTGAATTTTATGTACACTTTAGCTCCAGTACTCCAAATACAGCATATGTTTGGTTCAGAATTGCATTAGCCATTCAGTATGGAGGACAACCGTTATTTTGGGGAGATGAAGAACTTTGCCCTCTGCAAGAATCAATGGACATTTTATTCTGTATACTGAAAAACTAAAATGTTCACTGTACTCATCTTTCTACATATAGTCTTGGTTTAACTCATCTGTTATCTCTTAATCTTACTCATTCTCACTTTCCAAATATACTTTTTTCAAGGAATGTTTAAAATTAAATTGCAGACTCTCTAGACCCAGATCACCTTCTTGAATAAGGAAGATAACGGATATCACTAAGTTATCAGTAAAAACATAGGTGGGCCATATATGCCAGTTTCACACTTAAAGTTAGCTAGAGTTTGAACATATGCAATATACAAGTATTCCATGACTTGGTACTGTACTGCAGATACTTATTTAATTTCCTTTATTTCACAGGTGATGTATATATACCTGAGGATATTGCCAGACAAATTGGCGTGGATGTGGAAAAACCTTTGGAATATAGTAATACCTGGGAAAAAACAATTTCTGGTAAGATTAATAAAAGACAACATAGCAATTTTTAACAGTTATGAAAAATAAATCCATCACCTTTCCTACACAAAAAGCACCTCCACTAAGAAGAGAAAATAATTCTTAGTCAGCCTCATCAATACACCTTGTCTTGGCCTCAGGATGCTAGTAAGAGATATAAGAATATTTCATGGTCACTACTTAGTCACTAACATATGCCATTAAAAATTACCACCACCGGTGTTGTATCCTTATGATCAAACAGCCACAATACTGTAAGCGCTGATTATTTTCATACTAATTATTTCTGCATAGCAAGAGAGAATAACGTGAATGCATAACTAGATTGTCCTCCCATTTATGAGAAAATTTCGTTGAAAATTAGGATTGTTGAGAAAATCAGAATGTTAGGCTTAAAGCAAAATAACAGTGTAGAGTAAATAAGGTTACGGGGTTTTTTATATGTGCTATAACAGGCTTGTCAGTTTCACTTTTCTTGCAAGTGTTGCAATCATATTTTCAAAACAATCAAAGTATTTTTACTGAAAAACAGTTTCCCAAAACAGACCTTTAAAAATAGACATCTTGTATTTCACTTCTTTCTAGTCAGCTTAGAAATTTTCTGTTTCAGCTGAAAAATTGTAGTGTAGAGTGTGTTTGTATGCCACATGTACATACACACAAACATGTAAACACCCTTAAATCTAAAAAATTTCTTTGTTTCACAAACATAACCAAGAATAGAGCTTGTTTTTAGCTATGCTTTGTTACTGGTATAACAACAGACTGAAAATAAAATCTTTTTGGTTTTACCCTTGGATTCACTATTCAGCTGCAGCTGCTCTTTTTATTTAGGTTTTCCATCGAAAACATTTTACTACATTTAAAAACACAGATACAAACACATGCCTCTAACTAATTTATAAACTGCTGTTTGCTTCTAATCCCTGCTGAATTTCCTTTGCACCTAATTTACCTGCACAAAGAGAAGGGCCTTTCTTGACAGCTGAGTTCTGATGCTTTATCTTTTTAAAGTTTATTCAATCTTAAGATTGTACTTTGCAAAGATTAAGTCCAGTGTGATATACTATTAGTAGTAGCTGGATGCAGACTGTGGACTGAAAACAAGGATGAGGCCCTGCATTTTTTGTTACTGAATGTTGGGCAGTGGTGTGTACTTAAGTAAATCCAGCCTGTGATTTGTAGACACTGGAAGTTTTTTTATGCACATAGATTTGAAGGAACATCTACATCTGCTTTTACTCATCTTATGACATTAAATGCTTGAAGTTAAGCTTTTAGAGCTTTGAAGTAAGCCAATACCTTGAACTGTAGTCATAAAAGACAGTTGGATATGGTTGTGGAATTAGCTACTACTGTTTTGTAATTTTCTTCTATACTTCTGTGATCTTAGCTCTCTGATGAGGCCTTAATATGTATATAAAAATTTAGAATTGGAGAATCATAGAATGATGTGGGTTGGAAGGTACCTTTTAAGATCACCTAGTTCCACCCCCCCTGCCACGGGCAGGGACACCTTCCACCAGCCCAGGTTGCTCAAAGCCCCGTCCAGCCTGGCCTTGAGCCCTTCCAGGGAGGGGGCAGCCACAGCTGCTCTGGGCACCCTGTGCCAGAGCCTCACCACCCTCACAGGAAAGAATTTCTTTCTTATGTCTAATCTAAATCTACCCTCTTTCAGTTTAAAACTGTTACCCCTTGTCCTATCACTATAGGCCCTGGTAAAAAGTCTCTCTCCATTCTTTTATGAGCCCCCTTTTAAGTACCGAATGTTGCAATACAGTCTCCCTGGAGCTTTCTCTTCTCCAGGCTAAACAACTTGAACTCTCTCAGACTTTCTTCATAGGAGAGGTGTTCCAGCCCTCTAATGATTTCTGTGACCCCTCCTCTAGACCCACTCTAACATTTCCATGTCTTTCTTGTACCAGGGACCCTAGAACTTGATACAGTACTCCAAGGGAGGTCTCAACAGAGCATAGCAGAGGGGCAGAATCCCCTCCCTCAACCTTCTGGCCACACTTTTTTTTTTTTTTTTTTTTGATGATGCTGCCCAGAAAGCTGATTGTAAGCTCATATCTAATTTTTCATCGACCAATATCCCAAGTCCTTCTCTGCAGGATTGTTCCGAATCTGTCACCTAGCCTGTACTGAGACTGGTGATTGCCCCAACCCATGTTCAGGACCATGCACTTAGCCTTGTTGAATTTCATGAGGTCTATATTGACCCACTTCTCCAGCCTGTCAGGGTTCCTCTTGATGGCACCTCTTCCCTTAGGCATATCAATTGCACCACACAGCTTGGTGTCATCCACAGACTTACTTAGGGTGCACTCAGTCCCACTGTCTGTGTCATCAGTAAAGATATTGAACAGTACTGGTCCCAGTACAGACCCCTGAGGGACACCACTTGTTACTGATCTACATTTGGATATGGAGCCATTGATGACAAGTCTATGGGCTGTCTAGCCAGTTCATTTTCTATTGAATTCATATTGAATTCATATTTCTCCAATTTAGTGACAAGGATGTTATGTCGGACTATATCAAAGGCCTTGCAGAAGTCAAGAGAGGTGACATCAGTTGCTCTTCCCTTATCCACCAACACAGTCACTCCATCGTAAAAGGCCACCAACAGATTAGTCAGGCATGGTTTGCCCTTGTGAAGCCATGTTGTCTGTCTCTAATCACCTCCCTGATTAATCAGATATTGCTGTAAGCTAGCTAGTATTTGACTTTGCTTTTAAATACTTTGACTTTTTCTGAACACTTAGTGTCTGTTAACTGAAAAATTTACACTTATTCTACTTATGAGAAAGTAAAAAGATAGGTTGCAGTACACAAGAATTAAGCTTAATGTGTTAAGAGTCTGTCATACAAGGCTGCACACCCTCCTTTTTGAAGAAGAGTGATAGAGTCAAGGAAATACATTACTGGTCCACAAAGATCCCCTGAAATTAAATAAATCCTAATAGTTCACCATGCTGCTGTCCTTGCAAGAATCTGTTCTGTCACAAAATCCCTGAATCTATTGTGTGTCCTAGTTTATAAGCTCAGTCTCCACACATTGTTAATTAGATTTGGTAGCATCGTAGACCATCACCCAAATCATTGTGGAAGTAGTAGAAGGGAAGAGTCGGGATTTTTGTTTTTCCAGAGTGCAGTATAGTAGATTCAACTGTGGCACAGTCCACTGAATGTGATGTTTTGGCTTGCATGTAACTGTTGCAGTTGTGTTGTTCAGAAGATACAACAGTAACCATTGACAAGTCAATACTTGCACATTTTTACCCCATAAATATCTCAGACAATCCCATTCCCTAAATATGAGCAGGGGGAAAAATTAATTATGGATACTACCATGTAGTAGAATCTAAGGCATGGTGACTCATATATACAGAAATTTATTATCCTTTTTCAGGTCTTTAGGCACATTTTTTCCATCTCCATCTGGGGATTAGGAATGAATGTGAAACCTACAGATGTTATTTTCAAATTCATTACGTCTTCCTGAATAAGATAGAACATTATTTCCTGTCTTGATCTGAGGGATTTTTAAAAAAATGTGTTTTATAAGTCACTGCGCAAATCCAAAAGGAAAAGAGAACAATGAAAGATGAAGATGTTCCTGTTTGTAAACTGTATTTCTAAAAAGGCTTTCCCAAGTGAATCTTTGGATCTGCTCCCTTCTCGCCCACAGTCACTCCATTAGGGTAAACTAAGGTCTGATATGTGGGGCCTGAGGTACTCTGTGTAGCCAGTAACTCAGTATCAGGCAACTTACATGTTTGTTGACATTGGCAGCTTTACTAGAATTATATTACTCTTGAGGATTTTCCCATTAGGTACAAAAAGTCTTTTGTTACATAAATGCGTTGCACATATCTCCTGTTTGTTTCTTAAGAAAAGAAGTGCAAAGGTGAATAGTGGAAGAAAAAACTTTGCCTTTGCCTTTCCTTTGCATAATAAAATCCTTTAGAGTTGCCTGGAAAATATAGTAGAATGTTTTGTAAGTATGAATTAAGAGTCTTTGGTTTTCCTTTCAGATCTCACTGCCAAAGGGCCTTACCAGATAAATGTAATAGATACTGCCTGGAACTGCACATGGAAGCAACCTAATCGGGTGCTTCAGGAGTTTCTAACACAACTGTCTCTAGCCATGTCAGCACATGAAGTGAAAGTGACTTCTTTCATTTTTTACTTTAAAACAGCATAAGATAGTGTCCCTAATTACAATTGCCTTTTTGCTACCTCTTTTGCTTCAGGCTGAGGGTGGCCAGTTTTATCAGTTAGAAAATACAAAAGATGAGAAATTTTGAGTACGATACTGAAGGTGTTTCCAGGTACGCTGAGGTGGTGTTTACTGTGGGAAGAAGTTTCTGGCTGGTTGCCAGAAAATTACCATTGACAGAAATGAGTAACTACACAGAAAATGAATTGCTAAAACACTTGTAGAAAATCGTGAAGTAGCTACATTTTTTCAGTGTAAACTTAGTTTAAAACTCCATGGCACGCACTTCCCAAAGACTTTAAGGCTGAAAATAAAATTCATTTCAGCTCTTAACCTCGCCTCTCCACTTTTGATACTAAATCAAACATGAAACATTGTTTGAGGAGTCAGACTATAACTTGTAATGTGTTTCTGACTTTATGGAATTTGAAGTTAAATAATTAATAACATGGTCTTTTAATGTCATTCAGTAACTATATCACCTGGCCCTCAGCATCCTCCTGTACCTCCTGCCAAGCCTACACAAATGCGAAGAAAACCTCTGCCTCCTAACACCGTGACTGGTAAACCAGGGAGTCCAGGTATCTCAACCTTTTTAGCATAAATATTTATTATGTGTGAGATAATACTGAACTGACTAGCAGGGTATAGAATAATTTTATAGGATAAATTCTTTTTCTTTAATCTGTGATATCTGTAGAAACTAGACTTCTGGAACATACAGGCTTTGTGTCTTTTGTCTTCATACATAAACTCTGTTTTCCTTTTGTTTTTCTAACCTAGTTATGTCAAAATCATCCCTAGTAAGGGACCTGAAAGCAAAATAGCATAATAAAAGTCATCCTTTAAGAAGATCAACCTTAAGAACATTTCATGTCTACTAATAGCATTTTCAGTTACTTAATATGTGTGTCAGATGGGAGATATTGAACATTAAACTTCAGTGCATACTCCCAACTGGTTATTTGTAAATAACTTCTGTCCCACATATATGGCACATCCATTAACCACTGCAAATAACAAGCTAAAAGGCACCCAGAAAACTAACTGCACTGGGAGGTCGAGCATGCTGAGTTATTTCACGTGCAGAGCTTAGCTTCATTCCTGTGCTCCGTATCAGTGTAAGAGCACTCAGAAACTTTCACATTTCCTATTTTATTTTAATGTTATCTTGAAGCTGATATTCAATATCCTTATGTATGTTTTGTCTGTGGATACTATATAAGAATCCTTTGGCTAATGTTATTCTAGGTAGTCAGAAACTATCATCTCACTATGCTTAGCATCATGAGAAACGCTTCCCCCTTCATATTGCTCTCTGTAGTTCACTGGAAATATGAAGGTCTTGCTCTGCTGTATTTCCTTTTGGCTTTTTTTGGTTTGTTTCATTTGGAGCTTTGTGTGCTATTAAAACACTAAAGACCTAAATAATTCTTTAGTATTTTGTACAGCAGATTTAGAAGCAAGAATCTCCAAGCTGGATGAAACAAGCTGTATATTTACTCAACAGCAGAGCCAAGATAGAAATGTTGTGTCTCTACTTGTTGACAGGTGGTGTTTCCTTAGTAATAGCTACAACAGAACATCAGACATTGTCAGTCTTAAGCTGTAGCATAAAAAAAATGTTGACCTGATACATTTTCTTTTGCTTGTAATGGGCTCTATGTTAATTTTCTCCATTAAGTATCTAATTAATTTACCAGTGCTTTGAAATTTCACCCTTTTTCCGTATGCTAGAGGCCAGGTTATGTGGTAGTCAGTAGTTGCCATACCCTCCTAGGCATTCAAGATGGAATAAATCAGTTAGACGATCTGGTTCTTCCTTGTGGGGCCAGTAGCAGATTTTCCTTTTTCTGTGTTTCCCAGTGTTTTATCCAGCTTAGTTTTAAGCGTCATATTTGAGTTTCTTCTGGTTCCCTGGAGAGACTGTTCCACAGTACTAACAGGAAAAATTTGCCTCAATGTTGTTCTTGGATTTTCCCTTTCATCATTCTGTCCTGTTTCTCTTTCTCATTAACACCGTGATTAATTCCTTACTTGCATCTTTCTTACTCATCCAGTGGGTAAGTATTATGAGGAGGTTTCTATGCAGACATTAGAAATCTCCTGAATGGGAAAAAAAGGAAACAAGAGAGTTCCAGAACCTTTGTGAAACTGGACTGTAGTGAGAATCTTAATAAATTTCCACTGTATTAGGAAAGTTAGTGGAAAGTGGGGAGAGAATCTTTATTATGAGAATCTTAATAAATTTTCATTTTTTAAGGAAATTAATGGAAGGTAGGCATTTTTGTTGTTTTAAACTTGGTTCACCAGAGTTCTACCTTCAGTCACCATGTTCTGCTGTATTATATATGCAGGGAAAGTAACCACATTATGTAGTTCTTGACTTTTAGTGGGTTGATTTCACAGACATGAAGTGGCTATCTTGGGAGTATCTGCATGTTTTGTGAATGTACTTCTTGTCTTTCACAGCTCTTTTGAAAGCAATCAAGACATCCTTTACCATGGGTTGTTTGCCTCTTAGAAACTGTTTTCTTTATTAGGTGATAACAGCTGAAGACTAAAAGCAATGTCACATAATCTCAAATAATTTTTTAAATAGCTATTTAATTGTGAGAGATAATGTTGCCTCTATCAATCAGTTTCTGTCAAAACTTACAGTGCCTGCTACAGAATAGATCAGCTCAGAAAGAATGCTTTTTCGGTTGGGTCATGTAGTGTTATAGATGTTGAAAATGTTGGACTTGTTTGCATTTTTCTTACCTTCATTTGTAGTGCATCTTAATTTCATTTAGTGGAAGCTCTAGTAGTGTTCTGTGGTTAAACTCTTAATGCAGACCATAGCTAAGAACTCAGTGTTTATTGTTGCACATTCCAGCTCCAGCCTTGCTAATATATATGCTGTATTGAGAGTAGAAATTAAAGGACTTTATGTATATTTGAGGGAATAATCCAAGTTTCAATTGCTGACTTCAGCTATTCAATCTTACCACTCATGAAGAAATGTGCTTTTTTATCTGAGAAACAGAAATGTCAGTGCTGGTCATTTTGCATCCTTTTACCAGTCTGTGTCGATGGTTCTGTGCATTAAACCAGCTCATATTCTAGCTGACCTAAGTCCTCCAAGACAATCTCCAAGTAGCAAAGAATTTTCTTACTGGGTTTCAGGAGTAGGTTATATTGTCAATAAGGAAAACTCTGAACTTTCCTGAATCCAACTGGAAACTTGTATAAATTTTGAGGGAATATCATAGTTTAAATGAAAGTACTTGTTTCATGAAGCACTTGTCACAAATCTGAGTTCTGTTAGAAAATCTGTTAGCAAGCTGTTTCACACTTCTAAATAGTGAATGGCTTGTTGCCACAAGTTCCTCCTTCTGTCACTATAGCTAAATCTGCTGGACCAACACCACCAGTGAGGACAGGAACGTCATATAAGACACCAACAGCTTTTGCAACTCCAGAGTATTATGGTAAGCATATTACAGACAGTTCTGGTTTCTTTTTTTTTTTTTTTTTTTTTTTTCATGAACATAAAGGTTTCCTTTTTTTCTTTTTCTTCACTTCCCTAAACTATATTGATACATTGTATATTTAATAGAAGAAATATTCTATCTGGAGTGATTCTGATTTCCTTCATGCCATTTTGCTACTTTCCTAACTTGACTGAGTTCATCTGGCTGTCTGCTGATACACACCTTGGTAAATGAGAACATGACGGCCCTTGCATCTTCCCAGAAATCAATACATGCTTAGTAGGCTTTCAGTACTATTCAGTGGCTACTTTAAATCTGTGAAGGGAGTAAATAAGGCACTTCTTTTTCTGAACATACATTTTTGCACAGGACATAAATTCAGATTATTATTTGACCATGACTGATTGTGCTCAACATGGTTGTGATATCCTCCTAGCTATCTGATCAAACTGCCACTGTTTAAATAGAAAAAGAATGTAATAGGGTAAACATAGTGGTTAGTTGGTAATTTTGCCGTCATAAAATTAGGAGTTAACTACAAGTTCAGACCTAAATCTCCTTATACAAGAATGGGTTTGGAGGAAGGTGTGCTTAGAATTTTTGAGCCAAAATATGCAGCTCTAGGAATATTGTCATAAAATATGCTGTTTCTAATTTTCCTAGATTTATAGTAATACTGAAATTCTTGTCTCCTTATAATGATCATGAACTCACTGTGACCCTTAGAGCTCAGTAAAGCAAGCTGGATGCTAGATTTATTAAAAAATGCTTATTGTGAATATATTGTGTTTTGTCTGTTGAGGTCCATTGTAGTATTTGCATCTAAGAGAAGATTTTGTTCAGTATAATGGCTATTTAACACAACACTGGTGTCATGAATCCTGACTGCTATAGCACATTCCTGTTCACCAATGTGTTTGCCTTCAATTTCCTTCAAATTTTTGGGGGGTTGTACACTCTGGAGACAGCAATTGTGATTTCCTTTTTGCTATTTTTAGAGAAGGTCATGAGACAACATAGTAGTCCTATATATTCTATGAACATGAAGGAAGCTCCAAGCTAAACAGCCAGTACAGTGCAAAAAGATAATTTTTAAAGGGTCTAAAGAGAGTTTTGCATATATTGCAACTGAATCCAGCAGCAGCCATGAAGTCAGTCATTTGATTATAGCTATCTTTACATTAGCAGGTAAGTATGGGGCTTACTCAGCATCACAGACAAAATGGAGTCCTTAAAAGGAAAAGACAGATCTGGCAGCAAACGTCTACCATGGAAGAGCTCTACCATGATTTAAGATGACAAATGAACTGTGAAATGCTGCAGTTTTAAGACTAAAACTTTGTATTTATTGCAAATTAAATTATAACTGTGTTTCCCACAGTTGATGCAACTGTCTTCAGCTCAATTCCTACATCAGAAACAGATTCTTCAGGCAAACCAAGGTACCAAGGTAGGATTTAAATAGTTGTAGTATTTTTTATTTGGGGGAATATATGAAGACTGACCTACCTTGCATCAAAATTATCCTCTTTGGTCATTCAAAGGCCAAAATTTCATTTGATTCTGTTTCATTTTAGTGTCAGATGAAAGGGCAGTAGTGCAGACTATCAGCTTATTCTTAACTAAATTCTACTTTTGCTTTCTTCCCTCCTACCACCTCCTAGTTTATAGGCTCACCCACAAACATGTTGTGACTCTTCCTGTGAGCCAGCAGTAGTACAACTGCGCACTGTTCGCGTTCCACCAAACCAGATTAAGATCTTCCCGTGGGCTTGCAAGCATACCTGGAAAGGTATTGCCCCCATATCAGCACACCTTACCATAAGGGATATTTACCCATCATATATGCCTCACCTTTCATTCCAGGCTGTGCACATTTAGATAATCTAGTAACATGGTAACATATATTAGACTAGATGATAAAGTAATCAAGTTATTGTTGTTGCAGTAATCTAGAGAGTGTAACCAGGTGAGATGACAGGAAGAACTGCTTTTGTACCAAAAGATTTTTCAGGTTTTTTTCCTTGGTCTGGTACATTTCTTGGCCTGGTACACTACATTTCTTAAGACACTTTCTTGCAAGAGTTTATTGTTTACATCCAGTAGTTTTCATTTTAGAACTAATGTGTTTGTCTTCAGTAATCTTCCTAATTTTGATTGAGTAGATGTTTGCCTCAGAATGTTTGTTTCAAGGTTTGGTCCTGTACCACTGAAAATGGTTCAGATTTTGACAGTCACTTTAGAAACTGCAAGTTTGATGATGGAAAGACTCTGGACTGAAACTGTTACTTTTTCTGGTGAAACAAAGTGGTGATGGGCATTATGTCTTTGTATTAGCATGGCACTCAAAAGCTGCAAATGAAATTGTAGTGTCATTTTACAGTAGAAGGACTGAAGTCAACTTTCCTATTTTATGACAGAAGTGAAGTCTTTCAAACAGTGTGTATCACCCACTAATACCTTCAGAGGGATGGTTCATCAGTGGTGCCAATGGGAAGGGGGTGAAGGCAGTGCTGATTCCAGCTCTAACAACAATAAAAAACCCAACAAGCAGCTTAATATTGAATATATGTTTTTTATTGTTAAACATTTATGTTTGACTTGTTGTGCAGATTTTTACTTGGTGCCCTAAGATGGAAGTTGTGCACTAGGTAAAATGGCATTGACATATTGTAAAACCACTCTGTATTGAATAGCAGCTCTTTCCTATTGCTTTTAGCCCCACATGTCAAGTACATGAAGAAAGATGATGATGTGCCTTGCTCTATCACAAGCTCTCTTGAACATTTTCCTCAAGAAGAAGCGGGAAGCAAGGAAGAACCTACTCGTCCTCCACAAAATCCTCCAACCAATCTCACAGTGGTGACTGTTGAGGGCTGTCCAACTTTTGTCATATTGGACTGGGAAAAACCAGACAATGACACTGTTACAGGTTGGTTTGATTTCTTTCCTCCATTGTATCAGAATACAGTATTTCCAGCTTAATTTTACTGTCACACTGGTTTTATGCCTTTTAAAGAATATTTTATTTCCAAGGGAGTCTTACACCCTAGTGCTTTTATGTTGTGCTACTGTCAACGCCAGTGTGGATAAGAAAATGCTAGTAGATTAGAACGAGATTTTCAGAACTATAACATGGGTGTCAGCGATGACACAAAAGGATACTTAAGAAGTATGACTCTCTATCTTCTCATAATTTCTGGCTTCTCTGTGTACAGGATCTAGAAAGAACTAGTCAAGAAGTTCCAGCAATATGAAGGTAGTCTTTCTGGTATAGATGCATACATGTAAAATGGACATTTTTCTTGACTTGAGGATGTTATTGATCAGTGGGCCAGACACAGTGAAACCTTACATCCACCTAATAAATCAGTAGAACTCTGCCAGCATAATACTTGCTGTACCCACCATAGGATCACCAAGCTCTCTATGTTAAAAGAATCTACTTGCTTTTTTCATTTCCACATGAAAGTTTTTGTATTGAGAATAAATCCTCATGCGTCATGCAGGAATCAGTACATAGACACATAAGCATGCAAGACAACCATTCATAATTTTTCTGTCATTTTCTGTATATCAACACAAGCTTACCAAACCTGAACGTTTAAATTAATTAACAACTGAAAATTATGGTTCTTACATACTGTCAGGAAAATGGCCTTTGTTTTTACCATAGACATAAAACTTTGCTTTGAAAAATCACTGGCTCATGACAGCCATGGCCAAATGGACTTGGCTGTGTTGCACTGCAGGTGAATAGAACAGCTAAAACTAGGATCTGTGAGGACTAAGACTTGATCATTAGCCATTGACTTTAGCATGTAAGTGGGATGTTTTCAGATATTGTTGCATATGCATGTCATGAGAGATTTCAATGCAGGGGTATAATTAGATGACTCACAAGAAAGGCCACTTTCTTGCCCAAATTAGTCCTTCCTTGATTTTCTAGAAATAATTACTAGGTTTACCCTCTGTTCTTTCTTGCTTTCCCCACTGTTTTGAAAAATAATAAATGCAAAACCAAAGGGACACTCAAAACAAAAATTAGCCTGCACTTTTTTCTTCTGGGAAAGAGGAAGAAATTTAGTCCTTCTACTGGATTAAGAGGGGAATAGAAAGAGACTGTAGGCTAATAAAAAGTACCAACAAGAGAAAAGAATGATTACCTGGCTTGCATTCCATGATAATGCTTCATCCTGGAAGAAGAGGAAGTGTGAGCTTATGGCTAACCCTAGAATTAGGCTGAGGATAGGCTCTCTCTGAACACTCCCCATTCTGGGCAGTTCTTCAATGCTTCTTTTTGTTGCAGTTGTTGTTTGGAAGCCTCCTCCACAGACCAGTCCTTCATTTGATTAGATCAGATAACGTCATTTAATCTGCATGTTTTCTTGGAAGTAAACCTGTTGTTTTTCATGAGTATTTTAATGAACCCACTGCAGTACAATCATTTGTATTGCAAAAATAGAAAAGCATTTCCACTATAGCTGGTAAAACTGTCAGAGCACATCATCTAATGATGAGAGCAAGGCCTAACTGCCTTCTGATACTATTTCCTTTCTTTTTCAATGCGTGTTGTGAAATACAGAACAAGCAACACTCACTGTTTCTGCTAAGGCTTTAGGTGGAAACCCTTTCCCTGTTCAGTTGTAGTCAGCACTTGTAAAAGTGAAGTTTCTTCTCTTCTATAAGACTGTTCTGTGATAACTGAGACACCTAGCATACCCTTCCACATTCCAGAAAAGATTACGACCTTCTGCAGAATGTGTGACTAATACTCATTCTGCTTCACTGAGAGAAACTTTAGTTTTCAATCTAGCTATCTTCCTATCTAGATGTAACTTCTTTCCCATAAATACCATCTTAATTCTTTTTAACTTCAGTGTGTAATACAAAATGTTTGAATTCTGTGGCTTACAAATACTGTCATTGAGCTTGTCTCCTTCGTCTTAACTTCAAAAAATTCCTCAGTTAATGACTCATCCAAGGACACTTTTTGAATTCAAGAGAAGGCATTGAATTCCATTTTATGAAATCAGTGATCATTTCATATTGGCGCCAGTATGTCTTAAATCAAGTTTTCTGTCATCTCTTTTTATTTTTGTAGTTTATACATGTTTTTTCAATCATCTGATTTAGGCATCACATCTTTTTTTTAATGCACTGTTTCAGACACAACTGTGGAAACAGAAAATGTAATTTGTTGAGCCATTTTTCTGAAATGGTTACTTTGCTTGACTTTTAGCTATGCAAAAGGGGTTTCATAGTATTGGGTATTCCAAAAAAAATGTACTTTAGTAATGGAAAGATCTGACAAATAATAATCAAAACAGTGATCAAGCTTACCTTGTCATTTTCATAAAGGCTGCAAATGTCAGGGACCAAGACCATTTTGCTGGTGCTCTGCTACTCCTGTTGTGTTGCCACAGAAATGTAGGGCAGTTTGTTTTCTTGTGTGCTGAGACTCATGCACTGAGTAACAGGCAGGTTACTGGATACACTCTGTAGTTCTTTGTGTGTGTGCGTGCACATGTTTGTATGCCCGTTCACATGTGCTATGTTTTCTTTTCCAATTTGAATGAATTAACAAGTTCAAATCACATATTGATTGGTGCTGGCAGAAGGCAAAAAGTTTGAATTCCTGTCAAGTTACCTACTCATTCTCTATCTGGATGTACCTAAGGCAGTGGATATCCACTCTCTCTCCCATGCTTTCTAATAGACATAATTTCTCTTATGAGGCTTAATTAGGGTGAGTAAGGGCTTTTGTGTGTTTTTTATCTCCATGGTTCACTCAGCCCTTGGTGGCTATACAGGAAAAGGTCTTTTTCTATCTTTAAAAGACAAAAAAGAAATTCATAGAGAGAAAACACAGATATGTTCTACACAGATACATACAAACTGTAAATTCTCATGTCTTTGATTGTTGCATCATGGTCCCAGTTGAACAAATGATCTAAAGTAAAAGCCCTCTACCTACTTTTTTTTTTTTCCTTTCCCACCCCCACCCACCATCTGAGACACCCATTCCTGCACAGGTCCATGAGTTTGTTTTTAAAAGGCAGTGGTTGGTCTTTTGCTGTTCATGGGTGACCGTTGTGGAAGAAGACTTCTGAACATGGAAATTTTGAAATGTTCAGTATTAGCAGTAATTCCTTCCTTCGTGATGACTTTCTGACATACTATTAAACCTATTGGAAAGTTTTATGTTGCTCTGTATATGTTCTAAATAACAGAGTCTATTAAAAGGTAAAGATAAAAAGTTGCTGTGTGGAGGTTCCTTTTGAAACTGTTGCAGTAAATCTGAAATTCGCATGTGCATACATGTATATAATTGCTCAGATTGAATTGCTGTGATTTAGAAGCTTGGAATTTTAGAACATAATTTTTTAGGTCTGCTCTGCACTTCCACATAATTGCATTGTCTTACGTAATTTGCCCCAGCAGTTTTGATAGCTGCTTTTTTCATAGAAGAGTGCAAAGGAAGCCGCAGTTGCTCAGCTGAGGTCAAAATTGGGTCAATTTGCGTGTGTATACTCATTTACATATACATCTCCTACCTTTACTAGGAGTGAGGATCTGAGAGTCCAGCAACAATTAAGAGAGTTTTAACACTGAAATCCTTTTGCAGATGTTTGATCTTTCTGTGTTGACAATGAACGAGCCTCCTTGTATTGAGAACTAAAAAGTTTAGAAAAAAAAAAAAAGCCCTACAGCTTGCTAGCATTTAGTTAAGAACTCAAAAATGAATAGTATCATTAGGGAAAAAAAAAAAAAAAAAAAAAACAGGGAAAAAAGTAGTTTTCTAAAGGTTTTGCAGCTGTTGATAGGTAGTCTCTGTCCTCATGGTATAATACCTGCTTTATTTATTGTGCTATAGATCTAAATGCTCATTGCAAATATTCTTTGAAAATATTCTCCTTTGCTAGCTTACAATTACTGAAGCTGCACTTGGTATTATAGACAGGTTTTAGGAAGGGGAAAGGAAGGGGCTGGGGAGGTTGTGAATTGCTTTGCAAGGAGAGGACAATTAGCAATATATGTATGCAGTGTGTTTATTAAAGAGGCTGTTACGAATCAGGACAGAGGTTGCCTGCTAGAGAGAGACAAGATCTTGGACAGGAGTATGGCTGAAGGGGTGTCTTCTTCCCAAACATCTGTTGTTAATTCCCTGTTCAGAGCATGGCTTCCGCGTGATGACACATCCCAGTGAGATGAAAAGTAGGTAGTAAGACTCTATCAATCATATAAATACAGAAATAAATTTATGCAAAATTATTTCATTCTAAACTGTCAGATTCCGTAAGTGTACAGTCCAAGTTAGTTGGGCAGCTTCCTTTGGAAATCTTAAAAATACAGGTCTTATTTTAAGTTAATCAAGGTATAAGCATTTAGAAACTGTACTTTCATCTTTGATGCTTTTTCATTCAAACTGCAGAATGCTTATACTTATTTGTGTTTGGAATTTTGTCACTGGTGTGCTTTTGGGCAGAGGTGAGATGTCGAGTACCCTCTATCCCATAACTGAAGTACGAGAAAGGATGAGAGGCTAGGCACTCGGCAATCTGGAATTTGACCTCTCTTTCCTAACTATTTTAGCATACTAATGTCAATACTGGTTCACACAAGATGTCGTTACAGCCTATTAGACAGTAGGAGTGGAAATCAGATGAGAAAAGAGAGAGTAAGGAAGAAGCTTAAGTAAGAGCTGTTATTTAAGCAAATTTCTCTTTACTGTAATTTTCCAGAGTATGAGGTTGTGTCCACTGAAAATGGAGTAAGTGATGGTGAAAAGGAGAAATCGATTATCACTACAAATCAAACCCATTCTACTGTGGAAAACCTAAAACCTGACACAAGGTAATTAAATAATTAATTTTCTGAGTTAATCCAACTAATTTACACTCTCAGTTGTCTGCCACTTCAAATGAAAATACATATCTATAAAAGACCAAAAAGAATGCTTTAGTTTTGCATCCTTCTAAGCTAACAGATAAGACACATCTGAGGAATCTGTAGGAAATTTCCAAGAGTATTTATGGTCTGGACAAACTGCAGTAGTGACCTGTTCTGTCAGGAAGATTAACAGTCAAATGTAAGAAAATTTACTGCTTTTTATCAGATTATCTCTTGAATTTAGCAGATAAAGAAAAAATATGAACACAAGAAACATTAACCTGATATATGGGATCAAGATTTATATGTGCGGTTGTCTCTCTCTGGGGTTCAAGGATACTGGGCACAACTGACATAGGCTGCTTTCTTATTTAGATGCATGTTCATTCAAATACTGGAATGCAAGTTGGGCCACTGTATGAAGCTTGACTATAGCATTGCACCATGGAGAGGAAAGATAACATTTGTCCTGTGTATGTAGTTTTCTTTTAGTGTCTCAAAACAGCTGACAAGTTAAAAATGTGTCAGTGAATTCCAGTTGATGGAACTACTACAAATAAGCATTATCATTCTTCTAAAAAAAAAAATCTCATCAAAAATTGTTCTTTTTGTGGTAAAATTCAGAGCAGGAAAGAAAACCACTTGACTTCTGTTTCTGTTGGTTATTGATTGCATCAGAAAGTTAATGAATGACATGTTTTTTTCCTGTAAGACCATCCATTTGGCTTTGGTAACTGGATTTTTCTGTTTCATATAAACTGCCCTTTTCTATTATTATCTTTAAATTGGCAACACAGAACAAAATTCGGCATAGAACCCATCTTGAACCTTTACTTTTAGGCAATGTGTGGTTTAATCTGGGGTGTTGGTTCTTAGCTCATGTACGTGTGACCTGCAGCTCCTAGAGGAAGAACGAGGAACTATTGCAGAAAATGGAAGGGAAGAGAAATGGAAAATAAAAGCTAGGAGAAATTGTAATACCCAAAAAGAGCTTCTTTGAGAGACTCCAAAACTGTTAAGATGGGCTCGAATTGGTGTGTATTGCATCAAGATTATCTGTTATTTCTTAAAGGCTTGTGGCTTGTCAAAGGGTGAACTTGCAGCTATGTTGTTCTGTCTTGTTAAGAGACAATTAGGATATGTTACCAATACAACTGGAGACCAAGCATGAGTTTCCTCAATCAGTTCCTCAATCAGTTGAGAAGGCTTAAAAGTGACAGAAAAACAGTGTATTTCTGGAGCAGTGACTAAGGCAGTAAGTGCCGCTAAACTTGTCAGGCTGTGCTGTTTGTGTTTTCATTTCAGTTCTGATTTTGAAATAATACAGTTGCATCCTTGAAAAGAACTGTATGTTCTTTATGAGTTTCTCCTCCATTACCCGCTTGAATTCTTTGAGTCACATATGGTGGCAGAAATAGGATGGATTTGGTTAAGCGTAGAAGAGACGTGGAAGCAAAGTCCTTGATACTAAGAGCAATGTCCAGATGGCCAAAAGAGAAATGCATTTTTAGACTGCTCTTTCTTCAGAAAAGAAGCAAGATGGAGGCAGGCAAGACCCAGCTAGAACCACTGGAAAGGTCGTAAGGAAGGCAGGAGCTATGCAGAAGCAGATAAGTTGATTTTTAACTTTAATTAGTAACAATTCTGTCAATCCTGTGAGGGGATTTTCAGGTTTTGGTAAGCAAGAGCAGACCAAAGACCATGGAGAAAAGCTGTATTTTGGAGTGTGAGTTTTGTTACGAGAAGCTAGATACGAGATCAGTACTCACCAATGGAGGCTGACTGGAAACATTAAAGGGTAACTTCTCACTGATGGGGTCATGGCTACTGTCCCCTTCCCCAGCCCCCAACCTCAAAAGGGAAAGACAGTGGAAGTCTTTCTGGACTCATAAGGTCATTGCCAGCAATTGAGAAACGTTGATACAAATTGCAGTGCTGCACGTCCCTCAAGTCTCACAGGATTTAAAGGATGTAAAGTCCTTCTTAGAGTGGCTCTGATTTATTACTCTCATTTCAAAATGTGTGTTTCCTAATTTTGAGGACACCTTCAGAGCTTTGTCAGAAGCACAAGAATTTGTTACTGTTACCATTTGAATCCAGGCTTGTTGGCACACTAAATTCAGGGAAAATAGGTGATTTAGACAGCTGGCATCGTGTAGACAGTATCAGTGTTGCAAGGAATGGCGTATGTCCGTAATAAAAGTCTCATGTCTGTCAGGAGATGATTGCTCACTAAATGAAGAAAACGGACCTGTGGACAAAGCTGACTGAAAATAGGACGAAGAGAGACAATGAAACCCAGTTCAATAAATTAATTAACAGGTTCCCTGAAATGTCTGCAAATTCATCAAGTAATACATTAAAACTGGGAAGCAGACTTTTCCATAACTAGACTTAAAGCTGCAGGAGAGGTGGAGCTGGGAAAGAAACTTGGAAGAGAAAAAGAAATCCCTCTCGCAAATGATCAACATTTACAAAACTACCAGCAAGTATATGGAAAGAGATATGCTTAGTAGCAGAAGGTGGATTAACAGGGCAAGAACCTCTTGGCCTTGAAACACTTTGGCGAAGCTGACAAGCTGAATTCAAGAGTGTATTTTTTCCAGCTTTCCTGAAGCCATCAGTGAGGCTGTGTGAATCCCCTATGCTGCTGTGAAGGTTCAGTGTGTTCAGAGCTGAAGACAGATGAGGACAGATCTAAACCAGACAGACCTAAGCAAAGACTTTCCAAAAGGAATAAAAATGTTTGTGAATGTGGTATCTCAGTCTCCACGGGTAAATTAACCAGAAAGATCCCCTAGCAGCAAGACAGTTCAAGCCTGTAATTCTCCAGATGTGTGCTCCTGAGGAGCAGTACATGACAAAGATAGCCTGCAATCACGTTGCCCAAGGTCTGTCATCCTGTTGAGGTAAATCAGGTAGGATATGTTAGTGCCTGGCCCAGAAGCTAATGAGTTAACTGCTCACGTCCAGCAAGAGGGAGGCAAGACAAACAACTCTTCAGTGTGAAGAGGGCAGAACAAGCAGCAGGGAAAAACTGATCACGCTGTTTGTTTGCTTTTCTCTTTTACATTCTTCTTTCAAATAGGTCATACTGCTGCACCTCTGGGAAGCTCTGCAGTAAGCCAGACACCCGTCTTTCTTTGAGCTGGCCTTTTGACAAGGCAGCTTTTAAAGATTAGGAGTTAATGGCCAGACTTTGGATATTTAAGAAACTTGGACAGTGTTAGGGAGGCAGCAATGAGAGACTCTTAGTCTCACATGAAAAATTGCATGTGTGACTGCAACTGTCAGTAAGTACAAACATAGAAGTTAAATGGGATACAAATTTCTCTGAATCAGAGGGTTACCATGTAGTATTCTGTGTGTCCACTTAGCTGTCTGAAAAGTGACTAGATCCAGAAAAAAATGAACTGGCTGAAAAAGAAAGGAGTTCTGACTTCAGTACAGTTATCAAGTATTTGATTTTAACAGACTTATACCGTGCTAGTATTGAAATGAAAACGGACTTTCATAGGCATACAACAACTTGTGAGGGTTACTTTTAAACAAATGAAGTTGTATATATTATGACAGTTTGTCATATCTCATTTGTCTTACAAGCTCTATGCCAGCTTTGTGTGTTCTTGGTGACTTGATTGCAAGACATCAAGACTCTGCAATGAAAGTAAAAGAGTGATTCGAAAATCTGTCTAACTGTGAGGACATACACCCTTTAAATAAATGTGGGGCTCAGTCAGCTGCTTGCCAACACAACTGCTTGATTTCTTTTTTAAAAAGGGGTTCTAATGGCTCCTGTACAATGTGATTTTGTTGGAGTGCTCAGATCCCTGTTTTTTGCCCAAGAAAAGGCACGTTGTATCCATGCCATTCTCTTGCAGTAAAGCATGCCTGACAGTTAACAGCGTCACATTCATTTAAAGGATTTTTCCTTGTAGGATGAGTACATTGGCCTCTTTTTCACCTGGAGAATTGCCAAGCGTGATGCTTGCAATATTTCACTATCACATCTTAGAAAACTTCTGATAGTTTAAGTAATCTGGAAAGTTCAAATCTTGATATCCATTATTTGGTTGGTCAGAGTTCTTGAAACTGCTGTTGTTCCTGGCACTAAGGTGCTGTCTGAGTCCAATCTAGAAATCTGCTTAATTTCATTTGATTGTAACTTGTACCTGAAGTCTCTCAAAGCATGTAGTGTGGTTATGCTTTGTGAGCTAGATAACTATTTACATATACAGATAGCTAATTGGGTATAACTGATGTCTGAAGAGGAAAATGTTCTCTTGTTTTATGAATGTCTTCTGCTTAAACGTTTCTATTATATATGTGCTTCTGTGATCTAATAATCACATATACACAGCTGTGGATTACAACTTTGTACTGCAGTTAGCTTTTGTTACTCTTTATGTTATTTCCAAGAATTTTAGAGTAGATCCAGGTCACATTTCTCAGCCCTCTTTTCAGTATCACACTTAAACCCACACCAAATATTTTGCAGTTTTTGCCACCTTTATGCTTCAATTAGTCCTTCACTCATTAAATGAGTGAAACAGCCAAATTCCATTCATCCTTCTTCTAGTTAGTCTGAACCAAGTACTGAGCTGCTCAGTTTTTACTCTCTTGTTCAGGCAGTGGGAGTCTGTAGCTACTGTGCTTGTTGATCGACCCTGAGCAACCTAATGTAACTTTTAAGTCATCCCTGTCATGAAAAGGGGCCTGGATCAGATGACCTTTGTAGGTACTCTCCAAGCTAAATTACTGTATGATTGTATCTTGGGGGTAGCTTCTGATCTTGTAAATCTCAGTTTTGCCCATTTTCATTAATGCATGCTGAAGTGGTTTTGTGTGTTAGTGCAAATGTCGTTCATTTCTTATCAAATCAAAATGAGAGAAAGAGATGTGCTAGTATGAAGTAATCTGTCAGTTTAATTTTTCATCCTCCACATGGAAATTCTGCAATTTTT